ATTATAAACGTTGTTCATGTGATCATACTTTAGAAATAAGAAGAAAACCTATGCTTTAAAATGTATGTTAATTATAAAACCACATCAAATTGATTCTTATATCCCTAAAAATGAGATGTATTAAGCTTTTCTTTAAGCTTATTAATAATCACCCATATCCTAAATTCTCTCCTTTAACCTATATATTATTACATAGGTTATAGAATTACTAAGTTATAGGACTCCTAGATCAGGAGTTCCTATAAACTTAATTTACATGCATTTGGAAAAAATAAAAATACATATTCACGGAGGAAACCGGTTTACTCACGAAAATTTACCCCCGTGGTTTTTTTATAATAGGTACTAACTAATATTTATTGTATTTATGTATATTTTTTTTCTAGAATTAAATTTGTCTCATAATCAAATCAGTAAACTTCCAGACCAAATGTCTAATATGAAAAGCCTTCAAAAATTGAATATTTCATATAACTCTTTCGTCGAGTTACCGGAGCCAATCACTCGTTTACAGGAATTGGTCGATTTGACCGCTAACAATAATTTCATAATTGGTAAGTAAATTAACCCTGGTAAGTTTGGGGAAAATCTATTTTAAAAGTCGAAGTTATATCCAAATACATACAAAAATAATATTCCGAATATTATTTATTCAAATACTTTACATCAATAATATTTTAGGCTATCAAAAAATAATATAAGGTTAAGTTGTTTTTGTTTGTAAGCAAAGGAACCCACAAATATGAAAATAAACTGATATTATTTTAGTCACTTTGTTATGGGTTACTCAAATTACAGTCGGTTAAAAAATTAGGTATTCAGTAGTTCAAGTAGGTACAGTATTTAGATAATCGAAGAATTTTTTCTAATCAAAATTAAGTATTTTTCGAGAAAAATACAAAACAAAAAGAATAAAAGAGGTGAAATGTGGAATTTAAAAAACGATTTAAATCAACTACTTGATGGAAATGCTCTTTCCATTGTATTTGAAGTGAACGCAGGAAAATTTGTATACAATTTACTAACCGAAAATGTGTTTTCCGAGGATAAATGAAACACACATCTTATAAAATATTAAACTTTTTAAGACGAATAACACTGAATTTTTTTTTTCTAAAAATAAAATACTTTTTAAAACTATTCAGGATATACAGGTATTGTGTATACTCCTGAAAAAAGTATTAAAAAAATATTTAGAACATATAATATAAACAATATTAAAAACAAATTTGAATCCTGAGTAGGCTACTTGAATAATTTGATGAGGTTAAAAAATCAACAATACTCATAGGGAATCGATTAATACCTATAATCTAATATACGTTAATTTTTGTAATTGAAAAATATAATTTTAGTTTGAATTCAAAAAGATAGGTTCAAATAATTAATATTCCTTTAATAAAATCGATTTATATGAGAAAGAAAAACATATACAGTAAAATCTTACAACGGACCCCCACTTAATCCCCCAGAAATCTCCTTAAAACGGAAAAACGCAACAGTTCTGCATATATCTGTATATATGTACCTGTATATCTCGTATATTTTAGTTTCCTTATAGTGGAAACTCCTTTATAACAGAAAAAACAGTTGGTACCGAGCAATTCCGTTATAAGGTTTTACTGTATACGATTAATATTAAAAGTATATGGTTTGATAAAGTGAAAATAGACATCAGAGGCTGCTGTTGTGTTGTAAGAAGATTCCAATTATTAGTATTGCTCGAATTGGGAGAGACGCTGAGGAACATCACACCTCAACTAATTTTTCAGACGTTTTAGCATATCTCATTTACTATTTATTTTAAGTGTAACGGATGGGATAGTCCATATTATTATATTTTAATAAAAATGCATGTTTATTAAAATTTAAACTATAAAAGCTTTTAAAAAAATTACTACATAACGCTCAAATTTTTTTACCACTAATTGCAACTTAGGATAAAGTTTGTGTTAATTTTTCGAGCATCTTCACTGGGCCAAAATCATAGAAAACCAAATAAAAACCAGAAACTTTAAAATGTCTATAAATAACTGTACAATTACAGAATATTTTGAAATTAGTATCATGTCTCGAAAGTACAATATTCAGAGTGCCCCACGATTTAATCATTGCAATATTTCTTGAGATAATAAAGATAATCAAATTCTGTTTTATATATATATATTACTCGCAGAATATGAGACTACAAAATATATTTATATTTTAATTAAATTTGTATGTTTCGTAAAAAAATGAAAACAATATATTTTTATTTTATTATTTTAAAAAAAATTGGAAAGTTAAGAACGTTAAGGTAATTCAGTTTACATTTTCGGATGCAGTGAAATGCGGTAGTGAACGAAAAACCGAATTATGGAGTAAACATAATTTTACGATCAATTTAAATTGAACATCTTTTAAAAATTATATCGTTTAATGTTAACTCGATTGATGAAGACAAGTGTTTGTTGCGGCAATGGACCTAAATGGTTGTTAAAACGCGGGAGAAGAAGAAGACAAATGTTAACTATACGAGCTATTCTAATTTCTGAGTTCCTATAAATATCGACAATTGTTTAATATACCATAGACTGTTTTAACCGAACTATTTGTTTACGCTAAGTGCAGTTACTCTAATTTTCATAACAATTTAGTTTTAGCACGTTTTTCTCGTAATAATTATTATTAGATTATGTTTTACATAACGTCGCACGCATCGGTTGCAAATCGAAATACCAGCTATACTTATATCTACTCCGTCGTAGCTATTTTCAAAGAGTCTGAAGATAAAATATTATAATATATCGTTTGTCGTTAAAAAAAAAAAAAAAAAATCCTCATAGTATAAAAATACATAAATTCTGATATATGTATTTGTTTCGTAAGGTCTGAAATCTTTGAAATGATATGTCTAATTAAATAGGGCTTAAATTTATGTAAAAAAAATTATCGTTTTTACGTTTATTGGTATTTAAACATTGTACAATTTTAATGTTAATAACGTCATTGTATTTTCAAATGTTATTTTATCTTTTGACCTTATTATGTTTTTAAACGTTTAAAATTTGTCATTTTCTGTTAAAAAGTTTTTAACGTTATAAATAAATTTGAAATTATGCAAATTTCATTTTTCATATAACTTACGATGTAAAAAAAAAAATCATACTTTTCTTAAAACCATCGCAAAATAATAAATTAATAGTTATCTAAGTTGATATAAATATATATATATATATATATATAAGTACATAATTTGCCTTATTTAACTTAAAAGTGTAGGAAATATAAGTAACAACATGTAAAATTATAAAAATGCCTTTGACCTGACATCATAATTGTAATTTTAACTAATATTTTATAGATTGTATTACTTTAAATTGAAATAATTTACTTGAAATAATTTTTACACGTGTAGCAATGTAGGTTTCTATAATAATTTTATTGTATATATTATGAAAAGTAAAATTAAGTAATTATAGTAAATAAGTACCTACTTTAGTATTACGAAATAAAGATAAACTACTGGTTCAAGGCGATTATAATAAACGGTGAATCCAGTTCCCCTACTAAATATTTTGGTTGTTGTGGATAAAATTTAAATGGATGTCTTTATTATTTACGCGTATTTATGCGTATTTATTATTTACACCAAACTACACCAATTAAATTGAACATAAACAATTAGAAGAATTATAAAAATAAACTAATGTACCTATACTAAATTAGAGTTCACAAGGAGTTAACCAGTTGTAATCACTCCAAAATGCCAGAGTAATCTTATCCAGTTCACGACTCCGTGTGAACTCTACCTTTTTATATTCTACAAATAAATCATCAATAAAATATTTCGGAAAATATAATTCAGTGTTAACATAGATTATCCAACTTTGAATTATTAATAAATATAATAAAGTTTGACGTTAAAATAAAAAGGCACAAACGTTATTTGGAATTATTTTTTCACATTACTGTTACGTTTATTGTTTATTGTTAATTGTGATTAATGAAATATTGTATTTAGTGGTATTTGATTTTTTTCCGTTTTTCATTTATTTTCTGTTTCTTGATTCCGTTAATTTTTTGTCCGTTATAACGTTATAAACAACGTTTTGAAGCCCTGCTATTAATATTATAGTATTTTAGTTTTCAATTATACCTAGTTAAAGAGTATTACAATATTGTTATAACAAAATCTCATATAATAATAATATATTATATATATACTGAAATACATTTTGCACGATGGTTTCACAAAAGAAAATCAAATCAAATTATTACGATAATAATACACAGACGTGGAGATACTATGGTTTTGATAAATTCAGTACTATAGTACATTAATTATATATATATATATATATCCATTATCATAAATATGAAAAGTATCACTTTAAACTGTAGTACTTATATAGGTATTCTTGCAAAACACACATAAACAAAACGTATGTAGCCTACTGCAATTAATGTGGAGCGACACGACCAGCATTTGGTTCCGATTAACGAACTATTAATGCAACCTGTACATTTCGTTTCTACTAATAAACTTAGTGATTAATACCAGATTATAGTATTTTGGTGTGTAGTTTTTGTTTAATAGTTAATTCGATTTGTTCTAATAATTTTTGAATACTTAAAGATACTAAAGAAAAACCATGTAGTTTGGACATGTTAAAATCGATTTTTGAAATACTTAATAAGGTTTTCAATAATTTTTACCTTAATTATAAAATTCCAAAAAGTACGATTATGAGTATTTACTCGTATTTATTAATTTAATCTCGAAATGTAAAATATATTTCAGCCAAGTTACGAAGAAAAATTTGATGTATTGATTAGGTCCCGGCTTTTAATTAATTATCTATTCCCATGATTCTGTTGGGTAAACAAAATGACGTTACGATTCCTATTTATCACATCCCTTCCTATTGAAAATTCCTGGGCATGTCACCAGCGCTATAAACGTGATTGTGCTTACATACTACATAATTTATAATAATTAAAACGTTTATAAACCATTGCAGACGTAAATATCAGGACGTTAGAATCGTGTATGAAACAGTTGAAAGTCGTCGATCTCAAGGAAAATCCACTAAATCCTTCGACGGTGGACGCGTTGGAACGCGAATTGCCGTTTAGGGTGCTGTACACGCCACCGACCGACGAAGATTGGAGAGATTTAGATAATTGATTTCGGACACGAAACGAAAATACAAATAAAAAAAAAAAAAAAACATTTGACAATACAGAAATATATATATTTTTTTAAATTAGCTAATAAAATGTTTTTATTCATTTTTATTAATCATCGTTTTTTTATTTTTCATTTTTAATATATATAGTTTTCAGTGGCTCTTACGCTCCGAAATAACAAATAAATTGAAATAATAATATATTATTACATAAAATAAATATCGGGTCCCTAACTACACATTATATTATCACCACATTTATGCCATCGTTAATATTATAATTTTTTTTTTGTTTTTTACACATTCATATACAATATAATATACATAATATATATATATTTTTTTTGCATTATTATTTGTTGTTTTTTTTGTATTTACACGCTGAATGTCGTTATGATTAAATAATATTTTTTTTTTTTTGTATACAAGCATAACAAATAATATAAATGAATTAAAATACAAATAATAATATTCTAAATTAATATAAGTGTTTTTTTTTTTTTCATTTTTGATAGTAATGTATATCAAATAATATGTATAGATTATTACTAAAAATTATATTACCACTATATAATATGTATATGTAGTTAAATTTACAAAAATTACACATTTCATTATAATATCGTACAAAAACCAAAGATAAGATATTTTTGTACAAAATGATAAGAAAAAAAAAAAAAACATAAATACAATTTGTTTATAATATAAACGTCTCGCGAATACATGATGTCGGTCACATAAAAATGAATCGCATATTATTGTAATACTTAAAGAATAAAAACAAAAAAATATATGTATAAATATATTATTCTGCTCTACTATTGTCTATACGTTTTTTCATTATTATTATTTTCTTATAAAACTATCTATAATGATCATTAATAATTTGTCTTTTGTCAAAAATTAAACTACCTAACATTTTTTTTTTTAAAATCATTATTCGTTTTCTCTCTCCCTAATCGTTCTATTTTATTACAATAATAAAAATAATAATAATATAACGAACCCTATTGCCCTATATATGTATATGAAATCTCTTCCCACCGCTCATTCGCGCTTTATTTAATCATCAAGGATCTATCCCATAGTATTATTATTATTATTACTGTTATATTTTCTCCGTTCACTCGCCCGTATCGCTCCGGACGATGTTTCAAAGCATTTTCGCACCACATACAAAAAAAAAAAAAAAACTTTAATTTATATTTAAATTTATTTCTATACATTTTTATAATAATTAAATATCACCGTTGGCAAAGAAAAAAAGACAAAAAAATTCACTGGCGTGTGTACAATATACGCAGTTTATAGTCATTTTTCAAAAAAAAGTTTTAATATTACGTTCGAAAATTATGGATCGTTTTTTTTACGTAATTTTCGATAAATATTACAAAACAACAATAAAGTAAAAAAAAAAAAAAAAAACAATTTGCTAAATAAAGTTAACGAATGACTAGAAAACTATTTCATTTATTTAATAATTATATTTATAATAATAAAAATAATTCATTACCCGTCATTTTATTTTTTCATTTATTTATTAACATTGCTACCTATTATTAATTTTTTATTTATTTATTAAGTGTCTCCCGAAAAATAAAAAAAGCGACAGCGCTGGATCGGAAAATTTTGTTTGTTATTATTAACACACACAAACCGAAACTATAATTATTTTATTATTATATTATCACGTCAGCGCTAAATATATTTGTTTTTAATATTGAACAATTTTATAATTTTTAGCAAATAGTTATAATAACAATTAAGGAAATTAAGATTGTTCGATAAGTGTAATACTTTTACGGATTGAATATTTTTTTTTTCTTCGTATTCGACTATTTATTATAATTTATTTATATTTAATTATTTATTATTATGTAGGCACGTCAATGTCAAAAATTCTCAACATATTTTATGTATATAAAAAAGAGGGTTTATCAATCGCATGTATGCACTTATATTACATAATATTATTTTTATAGGTACCTACATTTTAGTAATTTTTTTTTAAAATAAATATTCGAAGATTACATGATATCATATTTATGATAATAATAATAATAATAAATTATTAGAATATTATTTAATATAATATATTATATTATAACAAAACAACAATAGTATTATTATAGTTATAATCTCAAAAAAAAAAAAAATAAATAAATAAATAAATAAAACAGCTCTTATTAAATACATACCGACACAAAAATCACCATCATACCCCCGCGGACGAATTCGATTAAAAAAAAAAAACAAAACAAATACAATCCTATAGCAGCTGCATCGAGCGCTCCCAGTCTATTGGTTCATTACAAAGTATATTATTATAATAACTGTACAAATGCACAAATTGCAGTCACTCCGATAGTCTTTACATATTACAAAAAAAAAAAAAAACATTCGATGAGAAATTTAATAAATAATTAGTCGAGTAAAAAAAAAAAAAAAATATAAGAATAATAATAATACCTAACATTCGAACGAAAAGAACGCTTTTTCGTATTTATACATCAATAATTGTCATAATCATATTATTACTTATATAGGTATATTTGGTATATATTATACCCACATTATATAGTATAAAAAAAAGCACAGCACTATCGTTTACGTTCACACACCTTCGGTATATCTATATCGTACATACCACATCGCGGATTCACCACAATTTTTATCGTATAACATAATAAAACAAAAAAAAAAAATTATTCTAAATATTTTTGAATTTATTATATTATTTCATGATATTGGACGATTGATTTTTTTTTATACATAATTTTTTGTATGAATTTATTTTATTGCATTATTATTTATCTGTACCTACCGTTGCGATCGAAAAAGTAACCGCGATATGTGCCAAAAAAATCAATTTTACAATTAAATGATATCATGATATATGCGAAAAATCTAGAACCACGACATTATTTCGTCTGTACGGTCAATTTCGATTGTAATCGTTAGATAAGTGTTCGCGCTTAATCCCGAAATCGATTTTTATTGGCCACTTATCGGCTTCATCGCCACACAATACCGTACAGATACATATTGAACACTTGCATACGATATATCATGATAAGGATGGTAACGTTATCATAATACAATAATAACAATAGTAACAATAATAATATAGTTTTTTTTTTTTTTTTTACTATAATTATATACGAGTACGGTACGACGTTATAAAAATTTAAAAAAAAAAAGAAGAAAAAAATGCGTCGAACACAATAATAGTCTTCCGATCGAAAATGTCTCCAACGTACGGCGAATCGGTCACGCGTATTTTCGACGGAGCATATAATAATATTACTATCTGTATTCTGTATAGGTATAAGTAATAATATTTTGTAAAATGAAAATAAAAAAAATATATATAATATACATAACCATATAAGTATACACACGTGACGTTCACTCGAAAATTATAAAAAAACATCGCTACGCTTGAAATCTAAAATGTTCAAATTAAAAATAGATATAGGTTATGTAGTATTACTGTAACGAAAAAAAATTCAATCGTACACACACATATCACATAGGTGGTGTGCAATAAATGTTGATTGTAATAATGCACATTGTATAAATTCATTTGTATTGAGGAGGAGTAGGGAGGGGTGATAGAGTCAAGGGAAGAGGAAGAATCGATACGATTATATGTATTACAATTACATCCGTTGAATGTTTGCAAGGAAAGTTTTGGTGGTTATTTCTCCTTAAAAATAAAAACCTCAACAATTGTCGTTTTGTAAATATTATTAATATAATAACATACTTAACGGTTTTTTTTTTTTTTAGAATTTCGTGTATGTGTGTGTATACTGCAGTATATATGTTTATGTATATAATATATACATATATATATATACATTATGAAATAATTATAACGTACACGTACAACAGTGTATAATAAAATACAAATATATAATACGAGTGTTATCATAATATTTTCGTCCGTCTCTGTATCACGTGGCCCGTGCACTTATGTATTTATAAGTATATTATGGGTAAACACGTGTGTGTGTGTGTGTGTGTGTGTGTATCTGTGTGTATGTATAGACGAGACGACTTCACTATTGGCTCAGCGTCTGTTTGTCTACGTGGCTCAAGCACGGTACCATGGTCAGACTTGATAGGCTCTGGATGTTGTCCACCGGCGGGAATCCCGTTCTCGGTAAACACCTACGAAAAACAGAAAAAAAACATTTTAGATTAAAAAAAGTCGTAAAAATACGATAATATGTAATAATCAGGGCAGATAATATGTATATGCGCGTTTACATATTTATATTGAATAGTTGAAAAAAAATAGCTATAGTTTTACCAAAATATAACCCGTATATCTGTACGCAACGATTAATCTTTGTTAACGAAAACCGATTCTAAGCGAGGTTCAGTTATACGTGTTTTGAAAAACCTGTAAATTTACGATTTGACAATGTAATGTATTTAGTGAATTTTCCCGGTTTTCCTATTTATTAGGGAAATCCCTGGGAAAATCAAAAAATGACTTTCTTGTAATACCACACTAGTCAGATTTCTTTTCAGAAAAAATGTCACACTCGTAAATTGAAGTAACATTTTTGGTAGAAGAGATAAAAAAAAAAAATATAATAATAAATATCATTATAAAACCAATACATTCATCGCTCCACTCAGAATCTAAAATTACCCACAAAAAGATAGCTAATGTATCAGGCCGGATAATTTTACAGGAGAAAAAATATATCATTGAAAAAATGCGGATAATTATTAAAAAAGATCGATAGGAAAAAGACTCTCAAGAATTTTGCTCTAATTTTCAAATGTAGCACTTATTCTGAAAGGAAATGTGACTGTGGTGTCACTTAAGGGAGGTCAACCAAACTGTGCTCAGAATCGTTTTTCATTATAAATAATCGCGTATATATTCATTATATTTCCGATTTATCTTTCTAACATCTCACCTACATCCCCCACCCATCGTGCAAAGTATGTTCGTTTTTTTTAACTTTAATGAAAGCAGCACTACCACATTTTAAACATTGACGTATTCCTTTGTGATAAACTATATTTTCATAATATTCTAAAAATTTTTAACTGCCATAATTGCAATTTATGACGTTTTACAGTTATTTTTTTAGCACTGTTAATTAATACGAAATTTAGGATTGCCATATTTAGGTTTGTGGCTGTTTTGCATACTTCAGTTTATGGCTACCACATGTTTACTCAAAACATCAAATTCTATGTCATATTCCAAAGGTACATTATGTGGATTAATTTGACAAAACTTAATATATATACAACTTTTGCTCATATTTTAAATTTGAAATTATTCTCTAGGACATGAAAATCAAAGAATATCGAAAATTGATGGATTTTTATTTTGATGGTGAAACCGTATATTACAGAGACGAGTTACTGTTAACCGATCGAATGATTGAAAACCCTAAAAAAACGAAGACGATTTTAGACGATTCGTCAGTGCTATAAAATAACACCGAAAAAAGTGTGTACATGCGTTATGAAAATTGAGAAAACAAGGGAGGGGGGGGGGTAAATTCCGAATATCGCAATATTATAATGTTAGATAAACGGACGCGTTTTCGGAAAACAGTCGACACTGTCGAATAAAAATTTTACGGAGAAAAGTGCAATAATCTTATCGTTGGCTTGTTTCGATAAAATGCACTCGTTAAACTACTTGAACGGAATTCATTTAGACATTTTTACTTTCATATTCGCATAACTGATGGATTTTTTTCGATAGACCGCCATCGCTGAATTTGTCAACAATAATAATATTACCTATACTGATATACTTTAAGTATAATACCTATCTAAAGAAAGTGACTCTATACTTTTATTGTTGGCGAAGGTCAAAAACGTAGTCAACAGATATTGTGATGGATATTTTTTTCTCCCCCTTAAGAGGATAATATGTCAAACAGCCACCATTTAAGGGGATTTTTTTCCCGTATCCAACACATATACTCAGCATTAGCGATTTAGACAGATCATTTATTTCTCTTTATCCTATCGATGTATATAGTAAAGCGATAAGAACAATAATTTTAAAAACTGCTTTTGAATTCGACGTGTGAAGTGTATAGGTACATCGCGACTTTTTCGGAAATTACAGCCTTTCATTTCCAACAATTTTATTTAAAAATTAATGAAAAATTAAGTGGCCAGACCGATCTTAAGTAATGTAATAAATTATACATTGAGTTCAAATCTGTTTTGAGAATTCTTATCGCTTCGCTTAGCATCAATCGAACTATTAAAACCGCAATGGCATATGTAGGGGTGGGAAGATCTGCAGAGGATTAAATCGCCGTACACATTAGCTTAAAATTATAAACTCATAAGTATGAGTATTTATTTAGTAATCGTATCTAGAAATTTTGAACTTTAGCCGAGTTATAAGAAAAAAAGGCTTGATTTATATAATAAAAACTCGAAAAAGATGGCACCTATAGATATATTAAAACATTTGAGATTAACGAGTGGCGTTTTTTTTTTTTTGTAATATAATAACAGAAACATAAAAAAAACCGACCTAACCTTTATAACTGACTAAACGAAACAAGGAAATACTATTATCGTATTATACTTACGCGTACCTGGAGGATACGCTGTTGCATCTCGTGACCGAGTCCACTTCAGACGGCGACGTGGACAGAGACGTCAAGCCCGATGTGGAACTGGATCTGTGCGGCTGTGAAAGTTTCCCGCCGCACTCCGAGACCGGCTGCCATATCGTTCGGTTCGGAGGTCCTCGAATACATTTCTGGTAGATTTCTCGTTCCTAAAACGACATAATAGTTTTTTTTATATAGTAATGATAAGGTTGTTATTATCATCGTGGTTTTATAGATGATATTAACGATTAACCTAACTTAAGACTTCGTCAAAAAATTCCGTGTAAGATCGAAGCAAAAACTCGGATTATTCGGGCTATTCCCGATTACGATAACATATGTCTTCCAAATGTTATGTTCTAACCAAAATATCTATGAAGATCGAAATTAAAAAAGACGGACATACTTTGCACGATGGGTGCAACCACTATAGTTGGTGAGGAGTTGGGAATATTTAGGATATAGTGGAGAAATTAATTTGTATCTGTAAGCAAACCATTGCTTACTAAAAACGATTCTGAGTGGAGTTCAGTTGATAGTGATGATGCTTTGTCAACAATATGTGTGTCATATTATGGTAAAATAATTAAATAGGTATTATATATTTTCTTTGGTAATGTAACGTTTTTTCTACGTTTTTCCCGGTATTTCCCAATTTTTTTCGTGGTTTTCTAAATTTGCTGAGAAAACTCTTAGAAAAATCGAAAACTGACTTTCTTTAAGTACCTTCCCAATCAGATTTAATTTCAGAAAAAGTGCTATCATTGTAAATCGGAGCAAGATTTCTGGTAAAAAAGGTTGCACAAAAAATCGAGGGGTATTTTTCGACTAAAATAGTCTGAACGAGCGATAGCTGGGTCTCTATAGGTACATTTAAAATAAATTTGTTTTCCCTATTTCGTAAAAGGGAAAAGAAAACGCAAACAATTTTTTTGAAACCCAGACTTGAACTCTCGTAGAATAACGATATGCACCTACAACCATTAAACAATAACAAATATACTTTAAAATAGACAATATAGAATTATTTAACATAACATATAATATCCGTTTAGTATCAAAACATCAAAAAGCTATAATTTCGAAACATAGTCAATCCACTCAATTCTCACTTCACCATCGTTTTTAAATCAGATTTGTTTTTACTGAAACGATTTTTGTCAAAATTTGAAATTAAAATTTCTTTTTACAAAAGAAACTACGTTAAACTCAAAATGTTTTTTACCTCAAAAATAGCTTACATTTTTAAAAATTTTATTACGTATAAAAAAATAAATTTTTAAAGTTCTCTGTACAAATATCAAGTCCATAAAGTCGATACGAATATTAAGATTCTGAGTGGAGCAAAGAAGCTTATGGTTTTACAAAGACGTTTATTTTTTTTTTTAAACTGTGAACAACTTTTCTACCAAAGAATTCTCAGATTTCTAAGAGTAGTACTTTTTCTGAAAGGAAATTAGTATGGGGAGGTACTTTGAAAAGGTTATTCTCGAATTTACTCAAGAAATTTCTCATCAAATTTAAAAAATCGAAAAAAAACAGGAAAATATATGATATATATTATAATAAAACATAACGTTTTTTTTTCCAAGGCACAACTTTTCTACCAACAATTTTGCTCCAAATTAAAATAATAGCAAGTTTTTTAAAAGGAAATTTAATTAGGAAAGTACTTTAAAGAGGTCATTTTTTGATTTTTTGAGGAGTTTTCTCATTAAATTTGAAATACCGAAAAAAAAACCGAGGGAAAACAGGAAAAACATAGGAAAACTGAAAAAATCGGTACAACATAAAACAAATATTATTAAAGAAAATATATAGAGCCTATTTAATTATTTTACTACAATATGGCTTATATTGTTAAAAAAGCATCACTATCAACTGAACTTTGCTCAAAATCGTTTTTTCGTAAGTAATGGTTTGTCGTTGCTTACAAGTATACATTAAATTACCTATAACAGTGGCTGCACCCGTCCCCATTATCCTAGGACGTCTTTTTAATATATCATTTTTGTATTTTTAGTATCTGTAAACAAATTGTTGATATCAAATATATGACTTACTTCAATCCACAACATCTGGGACGGTATCCGGTAGCGAATTTCGACTAGGCCAGGCATTTAGAAAGTCAATTTAAAAAAAAAAAAAACAGAATGATACCTTCCCGCGAAGATATACTTATTGCAATATTTCTTGAGATAATAAAGTTAATTAAATTCTGCTTTTTTTTTATATTACTCGCAGAGATAATAATTTTTTGTTTTTTTTTTTACCAAAACATACAAATTTAACTTGAACACAAATATTTGTAGTTCTTATTCCTGTTAATAATAATTAAAACAAAAAACAGGATTTGAACATGTTAAATTTGAAGATATTACAACCATTATACAAGCAATATCTTTGTGGAACCCTATATATTGGATTTTTTCTTTTTGACGATCAAAAATCGTGGAGACCTAATATTGTCACTGAACATTTATATTTTCATTTTCTAGTCCGTTGTTTATAATTTCCGAAATACGTTCAGGTCTTATCGAGTTATTTATAGACTCGCATGTAGATAGATACTTGTAATTTGAAATAGTCCGGGTTTTCTTTCAATTTATACGCGAATAAATTATTGAAAATTCAATGCGATTTCGTCATCCCGTATATAAAACAAAATCATAACAAAATTATTATTTAAAATACGTACTTGTTCAGAATTTCGCAAATGTATTTTGGCCATGCTATCGTACGGGTATTCCTCGCCGTCCGGTAAGTGGATTCGCGGTGGCAGGTCCAAACCCAGGTCGGTCCGGACCGAGTGTAACCGGACCTGATGGTCGTGTTCTCGGGTTAGCCCGTTATTGCTGCGCATCGTCAACATCTATAATACGGACGAAAAAAACAATGTTATTTATTTGTATTTGCATAAGTAATCATGTGTACGTATAAAATTGTTTAAGAGTATTATTATTTTTGTGTTGTAATATGCAAGAGTCCGAGAGACGCGTGCGCTATAATAGCAAACTCCGACTCCTAACTCTAACCCGTAACTCGGAGGACGCTGCCGCCGGGCTATGCCGGCATACATATACAAGCGAAGGGACAGACCCCCCGAATACGGAACACTGGCGACGGATCGTTTTTCATGTCAAACCACCCCACACACGTCATTGCTCCGACCGAACGTTTCAAATATATGTATAGGTATATAATACGCCCAAATATAAAAACCGTTACTCAAAGGTTCCCTCTTTCGTCCCACCCCACCCGTTGCAGCGCGCAATACAAATTTACGACCTTTCCTTCTATTTTTCGGGGTGGGAAAACTTCGATGTCGACGTCCCCGCGTGGAGATGCGACGCGCGTACACTGCACATTATTCCCGAACGGCCCGCCGCAGACAATGGAAGGGCGCGCACTCGTGAGTGTGTATGCGTGTTTACTAATCTCCCTTTCGCACGACCGTTTATTTTACTCTTTTTTTTTGTTTTGTTTTCCTTCTGTCTCTCCCCCTTTCACTCGTCTCACGACGACGGCCCCCCATTTTTTCGCCCCTTTCTCCCGACGATGAAATTCGTCATATCCCAGTAATTTCTCCATATATAAACGAAACGTAGGGTTGTCCCCTATTATTACAAACTGCTGTGTAATATCAAGGACGGGGCAAAAACGTCCGAAAAAAGATTATAGGACCTTTTTAGCATTGTATAGAACCGCTGAGACTCTTGTGGCGGAAATGTAGTTTATGACTAATGCATAATTGGATTGAGTGTAGAAACGGTTCTCAAATAATTAATTCAATATATTATAATATATTGTATATAGGTATCAAATAAACCGATAAAAGGCTTCGGACAGTATTAATTTAAAACGGTTGAAAAAGTGTTTTTTTCGCTAAACAAAAATATTCAATATTACCAATATTATCTATAAACAATATTGAAATTAGAATTCGTATAAAATAAACAAAATCAGAAAATTTACAATAACTAATGAAAATATTGTGAAATATTAAATGAATGCATGCCACAATATTTAGAGAGATGAGAACTCGTAACTCGTAATGTTTATGAAAATAAAAAACCTGTAAGAAAATCGCAAAAAAATCAATTTTATAAAATATCCGTGAGTGGTATTAGCATTATTAGCCAGAACTCTGTGGTACTGCATTCATTTTGTCGATAACTTATTCAAAACTGCATAATTAAAACACTATACCTATATATTGTTACTGAAAACACTGATCTTTTTAAAAACCGACAGTTTTAATAAATAATCGACTATAAATTAAAATTTACGCGTTTCTATATTATATTTTAGTCGAATATAAGCAGATTACGATAATACGTATTAAAAGAACGAGTACCTCCCGTATTTTATAGGAATGCGTAAAGGCGATTTTCTTGACATTTTTGAAAAAATGAAATTGTACCAACCCAAAATTATTCAATTTCACTCTCAAATACGTTTACAAATAATCTCGTATTTCATCACGATTATTTATTGTGCAATCAACTAAAATGTTTACGAAATACCGCGGGCAAAAACTATTCACACTATTTATAAGAAATCAAATTTTCATCGTTAAAATACAGAGAACTTGCACTGCGCAACGTTGGTTTTGAGTTTTTTGATAACGCACTACTACGAAATAAGTTATTTGAATTTGAAAAAACTCAACGTTATCAGATTTTAAAACAATAATAACGGTTTTATATATATATGGTATTGAATAATTAAAACCAACGTTATCTTTTTTTTATGGTGAAATTTCAGTGTTTTTTTTTTTTTTTTGCTAACGATATTCGGGTAGCTTTTCTTTCGCGCAAAGCGGTTTTTACAGTAGAATGATGACGGCGGAGTTATCAAGTCCTCTTAAAATAAAATAAATAATTGTACGATACGGTCACGATTGTTATAAAAAAAAACATTTAAATATATTTTAACAATGAAAAAGGAATCATTAAAAAATAAGACAAGCACTCGGGTGTTTGAAAATTTTCGCGGAAGACGAACACGGATTTCGTACGTCAATAACGTCTCAAAACCGAATTGGGTCAAAAGTTTTCGTTATCCAAAAGTACTTTTAGGTTTTTACGTCGCCGTCTGGTTAAAACCAAGTGATATATAAGTGTGTTTGAGTTCCATTTTCCTTAAATATAAGTGGCGTACTGTGTCGAGAATCTTCTTTAACATTATATACCCAAACGACAGCGGAATAGCTTTTTCGACTAAAATGTAAAAAGTACCTACTTATAATATTTGGCTGAAAAAAGTTTAACGAAAAAAAAAAGAACCTATAACATAAAATTTAATGAAACACAATGTGCTACATTTCATAAATCCATCTTTTGAAAGTCGTAGGGGTAGAGTGCGGGAACCAAATTTAGATATTAAAATTTATCCAAACTACGTAGGTAATTATTCGTTATTCGTTTCATACCTGCTGAACGGAATTGTTTTGGCGTTTCAATTTGAACCATTAACGAAGCCAGGATTTTAAATTGAGGGAAGCTAAAAACACTTTTACTTGAGACACGGGCGAAGATAAGAGGGGGAGTGGGAAGTTTCAATATACAAATTTAGAAAAGTGATTTTGCCGTAGTATATTTGAATGTAATACTTTAAAATTTGTATGTATAAAAAATGCTTAATAGGTACCAAAATAAGATAATTCAATAATATTATGCATAACTTTTTACTAATTTCTAAATAATACGACTAAGTAAAATATTGTACATAAATATCAAACCACGAAGTCAATGTTGCGATCCAGGGGTAATCTGAAAAATTCAAATTTCTGGACCGGCCACTTAGCCCCTGTATATTATATATGTGTCTCGAAAAACGTTAAGATCAAAGAACGCGCGCGCGCGCGCGCAAACACACACACACCCACACACACACACATACACATACACATGCACATATGGGGCAAAGGGCACAATGATGTAATCTAATGTCTGCACAAAATAGCATTGAAAAAAAAAAAACCGATAACCATAAAAATTAATGAAAGTAATGCGGTTTAGACATATTTTCAATTGCAAGCATTAATTCTCGAACGAACTGCTTATAATAATTGTAATTGCAGCGATTTTTTTTTTTAATAATATATTATGGCCGCCTATAACAGCAATTATTATTGAACCAAATAGGCGGTTTAGATTTTTTCTATGCATGTTTATACATTTTTATTTAATTTAAAACGAGCCTATCGATTACTTTTGTGTGCAATATAATATGGTATGCGTTTTATTATAATTTTACAATACTCGGCTATAATTCGTCTACGCTTGCGAACAGAGTATATTTTCAAAGAAGTTTTCCGTGTCCAAACGGATACACAGTAATAATAAAATCCATGGGACACCCGGTAGATTAATATTTTGCACAGTATACTGAGTATCCGTTGAAAAATAAATGTTAAATGATAGAATTCGGTAAATTTATATTTTATATAGGAAATACTTTCACTTTTGGGGGGAGAATAATTGGAGAAAGACCGAAAGTTAATGCGGGAAGGTTTGGTTGACCTGCAGCTAGTAGAGATTTTTTTGAAAGTAAGGGAACGGACGTCCAGATATTTGCTAAAAAAATAAAATATCCCAGAACAGGTGGCGCAAAGCGATAATCGCGTAGGTCGACGAAAATCAAAAGACCACTGCCACAGGGGGAAATATGGCTAAACAATAGTAATAATTCACTTCTAAATGTATTTCGACGAGCAGGGTTTACGCAAGGGCGTAACATTTTAAATGATGATTCAGAAGTGACATTTAAATATTTGCCGGTAGACTAAGACAAATTAAAACGAATTTGATTGGATTATTATTTATGAAGGCATAAAAACAAAAAGTGTGAGACATTTACAGATATTTTGAATTTCCCCCTGATCCAAAATTAGTCAGTGACCGGCCAAAATGCCGAATTCAGACGATGTTAAAAGTTTTACTAGGGTTAGTGCCTAAGTTACTCCAAGTTTATTTCAAGGGTTCTCCTCTCTCCATTGTGAACCATCACATCCGAACGGAAAAATATAGGTAATGAAGGAATCTGTAGACATCGTTGATCGATAATCAAAATGACCTTATTTTTTCTCGTATTTTTAGGGGGTTTTTTTTACCCATATACTGTTAATTAAACTCAAAGGCCGCTCTAGGGTCAATAATTCGAAATTGGGCCTAAACGAATTGGTAAATCGATATATCTGCTTACGAGAGGCCCGAAGAGGAAAAAAACGTCGCCTTTTCGCGGGCTAATCGTCCTACACAACGGAACGGCTACCGCGTCGGGGAAAACGTAACGGCATGCACACGATCGAATGGGGAGGGGGCGGTGGGGTGAATGCGCGCGGAAATGATATTACGTACACGTGTCACGTGTGTATACAGAGCGATGCAGTATAACAATAATAATATCTCATTTATGCATAGTGTCTTCGGGAAGAAACTGGAGGCAACCATTGCGCTCGTACTGTATATATATATATATATTTATATAATAATACTGGGCGAGCGGCACGCGTGTGAATCTGGGACGACCCATTTTAAACTTGGCACCGTCGCAAACGTCGTGCGCGCGGCCCTTACACGCTCCGTACTCACACGCGCCGTGCACGACACCGCGCGCTGGCCACATGACCCTATATCATAATCAATACATTTGAATTCAACCGTTCGCGCGGGCGCTGCGTTGCCGACATCGCGACCGCGGCGAATAAATGAGCGTGTGGCGGCGACAGCGGCGTTTGGTCTCCGCCGCCGCCAACAATAATAACAACAAAATAAAAGCTGAACGCGCGCCGGCGCCCGTCGTCGCACACGCAACGAAACGAACGCACTAGCCGTTTTTCGACCGGGCACCGAAAGGGGGGTTGCAGTTGCGGTATATTATTATTACAGTGGTACTAGTCACTAGTCACGTTGGGGGGCGGCGATAGCGGTGGTAGTGGCGATTCATCATCACACTTACGGCGGTTCGTGAGGACGCGCTGCAGCTACGACAACTGCTATTTCGGCTGATGTCGGTGATGGACGTCGACAGCGGTGATGGCGGTGGCAGCGGCGAGGAGGCGATGACGAGGGTGGTAGTGGCGGTTGTCGTCGTCGTCGTCGCCGTTATCGTTGTCGGCTTTTTCTTTTTGGTCGGCGGCGACGGCGGCGGTGGCGGCGGCGTGGACAGCCTGTGGTGAGGGCCGGACGGAGCCGACAGACAGGGCACGGCCGGGTTGTATTGTTGATTGTAATGATGCAGCACGCAAGTGAGCAGCCCGACAGTACCCAACACAACCACCGTCACCACCATCAGTACCATCACCGTTCCAACTGTAAATACAACGAGGTCCATAAGTATACGAGTCAACCCGAGCACGGGAACTATTGTAATAAGAACACGCTATATATTTGTACACATACTGATGTTTACAACTCTATTACTCCACCCCCTCCCCCCATACCGTTATGATACCCGTATAGTCACGATAGTGACGTGTGTCTTTTGTGGGTGTTGGGTCTGGTATACTTTGAAATCGATTAGAGTTCGTACCAAACACCGTTGGCCAAAACGAACTGGTGATCATTTTTCACATTCACTACGTCAATTTACTCTCTCTGTTACATTCTAACGGGAATTATAGCAAAAATGTGTGCAGGCGCGAGGCCTTTAAAATCGGTTTTAGGGGATGCCTATTTTGCAATTTATAGATGACAGCGTTATCAAAGAGTTCTTTTTTTAAATATTTTATAAATTATTATAAATTATTAAATAAGCCACGATTACCTACTTGAAAAAATTCGTTTATTTGTCCGTAACTCCGATAATGAGTTAAATATTATTTCAGTCATCTTCGAAATATCATGTCATCTACGATTTGTATAATAGACCCCATATCCATATGCGAAAATAACAGAAGTTAGAATTAGATGGTAGAGCGTCTGGTTAACGGTATAGTCTTAAATGGCTAAGACCAATGAAGAACTAAAAAGCAAATGGACATAATTTCTGGTAAAAAAGTTGTTCACAGAAAAAAATAAACATCATTGTTAAACCAATTTAGTCTTTCTTCCACTTAGAATCTAAAATGGTTTAAGTTACACCCAGTTACTTGACACGTAGCAGATACTTAAACTTAGCATAGTTGACATTCGAATACACTGTGGTTACGTGTTACTTAAATTAAACAATTCTTAAAATCAGATAATTGAAATACAATTGTATAAAGTTAATTGGAAAAGTGATGTTGCATAAAATCGTAAAAGCTGAATGATTGGCGAAATTTGTAACTTTATAAATACTTTAAGTAGTGAGTTTAATAAAATTCACAAGTTTAAACATCCACGACTATTTCTTTAGAAAAAACAATTGTTGTAGGTGTACTTAATACTGGGTTGCTGTATCTGAATTACAATGTTTATTTTAATTTTAATTTTATTTTCAATTAGATATCATATAGAAATCTCCGCACGCTATTATTTTATTTACGGGATGATGGCTAAGTGTAAACGATTGACCTGCATTTAATTTATGGGACGAACACCTAATTTTCGACTATTATTCATTGCAATTTTACAGAAAATGGCGTAGTAGACATTTAATTTCGCTTAAAAGATAATGTTTTAAAGGGCCTTTCGTTTGTTATACGCGCACATTTAGTGTTTGTTTGCCCGTTAGTAACGCAACTCTGATCTCTTGAATAAAATCTTTGCGACCAAAAACCCTATTCGAATGCGTATTTCTGGATATAAAATTGAAATTGACGTCACCATTCGTCGTGTTATGAATATTATTATATTTTAATGTTATATATTATATTACTAGTAGAGTACGCATACAGACGCGATCATCATCATATTATTATAATACCGAAAAAGCGAACTTGCAAATAAATATTATAAGAAACTATCGAATTGGTGATAAACCTAGTATTGGAAGGGGAGGTGATTGCGGGGGGAACTACGTTGACTACGAAGAAACTAAAAATATCACCCAAATACGACAAACATCGCGAAACCTATGGATTATAAAACTATTAAGTATTATACAAGTGTACCAATTTTGTATTGTAAAAATAAAATGATACGAATAGTTATAAAAAAACTGTGGAACACGATAAAAGTCACAAAAGTTCGTCGACACTGTGGCGTAAACAGTAGTATACTCGTACAGGTTGCGGTTCGCACGGGCGAACCATTCGTCCTTGAGGTTTTTCTATCGAGTTCAACAAAAAAATAATAATATAATATTATTATAATAATATGATATTATAATAATAATGACAGTCAGAGGAATAATAATAGTGACATGATGACGCAATAAAATACTTCGCATGCGTTTGTCTGCACCAGTGGCGCAATCATCAGGAGTGTTGGCCCTCTGTTTTGGGGGGCCTCGAGAAATCATGTACGATATTCCTACTATTCTTCCTAAAGACATATCTTATTATTGTTTTTTTTTTTCATATGATAAAACAATTACGGGAAATTTTGATAAACATGATTCAGGTTATCGGTATCAAACCGCTACAGAATGGAAATGTACAAGTGTCTAGAGACAGAAAATCTGAACGGCTGCAAGATGGCCAACTACTACGTTATCATACAACCATCATCATATCACCGCTTATCACTAAATTAAAAATGCAATATATTCTATTAGTTAATCTTAATAGTTTATAAAGTTAATTACATTTTATTTTTCTTGACATAATTCAACTATTTGTGAAAGTGAAACAAATAAACTTTTTAACTAGTCAAAATAATATAATGTTTACATATTTAAAAATAAATATAAATAAAAATAAAATAAACAAACATTATGTTGTTGATAATATTTGTTCATTTTTTTAAGTAGCTAAAGTGGGTCTGGCAGTAGAGAAACATTTCTTCAAAAATTGAAATTCCATCAAATATTTTTTCAATATTTAATTTAAATTTGTCCTTTTCAATTCGGAAGGTAGATTGGTTTGATTGTTGAATCATTGAATTGTGATATAAATACAAATATAAAAAAGTTAGGTTAGGTTAAAAATAATAAAAGCACGATAAATACACATTTTTAATATGATGATTTATGTTCTTATATTTTATATTCTTTCTTTATATTTTATTAATAGGGTTTATATTATATTAAAATCCTCAAAAAAGCGCTTAAAAACGTAAAAAATTACATCCTAGGATAATGGGGACGTGTGCAGCCAATGTTATAGGAAATTTAATGTATACCTGTAAGCAACGATAAACTATTGCTTACGAAAAATTGATTCTGTGCGAAGCTCAATTGATAGTGATGCTTTTTTAACAATATAATAGTAAAATAATTAAATAGGCCTTAAATATTTTATTTAATAACATTGGTTTAATGTTGTACCGATTTACCCGGTTTTAATCGAAAAACGACCTTTCTAAAGTACCTCCACAGTGAAATTTCTTTTCAGAAAAATTGCTATCATTTAAAGTTGGAGCAAAATTGCTGGTAGAAAACTTGTTCACAGAAAAAAATATCGTTACACTAAGTTTTTCTTGGTTTTCTCATGTTTTATCCCGGTTTTTCATATTTGCTGAGAAAACTTTAGAAAACCGAAATATAACCTCTCTAAAGTACCTCCCTATTAAAATTTCCTTTTAAAGATATTGCTATCATTAAAAGTTGGAGAAAAATTTCTGATTGAAAAGTTGTGCACAGTGAACATCGTAAATTGTAAAAAATGTAGTGATAAACACAATAGTGGTGATAAACTGTGAGTGATAATGATAATGGTTTTATGATAACGTAGTAATTGGCCTTCTTGCAGCCGTTCGGATATTCTATCTCTAGACGCTTGTTAGAAATGTTACATTTATAATTACGCATCCGATGCATATCAATACGAACCGCTAGATTTTCTTTGTTATCTATGGTACATTGTTTTACTCACTGTGTCTCGTATCTCAATGTACCCCCTCCCCTACACATATTATATTATTTGTTTTAATATAATAATGTTGTTAAAAACCTGCGTACCGTATAGCCGTGTACTGTATAGGCACTGGAAATCAGAATGCGGGTATAGAATTTAGGCTATAATTGAAACTTCTTATTTTATTATACATAATTATGTTAGCGTGTGTAAGTCATGACAATATACGTCTTGTCATATTTATTTTGGAAAATAATTTTAGCACTATATACAGTGATGTATTAAGATGTATTACCTATTTATTTAACCTTACCCGTAACAATTGCTTCAGAAGAACGATCTTTCTCAAAATTAAAGTTGATTAAGAATTACCTGCGAAACTCAATTGCACAAGATCGCCTTTTCAAAATCAGTAAATTAAACATTAAAAGAAAGAAATAACAGCTGAATTAGATATAAACAAAATAATTAATAACTTTGCTGTCGTAAAAACAAGAACTAATTTTTATGCTTAATTTTACAAAAAAATAAATAGGTATAACTATGACATGTGAGAAAAAAATATTTTTTAGAGCTATAATAAAAAGTATGACTGTTTTTCATTTTTATTAGCATGTAAATGCCCAAGCCTGGACATTTTTATATGGGCTTCTTATTATCAAGTTGCGTCACTGATCTACACATACATATGACGACGGAAAACGTATTTACATATCTAGAACATTTCGGAGTAAAATGGTTTTTAAATTTTAACTAGTTTACCGTTATTGCCATTTTTAGTATTTTTAAAATTTAACTAATAGATAATAAAAAAATAATAGTCAAAATGTAATTATGAAATTAAAATTATAAACAAAATATAAAAATTATTGCTTTTGTATTTTTTTTTTATTTAATTTCTCATAAATATATATGAATAAATAATTTTTGTGATCTAAATCTTAAATTGTTAAAAAATCCGCATAATCAATTATTATAAACATAGTATTTAGTTTTATTTTTATTCGAAGTTTAAGAATTGGCTTATTAATGACAGTTTTTGGTTAACTATATTAATCAGTAATCGGTTTATTTAATAAAATATTGAATTCTTAAATGTTAATGTCAGAACTGTTGTTCCAAAACTGACATAAATGAACTGATAGAAAAAAATAAAGTATTCAAATAATTTTTGAATTATTCAAACATATATTCTGAATATATTTTTTTAAAATGTACGGTGATTCAAATTACATAAAATATTATTATCATTGTGGTGCAAAATATATCATACATTTCAGTACGAATTACATATTATAGTACGATTGTAAATTTCGTTTATATTACAGGCTGATTTCGGTGCAAATTGAAAAATTGACACAGTCGATGACACATTATATTATTATTCGGTATAGATATGGATCGTCGTTTGGTCCGTGTTTGCACAATATTTATTATTCACTTGTGATGTCGTAGTAGGTGAAAACCGAGACAGAGCAGCCGGTTTAAAAGCGCTCTTTCTCTTCCTTAATCTCGAAGTTTCATACCTGAGGGCCTATTCTCAAATCAATCGAAAAAATCGGTCAAATAACTCTTTCAATCCTTGATTTTCGATCAAAAAAATCTATTCGGTTGCTAGTTTTCAATCAAATGTATTCTCAGACAGAGATCAAATATTGTAAATCGTGAATTGTATTTTCGATTGTCAAATCGCTTATCACTAGAAGAGTTTTTATTCCATGTAAAAACGGAATATACGACTGATAACAATAAATTGTTTGCGATTTACGACTATTTAATTGTTAAAACTTACAATCTACATGCATTGATATTGATTATAGAATAGTCTATTCTATAATCAATGCTACATGCTGCAATAACATTTATAATCGATATTATCGGTTGTTAAATTATACTTTCAATGAAACTTAAGTACTTAATTTGTACAAATTATTAGTACCTAGGTACTAATTATGTGCTTACCTACTTTAATAAATATAATTTGTCTTCTACAAATAAATAGGTACCTATCTAACAAATATGTTATCAAGGTAACATTAGAAATCTCTTAACTATAAAAATATAGTTGAATAATATCTTTTTAACCAACTTTTGGCTGTGTCGGTCAGTACATTGACGAGAACTTTGCTTATTTGATCCCCATAATTAATTATCTTCAAAATATAATTGAAATTATAAAACCAAAATTAAAAAAGAAATAATACGTTTTATAATTTAATTACAATAAGTAATTATTATTCAGTTATACTATCAAATAGAATTTCTTGCAACATATAATATCTTCGAGGCTCGATGAAACATATTCAACAATTATATTTTTTTTCAATATATTAAATTGCACTATAATCATCAATTTATATCATTATAAGCCATTTTTATATTCCATAAAAAAAAATTGTATTCTGAAAATATTAGAAACCGGTAGAAATTCTTAAGTCTAAATTTTCGTAAGAAAATTAATATCACGAGATGAACGCATAGCAGAGTAAATAAATTGATAAAATGATCGAAAATAATCTTTTCTACAACAAATATCAGTTGAAACGAATGATCGAAAACTATTTGAGAATACGGATTTTTTAATCGATCGAAAATAAATTTCCCTTTTCGATTGATTTGAGAATAGACCCCCGGCGTGTAACAGCGTATTGGAAAAAAAATACGACGGATAAAAATGAAAATATAAATACAAATTTAGAAAAATAAGAAAAAATATTGTTACCTATTATATACGTCTCAAATATAATATGCTTTTTAAGTGCATCAGAGGCACTACGCGTTGTTATCAGCTATACTCTATATATTGTTAAAACTCTTTCGTGCCGCTGCGGGAATCGTTCGCGTATAATAAAACCGAATTTACATTATTCTTGTTTTTTTTTTTTTTAATAATATTACGACCGAATCCGTGAAAAATCCGCGAAACGAATGGGCACGTGGAGTACGCGAAATAATTATTGTAACGATAATACGATTTCGGAAAAAATATTCGTGCTGCAGTCTTGCAGATTATAATGATGTACGCAAATAAGAATATCCGAAAACTCACTCAAAGAAAAAAAAAATAGTAATTCGATGTATTCATTCTTAACTACCAACAATGTTAAAGTGAATAATATATAGGTACTCACTACTCTCGTACGATTTTTAGGAGGAAAAAATGAATACAAAATATTATACAATTATTCCGTTGAAACGATTTCTCAATACGATTTTTTCTACCATCACTATAATAACACACTTGGAAAATCTCTACTGAAAAAAATCTTAACCGAAGATTTTATTTGTTATTTTTTTGAAAAGCTACATCGACACACTTCAAGTCCTCGGTTTTTGCCCACGATACACCTTACTACAGAATTTGGAAATTGATACTATTGAGTTGTGACAATTCAATGACAATTTAACTTTCGATATTTGGCCAAACTAATCATTTGTTGTAGTTTCGTATCTTTTTGTTTATTGTTATTTACGTGATTATTGTTACATTTATGACTAATACTTATCAAAGGGCAAAATTTAACGGGTAAACTTAATTTTGCCGAAATCAGTTTTTTTTTTTATGGCAAAATCACGACATAATTTGCGTATCATAAAAATTAAATTAAATTAATTGAATTAAGTACAAATTTTCTTTATTCATACCCTCCATCGATTTGTATTAACGTCAGCTCTGGTATTATGACATTACAACTATTTTACTATAACTATTATTATTTTAAGAACTGACAAATATTTGGTACCTATTTCGTAATTCATGGCGCAAACGGACACACTGTTTATAGTATAAGTACGACTAAAATGTTATAAGAAATACAATTATTTTCAACAGCGTGTTAAGTATAACATGTATATAACATTATTATCTGTAAATCGAATAATTATTTTAAAAAAAAAACTATACGTACAGCTCTTAGACATATATTCTCCTCTATAAATTTCGTTATTATTTGTGGTTAAACTTAAATTTTAATCCAAATGCCATGAATTTATGTTCTAATGATAATTTTTCTTTATTATTATTTATTATAGTCTATCATGATTAGTTAGCCTCTGAAGAGGCCCAGTTTTTGACTAGAAAACTTGCCTTACGGGAAAAATTATTATGTCATGTAGATTAGTGGTCCGCATAAATTCGCATAAATTATATAAATTATCGATCGAAACCTTTTAGAATGGGTAAGCATTACAGGGGATTTTATAACAGCGTTTTCATTAACCGAAAAAGTGTTTTTTGTGATGAAAAAAAAAATGCATCTCGGTGAATACTAATGAAGAAAACCGATCATACAATTTCTTCGCTATACAATCATCAAAATTCGAAAGTGCAAAAGTACACAATATTAAATTATTACGAATAATATGTTGATCGTGTTGTGTATACTGTCAAGAGCCGTTATAATTATTGTTTTCATCGCTGCAGTTTTTGGCGCGCCATATCTAAAAAAAATTACATTAGACCACTTATGTCGCGTATTAAATTTATTGTACCTACAGGTATCAATATCGTGCGTGGATTTTACCATTCGAGTGGATTTGTTTTCTAAACGGACAACACAACAATAAAATATGTTACTATCGAATTATAATAATTATAATATATTCGATACAAATTATTATAACCGTATACTTTTACGAAAAGCTTATACGATAAACTATACGATGTCTTCCTATTATAAATGTATAATCCACAATAAAACCAGGTTTGATATAATGTACTACTATATAATATTATATAACTAGATGCGTCTCCGCAGGTACGAAAAAATGAATATTTATTAAAAATTCAAATTTAATTTAGTAGCTACAACTGTCTATTGGTGTTGTATTTTATCTACGTAATATGTATGAATTTATCTATACATATACATATTTGTATATTTTATCTTATCCGGCTAAACGAGAATAACTGAACCATTTAGTGTGAGGTCGCCATTTATATGCCCATCTTAAGAACTTTTCTCTATAATATTTTATTTAATACATCCACGGTCATTGAACAAAGCATTACCAATACTTAGTTTGAATTTCAAAGTCTCCAAAACGTTATAGAATCGAGAAATTAGTATTAATATTTTAAAATTGCTTCTTGTTCTATAGTCATCCTACGCTATCCATATTTTTGTAATAATTGACATCATATAATAAATAAATCTGATGTACATTAATGCAACAATAACCATATGGCTTATCAAACTACTAAATTTCAAAATGTACGAATAAAATAAAAATGAGTAGCTATAGCAGGGATACTAGACCAAAATAAAATTATCACGATTTTATTTTAAATCGTAATTTATGTATTTATATTAAAAATAGTGGATACAAATATGAAATATTAAATAGTTTTTATGAATGTAGTTTAATTAGTTATTAATTTACATCAATAATCGCACCACTTTTTTATTGTGTGCTAAATCTGGTAAACTTTTAATACTTTTAGCACTTTGTATTATAACGTAGGTTATGTATAAAATTGTGCAATCCTTATTTTTTTGAATTTAGATAGATGTCCCTGATTTATATCTGCTATATCTATGTATTTAAATTGTTACGTATCTTTTATCTTCATCTATAGATAATTATCCTAGCAATTATCTCTAATCTCGTAAGTAGATAATGTTTAAAGATATAATAATGTCATATAATTCACCTACGTTGTTTATCGTTCTCCTGAAATAATAATATTATCCAATAACTTTTATAATTAAAAAAAATATCAATTCTATACCCCCATTAGGAAAATGAACGATTCAATTGCACAGTATAATATATACTTTAAACTTACAACGCGTCGTCGACACAAGGTTTATTTATATCCGACACACGCGTCTACACTCCACAGTACATACAGTATATACAAACACATTATAGAACTTTTTAAGTTTTAAAAGCGCATATAGTAAATACATATATTTATATATTAATATTATATCTACATATTTATATAACACGTCAGTTTTTCAAATACTTTTTTCTTTTTATAATTTCATATCAAATAAAAATAAACGATAACACGTGCACGTACGTTTAGTCGTCCGTTCCGATCGTGAGATAGGATATCTCGCGAGTTTTATTATTCTGTCGTCATAGATGCTATGTAAGTACAACAATAATATTTTCCAAATGTTTTTTTTCCTAAGAATATCATGCAGATTTTCATGGAAAACAGACGGGGTTTTTTTACGGTCCACAGATGAGATTCCGTTTCACTATATTATACTTATACTTAAATATATAAAACTTGAAATGTGAGTCGTTTGCATTTTTTTCGTGGTTTGTGTGCGAATATAAACACAACGAACTACGTTTCTCGCGTCATCGGTTTTATTATAATAATATATATAGGTATATATTTAAGCGGAGTAAAGAAAAAGTGGAAAAAAAAAACTTAGACGTCCGCACAAATTGCACAAATATTATAAAAGGAACATGCAAAAACCACATATGTGTATTCGAAATAATAATTAATACAACTAAAAAATACCGGACACGATGTTATATTATATTATACAGGCGGGAAGTTAGAAAGATACAGAAAGTTTAGTAATATTTAGTTTATGAAAATATACTAAAAGTAACAATTCCGATTCTGAGTTGGGTAAACTGGTAAGATAATAGTATCAGTCGTTATTTTTCCACTTATATGACTTATTGTTTTCCAATTTTTTTGCCAATATACGGATTGTACAGAGAACTTCGATATAGGTCTTAGACCATCCAATAAATTCGCTGATGATATTTTAATATTTGGTAACTACTGATAATTATATATATGTATATAATATATCTTATAGTTGACTGTTCGCTTTATTATCCGTTATCATACAACAAAATAGAGATGAAATATTTATTGTACTGCGCCCAAGGATGTCTTCAAGAAAGTGGAGGCAAATCCGACAGTTTTCTATCCACATACATTGAATCTTATTAAAAATGCTGTTAGTTTTATTTTTATTGTATATTTGTTTGTAACTTGTGAATAATATATTTTTCTTTAATTCACTAACATACATCACAAAATCAAATAATATATACAGATTACAGAGTAATCAATTCTGTCTGTATGTCTGTATGTCCGCTACACTAATCAATAATTTTATTTTGATAACGTGTCATTCAAAATAAGCGGAAGGTCGCTGTATACTTTTTATTCTGAAATTTTACCCTTTAAAAGTGACTTACAATTGATGTTTGATATTTTAATATGAGAAAATTCAATTTTGTTTAGTCGATTTCCGGGTTACTTTAGTGATATGGACAAAATAAAACAAATTGTTAATTTATTATTCGATTTGGTTATCACGGACAAGGAAGTAACAATTTTTAAAAGATAACAAACCAGACGACCAGTGGTATAACACCGATAAAGGTGAAAAAGGGGAGATGCATTAAATTACATTTTTTTTTATTGCAAATTTTGGTTGAAAGGATCGAGCCCAGGAAAGGCCGAGTAATTATCAACTATATTTTATGATAAGTAATTGTAGGATTTCGTGCAACAGAAATATTAGTTTGAACTTGCCTGGTTATTGTACATAAAATGTTCATTCAGACAAGTTCGTTTTGTCTATATCATCGTGATATTTGATTTACATGTATTGTACTTGCACATAATATAGAAAGGACCAAACATTTTTGAAAAATACCTACTGTCTGGTTGTCACACAGAGTCTTTCGATTTAAAATTATATAAACGTCGAAACCGAGTTTAAATCTTGAACTTTCGTCCCTGTCCCTCAGCTAAAAGTTAAAGGCCCTTAACTGTGTCGGCCACTCATAATGTAAGAGACCACGACGTTGCAATTTTCAGACATGACTCGTCTGACACGGACGCGTGCACATATTGTTATCATAACATTATTATCATGGCGAAAATAATACAATATAATATTATGTTTTCGAAACGACGACGTAATGCGCGTTTAAGGCCGTATAATATTTTGTTACGACAATATATCAACTATACGTGTATATTATAATATACACAGTCATCTCGTCTCGCGATAATAATATTGTATATTGTACAGTCTACTATATCTATATAATTGTCTGGTTGGTGGCGACTCGTATGTAATTTCGTTTCGGAAAAAAAACCGACCGACCGATCGATTAGACACGACTTTATAATATTTGGGTTATTTTTTGTGAGCGCGTTTGCGTTTCCCCCACACTTTCTTTCGTTCATATTCATATCATTATTATTGTTATTATTATCTATGTGTACTGTATAGCATACATTGTATACGTATTCTGTATTCCACTAGTCAAAATAATAATAATAACAATAGCTATATCAAAATATACCAAACACGAATCAATTACGACATCATGCGTATAATAAAATGTGTCGAAATGATCCCCCCTCCCCCATCACAGAGAGCTGCGCGGAACCAGCGAATCGCGAATTCGGCCGGTTCGGTACTGTTTGCGTTTAGAATTCATCGTCCAGTACTAAATTATCCTTTTTTTTATTACACGTTTGCAGCCTTGTATGATAAAATAATTGTTAACTGATAAGCACGATTATCAATAGCTGAGTGCTTCCAATTATTATAAGTATTATTTAAGTATAAAATTACAACTATCTAATTTGTTATGTGACCCTATTAATTAATAGTTACTATGAGTCTAAAAGTTATCATATTTTATGGATTGTATTAATTATAGTGGACTATGCAATTTATTTTTAAAATTAGTGAAAGGGAAGTATCGGGGAAAAAACCCCCCACAATTTAGGTTGAAACAATAATTGCGAGGAATGCTAATTTTTCCTATGTCTTATAGTCCCTCTTCTTTTATTTTTTCCAATTCAAGAACTGGTCATACGTAGTTTTTTTCGAAAAAAATTGTTATACAAAAATTAACATAGCCATAACTTTATATTTAAGTACCTATAACCTAAAAAAAATTTTTTTTTTGTTCAAATTTGAATTTAAACCTTAACTCCACGATTTATATTTTAAGTAATGCAATTTTGCTATGTTGTCCGTTAATTAGACGGAAACATTACGCTGAATATTTCAGAAGGATTGAAGTTATCCAGAGTAAACGTAAAGTGACTTACAGAGGTACAACTTTACTGTCCTGTGATACACCAAAAAATGTTATCAATTATTAAAACTTAATGAAATAACAAATAAAAAAATATATATAATATTTATTTTTTTATCAAGAACTATACTAATAAAATAGAGAAATTCTCAAGTTTAAATTTTAGTAACTATTAAAATTGTATGTGGGGGGGGGCTAAGTCCTTTATTATCTGTGTCCGCCTATAAAGGGTATAGCCTCCTATTAAATGAACGAAGGCATAAATATATAATATATCACACATGAAAAAGGTGTTAATTCATTGTTACAAAAAATTTCAATAAAGCAAAAATTAACTTTACTGAAAACTGAACATCGACATTTTAACATTTTGCCATAATTTAAAAACTATAAAATTCAATGTGCTATTCTTCATTATTAATCGTAGTTTTTACATAATTTCGATGTTCAAAATTTAGCTGTTTATTTAATCAATTTGAAAATAAAATAAAAAATGACTTGACTAATATTGAACACATTGATTTAAATAATTTTCCAATGTCTTAATATAATTAACGTTAGATTTAGGAAACATATTCAATGTCAGATAAGCTGATTAAAATATATATTATACAATTTGAGCCAGTGCGATACGGTTTTGCGGAATTTGATCGCGGGAATGTTTATTTCGAAATAATACTATTTCCATATCATAAACAATATTATATAATATTAATAATATCGCGCAAAATGAGCTAAACAACAACAAAAATAAATGTATATATTATATTAAAAAATACAAAAAAAAAAACAATAATAAAAACGTAATTTTTTAACACGAGTTACACATCACGATATCGTAGTAAAGCGTAATAACAATAATTATAATGCATTGCAAGCAGACAAAACAGAGTGCAAACAAAATTATAATGTCGGACCGATGCGCGGTGTATAATAGTACTCGGGTAAAGGGAAATAAAAACATTTTTTATAATAAACACCAAGTTATTTCTCCTATCTATTTGTGTAATAGTCGATGATTTCTCAAGTGTAGGTCCGTTTCTAAAATAAAATGTTATTAAGTTAGTGCCTTGGGTGCATCTTTTGATTTTCCGAGGGAATTTCAAAATAATTGGGAAAAACAAAAAAAATAAAATAAAACAAAATTATAATTAAAATTGCAAATATTTACGACACACCGTGGCATTACCGATTTCATTTTTTGTAATTTTTGCTAATTATGTTTTATACTATAAATATTGCTGTAATCAAAAAATACCTAAATCATTTTTTTTTTTTTTGTATTTTGAACCTAGTTGGTCAAGAAGTAAAGGGTTTTTTAATTTTACAAATAGTTTTCATAACAATCAAAGTAAAAACAGTAAAAAGACAAAAAATGAAACTTAAAATTTGTACGGTTTATGTTTTCTACTAGAAATATTGCACCATAAGAAAAACGAAAAAAGACCTTTTTTGTTACATTTGTAATCTAGTTGGTTAGTAAGAAAGTCGTTTTATGATTTTCCGTTCGGTTTTTTTTAATAATTGAGCAAAACCGAAAAAAAAACGTAGAAAGAACGGGAACATTAACAAAATTAATGCTTTTACTATTTTAAATTTTATAATTTCGTTGTAATTCAGTTAAAAATATTTGTAGAGACTTGACTATTATTTTTTAGGTATTTTTTTTCTCCTTGTAACCTTTAATATATAATAAAGTAACCATGAAATCGACAAAATTTAAAGCGACAACGTACACGTTTTCATTATATTTTTAGAAAAACTAACGGAAATCTAGAAAGTTTTCAAATAAAGAAAAACTACAGGTCAAAAATGTATTTAGAAACTATAAAACGGTATAATATGATAAGGCACAATTTTTTCTAATTTGTTACTTCGTTTTAGCCTCTTATACCCGTATTTTTATTTCTGTTTATCACTCCAATATTCATATAGGTAAAAACGTATAATTTACATAAAGATTTAAAACTTGTACGAGGGGATAAAGCAGACATTGTTATTATTTTTTACTCAAAATTCGAGCTACTTTCTCAGTTAAAGATATAAATATGGAGATTTATGTACATTTTTTAACCAAGATTAAGTAGTTTTGGTTTTAATTTTAGTAATACATTTTTAACAATATATATAATTTTAGAATAACAAATTTTGGCTTATCATCTTGTATCGGAAATGAAAATAAATATAGCATTAGGAGGTTAAAATGGGGTAAGTACCAAATTACAACAAATTAATGACTAATTTGTCACATAATTTTTAAAGTCGGATGCTAGGATAACTAAACTGTGTAATATACAAAATATTATTTTTACCTGCCTCTCCACAAGACTCATAAGACTCGACAAGAAGTACTCCTGTAATTTACTGCGTACATACATAATACAATTCGTGTCAATTTATACGTCATCATAGTGTATTTTATAAGTACTTCAATCGTATCATAATATTTTTTGTTTTATGCAACAACCGTCACTTTTAGTTTTAATTGCGATGTTAAATTCAAATATTTGTGTGCCTATAAAGGTGTGTGCGCGCACTCGTATTATTTTTTCATTTAAACTGATGACCAAATATTTAGGTTGGTGAACAAATTTTAAAAAAATCCGCCGAAAATTCGATATAAATAATAATTCGAATGTATCGTACGCATGTGATTATAAATATTATTTTGTAATTGATATTATAAGACTGCTCGAAAATATGATATTTTGGTTTAACGTAACCATAATAATGTAATAGTAATTTAATAAAATACATTTTAAATGGCCCAAGGGTCATATAGCAATAATTCTAGTAATGGCTAAAATGGAAAAAACTTCGAATATTTACCGAAAATCGCAGGATATTGCCGAGAACTAACTAAATTGAACCAAACTTTTAGGAAACCCTGCATCATGGAGACAAGACTTTCAAAATGTTTTTCTCATACGCATTTGATTATGAAAATTTTAAATATTACGAGTAATGGGGTTTAAAAATGAATTGCCCTAAAATATTATCATGTGCATATTATGTCTATTTCGTAAAAATTAAGTCAAACGTATTATTATCAATTACGATTAAGTATTATCTAATAGGTATTAAAATATTTATTTTTAATACAATTAATTGGAGTTTTTATAATTTCATTAAAACTATCTCAGTCACGATAGTTAAAGATTCCCTCCAGACTTCGAAGACTTAAACTGAAAGTGAGACTAAAAGGAACTGATAATTTAAATTAGAAGACGGACTCCGTCTCCCTCCCCATATTAACCATTGAAGGTATGACGTTTACCTTTTTGCCAGACAAAAAGTACTTCATATAGCGACTTAAGATATTTTAATTTTTAATATATTTAATATATTTTTAATATTTACGAGCATTTATACGAAAAAATAATTAGAGATATTTGTTCGAATTTAAAATTGCAGACTATAGCAACGGATTTCCTATGACTCTTTCGAATTTCTCGACTATTCCGGGGATTTCATGTTTCCTGTGAAAACCTCGAATACCACCGACGAAATTCTTCTTCTCATTCCTCTTCATCCGAGTTAGCCGTCCTCGTCCTAAATTTATCCCGACTTCCCATATCATCCTCGCTTACACCGTTCTTATATTCTCATTCACATCTAACTGCGTCGTTTTCGGTCTTCTACTCATCCAACCATTCTCGTGTCAACTACACTTATTCTCTGTTCTATTTTTCTGTCTACCACCCAACATTCTAACTCATACAACACATAGTAGGTCTCACCATATTCTTATAGTATATTTACTTTAAATTTCATTGGAATTTCTCGTGATAAAAATAACATGACTATTATTTTCACTTGATCCGACCAAACTTAATCCTATATTTCACGTTCCCATCAAAACAACAGTCCTCTTATACAAAAGATCATAAGTACTTAAAATTCTCAATCTCGCTTATATCATTGTCATTTGCCTGTCTTGTCTGTCAAACTCTTGTCCTCTTTTTCCAAACTCATACTATATATTAATATAACTGTACTTCTACTTTTATTCAATCCCTTTCCTCCGAGCGCTACTCTCCTAAAGCCTACTTTTCCTTCATCCAGATATTCTCCTATCAATATTATATTATCTGAAAACAGCATGCGCAGTGGCACAGTGACTTATAATCGATAATACATTATAACGGAAAAAGGTATGGGGCTTAAAACCGAATATACTTTTGACACTCGCATTAGAACTTTCGGGTATAAAATCTTCTATATCAAAAACTGATAAACGATTTCAGAACCGCATGCAAACTCATAAAAGCCTTCATTACGTGCACAACCAAAACCTCTACAATTTAATAATCGACGGAAATAAAATGCAGCTTACGGGTTACGAAACGTGTGAAAATGTAACAATTGTATTATTATAAACCGCGCAAATAAAATGAATTTAGACGAACGCGTCATTTACACGCGTAGAAAAAAAAAAAAATAATAATAATAATAAGTCTGTGATACGCGAGTCGGCAGCCGTTGCCGCCGCCGCCGCCGGGACCGCGAGACCGGAGAGGTGCCGCCGCCGGGTGGGCTGGACAAGGTTACCGGAACATGAACGCCGCGAGGCCTAGACGTCTAGACGGTTCTACGTGCCGGTGGCGGTGGATTGGAAAGGGGATTTGCGGGCCGCGTCTGGCGGACAGGCGGGCGGGCGGCGGCGGGCAGACACCGGCCGGTCGGCCGAACGGCAGCATCGTCGTCATCGTCGGCGCGCGCGCCGCGGTAGGGGGAGGAAACGTCGGCGGCGCGGCTGCGATAGAAAGGACGCGACGACGGCCGCGTTCGCTCGTTTGTACGTGTCTGTTGTATGTGCGCGCGCGTTCACCGCCGCCGCCGATCGGGACGGCGAATGTAATATAGTATAATAGCCACAGACACCTTAGTAATATTTTCATATCATTAAAAAAAAAAAAAAAAAAAAATTATCAAACAGAAGAAAAGGCCGCGATTTTTTAGAATAGTGAATTTTTTTTAACTGTTTATTATTCCAAAACAATTAAAAAATTCGGAATTTTTTTTTTCGTTAGACTACGAAAAACACAGAGAAAAACGATATTTTAAACTTTGTATTTCCGGTGACATACGGGGGTACTAACTTACCATGTTTTCTTGGACGTTCGCGTGTCGTGGAAGAATACGCGTACTGCTGTCGACCGGGGTTAACTACAGCAGTGTTTGTTGGAGATGTCTGTTGTACCGCGACAGCGTCGGCTGGTGCAGTGTAAACAGAACATTGATAACGCTTCCCCGTGAATAATACTGTCGTGGTTTTTTTCACGTACGAGAAAACTAACGACGAAATACGCGCGTCGTGTAACGGGCGGACCGATTACGACGACTGCTGCGGTCGGATTTTAGTATAGGTACTGTAATATATTATACGGTACTACGGTACAGTCTAAAAAAAACCGAACGTGTTTTTGAGGCGGTGACGATTACAATGATTTTACGATTATAAGTTACGGCGGCCGGTACAACAGCTACTGTTATTTCGTTAAAAATATTATTACGAGTATTGAGACGACGACAACGACGACGACGGCGGCAATACGCGGATAACGTTGCGGCGGCGGTGGCGGTCCGTCGACAACTGATCGTGAAACGTGAGGACGGCGGGACGACTAAAAAAAGAACGGGCGTGTGCCCGTAACGTTCCTGCCGCTGGTAACTGGTAGTAGTAGTGAGCATAGAACGCGTGAGCGCGTGTGTATGACCCCCGACCGACCAAGGTGCCTCAACATTTTCGTGTCTGCGCCCACGTTCAGTACGCACCTTGCCGCCACCGCCGTGGCGTCGTGTCCTGTCGATGACGCGCCGCACCGTCGCTCCCACCAACGACGGCCGCGGCCAATTTACCGTCGACAAGTTCCGTATTTCCCTGACCCCCCCTCCACCCCGACCGCCGCCCTTAAGAGTATGTAAGTTACCACCGCCGCTCCATTTGCTCGGAAACGACTCGACGGCACAAACAAACTCCCGTGCGCGACCATCACGAAATTGCCGAAAACGAAGTTAAAACTATCGAAATGTTGCGGGGCGAGAGGAAAAAAAAGAACCCCGAACGAGGAAAAAAAAAAAGCGCCGTAATACGACGGAATAATTGGCAAGCGCAGTCATCATTGATTGTTATGTCTGACACCTTGGCTCGAGTTCAACACCCAGCCGCCGCCGCCGCCGCCGCCACCGTAGTACATAATATTATACTATACCATAGTATAGTAGTATTTTACCGGTAGCGACGGCGGCGGCGGGTGCCCGGACGATATTGCATGTGCGTGCGTATATTATATGCCATTCCCGTCTCTTTTTCCCGTTTATCCCACGCCCATCCGTGTCCCATCACACCACCGCGGAGGAATTTTCTTTTTGAGACCGATCCAAAGTCCCGCTCGGTGAGATAGCGTAGGAAGATCGTAATTATATTTGGAATGCGTCCGCCCCGCCACGATATAATAATAATAAAAAATATGTGACAATCCCACGACGCGCGGCGTTTAGTTTTCACCGTAGGGACGCAATAATAAATTGTACAATATAAAATTGTGTAACAGTCGAGCCTGCGGTGGTGGCAGACGACCACCCGCTAGATTTTTTTATACCGGGCTGCAATAAAAAAAAAAAAAAACCATCCGAGCGTAAAACTGACTGTTATTTTCGAATGATAAAATTTAAAACATTCGAATGAAATAATTTTCATTTCTCAATCCAGAAAATAAACCGTCGGACATGCAATTCGCACTTCTGAAGTTAGGACGTAGATAGGATAATATCCAGTTTATATTAGTGATGTGACATAAATCCGGATTATCCGAAAATCCTGATTTCGAATTTTAGACAACAAAATCCGAAAATATACGGATTCCAGACTTCACATTCCCATGTAGGATTTCGAAATTCAAGTTTTTGTTTTTTTTTTATATATATATATACGAGTATTTGTATTTTTTCTTATTTAAAATATATTTTTTAAAAAATCTGTAATAGCGAACTTCAGCAAATCAAGATTTTTCACACCACTAATTTATATATTATGTACTGAAAGCAACAATTAATCAATGAAATAAAAAAAAACTCTCCGGAATGGAGCTCAGTAAGCCGGTAATTTCATTTTACTTATTTTTTCTAGTAAATCAAAAATCGACAGAAATAAAATCGTTGATGTATCTACGAGTCGTTAGTTTTTTTTTTTCAATTTTAAAAATACTCGATTTAGTCAAATTTAGTCAAATTATTAAAGTAACGTTTTGGGAAGGATTTATTGGTTTTACCGTGATGTGTATTTTTTTATTATTATTTTTTTTTTCTTGTCTGGGTCATAGCAACTTTTCTACCAGAAAACTTGTTCCGTTGGTGCAGCACTTTTTTTCGAGCTATTTACAGATATTTTAATTTAGTGAATTTTTACGTCATTTTAATTTGGTAGGTACTTTGCGGATCAAATATTAAGACTAATCAAAAATGCTTGAAAATTTAATAGAAAGTTTATTAAAAGTCGTACTTCGTGGTAAAAAAAATATATTTTTTTTTTTACATAAAAATTTTGGTATCAAATTTTAACGAAAATCGTAAATATTACAGCCTCTCAAAACATGTGTAACTGAACTTATGGGCACACAGACTATCAAAGATGTCACTGTAAGACGACGTGTAAAACGAATAAATGTATCTGTCGTGTAATTGGAAAATTATGCAATTCTAAATGCCACACTTCTTTATCGTGTGGAAATAAATGATTATCACATACAAATTTAAATATTCTTTTTTTTATTTTATTTATTAAAAAATATACAATAATTAACATAAAATTCTATTTGAATTATAAGTAACATCATTAACTAATATTGTTTAGAATTAACGTAAATTCTTAGTAAATAACATTAAAAACCTTACAAATTATTCATTATTATCCATTAACGTTAATTACTAGATAATAACGTTAATATGAATTTAACATCATTTACTGTAGCATAGCTTCCCGAAATCGATTTGACTAAAAATAACATGCTTTTATTTTTTTTTATAGTATGATTGTTTTGGATTTCAACTTTAATATTATATCTTTCACTGTTTCATAAAATATATAAGTATTTGTCATTTTTACATTAATCATTGCACTTGCGGATGACTTTTTCCTATCTGCATAAATCGGGTTATAATTAATGTTTTTTAAATTTTAGATTCTTTTTTTTTACTCATTTTTTTATTTAAAAAAAGAAAACTTATAATTTGTATTTGAGTAAACACAATAAGTAAATATGATAAATTTGTACATGGAATAGAAAAATACAACAATAACAAGATGTCTTGATGAGGGAGGCTATCTAGTGATAGAACCCTTTATTTTAGATTCTTAACGGAGCGAGGAATATATTGGTTTTACAATGATGTTTATTTTTTTTCTGTAGATAACTTTCTACCAGCAATATTGCTCCGGTTTTCAGTGAAAGCAACTTTTATGAAAGGAAATTGGACTGGGGAAGTATTTTAAGCAGGTAATTTTTTGATTTTCCCAGGAGTTTTCCCAATAAATGAGAAAAACGGGAAAATAAGTACAATATTAAACAAATAATATTAAGAAAACTATATAATGCATATGTAATTAGTTTACCATAATATGACATATATATATATTGTTGACAAAGCCACACTATTAACCAAGTTCCGTTCAAAATCGTTTTTTCATTAACAATGATCAATCTTTGCCTAAACTAATTTAACCATTATGTATTTAATATATGTTACCTAACGTATCAGCGTAATATTTGTGGTAGAAAAGTTGTTTACTGAATAAAAAAGACGTCCTAGGATAATGAGGACGGGTGCAGCTTCTATTATAGGTAATTTAATGTGTATACCTGTTAACAATGATAAACTATCGCTTAAGAAAAAACGATTCTGAGCGGAGTTCAGTCGATAGTGATGCTTTGTTAACAATATATATGGCATATTATAGTCGAAAAATTAAATAAGCTCTATACGTTTTTTTTAATAATATTTGTTTAATGTTGAACAGATTTACCCGGTTTTAAAATACCTAAAATACCTCTACAGTGAAATTTCCTTTCAGAAAAATTGCTATCATTAAAAGTTGGAGCAAAATTGCTGTTAGAAAACTTGTCCACAGAAAAAAATATCGTAATATCCTACCGTATATATTTCGTACATTTTCCCGTTTTTTTTCTTCGGTTTTTCGCATTTGGTGAGAAATCTCTTGAAAAAACCGAAAAATGAATTCCTTAAAGTACCTCTTCACACTGATTTCCTTTCAGAAAAGATACTACACGTAAAATCAGTGCAAGTTCTCTGGTAGATATATTGTTTAGAAAAAAAAGTAAGCATCTTTGTAAAACCATAAGCTTCTTCACTCTACTCAGAATCTAAAGAATAAAATATGATAAATAACACTGTAAAACCAATAAATTCCTCGCTACACTCTAAATGCGGTAAGTTATGATGATGATAGTTGATAATATCTGTTTTATCCGCGTCCTTATTGATAGCCATCGTAATATTGTTTGGGTTAGATTAATGGAATTTATTGTGCGTGTATAAAAATCTCTTATCGTATAGTTTTATTATGACGATTATCATCACGTATAGTCTGTCTGAAAAAAACCTCATGTATTATTATTATTTTTTAGATGGCCGAGATTTCGTATGTTTTGTCTTCGTCTGCAGGCGTTAGTAATAATGATAATAATAAGATAACGAAACGATTTCTATTATATGAAAAATAATAATATATAATAAATTGTTAACTTTTGACACTGAAATCAAATTCTACCCCTTGGTTTCTATAGTTAAAACGTACGACCTTTGTCGGGCATCTATTAGGGGGGCGGGAAGGAGTTCACAAATATTGTATGGTTTTTAAATACAATGTAACGTAAGATACTCTCGTTTCTCGTTATCTCAGAAGGTATCTACTCAGTTTTTTTTTTTTAAATTTAAGAAACGAAGAGCTTTAAAATGTTACGCTTTATATAAGACTACTAGGAACTTTCCTTTTTTTTTCAAGTAATGACCTATATAATATGAAGTTTTAGTAAAAATAAATTTCGATTTTGACATTTTTAATTTCCGTCGACCCGTCGACGAGATATTCCACTTTTAAGTTTGCCGTTATGTTGGATGGGGAAAGAGTAGTGGAGCGCACACAAACGATTTTCTACATATACTACTCTCGCCCTCACCACAAATCTCAAAAGTGGAATATCTCGTTAGCGGGTCAACGGAAATTAAAAATCTCAATAACAAAAAAAAACTAAAACGTCGGCTGTTTATAGAATTTTTAATATGAATCGCTATTTAAATATCTAAGCTTGTATAGCGGTTTTACCGCCGAAAATAAGCGCGATAAAAAATAAACTAACGTTTTAGAGCTGTTTGTTTCTCAAATTTTTGAAATAACAAAATTTCTAAATTAGTTAATAGATGTTCACTTTTCGAGATAAAATCCGAAAGTAATTTGGGCTAGGCCTTGGGAAGAATATAATGGATAATTGTATGCAAATTTTATAAAAAGGGTGTTAGTTATAAACTTATTAGCTAAGGGTTATTTTTATAGGGAAGTTAGGTTTTTTAAACAAAAGTTTATCCCAATTATAATAATGTCTTACATTGAAATAATTAGTATAGATAAAATTATAAATAGGTGTTAATCACAAACAAATTGTACAATTTATAACAACAAATCCGCTCTTCTTGGTTTTAAAGCCATTTCATTCGGTCTTCTAATTGGATTTATAGGTATATTTCTACACATCGGTAATCCGTTTGATCGATTCTAATGAACAACATATTTAGTTATTATTTCTTAATTACGTGCAATGCTTTTATATAGTATTTTAATTTTTAACTATAAACATACCATACAAATCGTGTTACGCAAATAATTTTTAGTAGAGTATAATCTCAGCTAGCGATTATTATGTCGGTCACCATTTCAGCTCGCATTTTATCAAGAATTTAAATTAAATTTAACTTTCCGAATTTCGTTTCATAATTGTGTGTATTCAAAGAATAAAAAAAAAAGGTTGGTGAAAAATTTGACAACCCCTCCCTCTCACGATTATACCACTGATGCCGATTGGCTTGTATATTACACACATTATGTATGGAAATAGAACCCGTCATCGTTTTAAAAGCACTACATGGCGGTGTTTACGCAATCGGAACAAAAGAGCTATGTGTTATAATAATAATATGCGATGTCAGTAACACGATGAAGAGTGGCACTGTGTAAACGAAGACCGATCGAATTTCGGTATTATGACCACATCGTCGTTTGCCAACGTCGAACTTTTGTAAGTATACATAAGTACGCGAGTTGTATGCCGAGTTTTTAGCAACAGTGAAATATACAGATGCCGAATCTATTAATTTCTCCGTGTGACACGCACTGGCAAGAGCACCCGCAGGGGGGTGCCGGTGGGGGAAATGACCCTCCCGCTATTTTAGTTAATATTAAATATTAATTATTTTATTACTTGTATGGCTTAAATATTTAAGCAATGATAACTTTTGTAAGTTGTAAAAAAAGTCTTGAACATTTGACCTTGGCCCCTCCCGATTTATACTTCAGCGGGCACTCTTGCACATTGGTGGTCAATGGTGTACGTAAGAGGGAAGTGGTTAAGCGCCATAAGGTGAGAGGGCATAAATCCACTAAAATAAAACCTCGTATTAGTGAAATTGGAGAAACTAATCAATTATTTTATTATATTTTTTTTTTTGCAAAATAAACCATTCGTAAAGTCAGTTTTTCAAGTATTTTTCTGGCATTTATGCCCAAATAATTAAGATTTTGCATTCTTATAATAATTAAATTGTGCACTTGGTAATTTAACTGTATGTATATATTTTAGTCATGTTACAAGTAAACACTGGAAGCCGGTTGAAACGTAGTCAATCAAAATATCGATAAGTACAAAATGTCTATAGGTCAATATGTCGACAAATTACAATTTCGACAGATCAATATGTCAAAAAATTAAAATAAAATAAATATATGAATAATGCGAATAAAAAAAAAATATTTTATAGGATATAAATTATATAAATACAAATAAATACCTATTATTGGATATAAATTATAAATAAAAATAAAGTGTATGAACCATGAAATTTTTTTTTTTTTTTGGTTTTTTATTAGAAAATATACAATCTGTAAGTTAGTTTTACAATAAGAATATGGGCTATAATAAATTGAAATGATTTTCTTGATAAAGCAACTACACTTTATTGGTTTAATATTTTAATGTTATGTTAAATATATTTATTTTTATTATTTTTTTTTTTTTTTGAGATTAAGAGTTTAGGTCACGGCACCATCTTCTCTTAAGTCTTCTTTGGGGATTCCCAGGGATTGTTTGTGCGTTAAGTGCTGCGATTAGCGGGTCGGGGTGGTTCTCTAGTCGTAACCGATAACGTTTATGTATAATTGACGACATTTTTGAGACAGTTTTAATATATAGGTCAGTGTGGAGTGTGTGATTGGATACATAAAAGGGGGCCTTGGTTATCATGCGTAAGGTAATCGATTAAAATCTTTGTATTATGTTTAAATTTGATGGTTTAGCCATACCCCATAGCTGGATGCCATAAGTCCATATAGGCATGAGAAATTGTTTATAAATTAGTAATTTGGAATTGAGGTTAAGTTTAGAGTGATTACCTATCAAATAGTGTAGTGATTTCCTTCTGAGGTTTAGAGTGTTGCGTTTAATTTTTATATGTTCTGCCCAGGTGAGTCTCTTGTCTAGGGTTAGACCTAGGTAACGGATGTTGGGGACTATTGGTATTGTTTGATTATTTAGGTTAACAGAAGGTATATCACCCTGCCTTAAAGAATAAGTAATGTGTGATGACTTTTCGTTGTTAATTTTAACTTTCCATTTAGTATACCAGGAAGATAGGCTGTTTAGGTGGTTTTGTAAGTGTAGAATGGCAGTGTATAGATCATTTTGAGAAGTGTATATAATTTTGTCATCAGCGAATTCGGCTACTGAAGTATTAGGGGAAGTTGGTTGGTCAGCTGTGAATAAGTTGTATAGGAAAGACGATGAAACAACACCTTGGGGGACACCAGCTAGTATAGGGGTAATTGATGATACTTCCGTGCCTACTTTTGTCACAAAGAAACGGTTATTGGGGTACGATTGAAAGAAGAGGAAATAAGGCGCGGGAAGAATCGCTTTTAATTTATAAAAAAGTCCCGGGTGCCAAACCCGATCAAAAGCCTGGGCAACATATAATGAAACAGCAGAGCAATATTTTTTCATTTCCATGAAATAAAATAAAATTATAATGTCATATTGTGACCAGCGAACTGAACTTTTCGCCACACACTTTGTCCCAAATGAAAGACACATAATCGACTTTGTGAACTGTTGTTTAACTGCACAAATAGCCGCTTGTTCAAAATCAGTTAAAATATAGTCAAGCTGTAAAACTATATTATTTTCCTATACATAGTCTTGTAAATCTTGAAACGTACGAATATAACATTGTTTAGGTTTACTACTAAAGAGAGCAAAAATTAGAGGTAAAGTTCTTGAATTTGTATCATGTCCAACCGAAACATAAACTGAATAAGTTATATTCAATTAGAAATATTGCGGAATTTCTCCGCACGGAAAATACTATTTATTTTATCGTTATCTGTGTATACAAAGCTACACCAATGACATAGAGTATTCAATAGAATACCATTCACTTTATACTTTTATCCGTTTACATATTAAATAAATTAACATCAAATTATAAAATTAATTTTTTTTTTAATATTTATACTTGTCGATGTTAGGTATCTGTCGACATTTTGTATTTGTCGGTATTTTAATTGTCGACTTTTCGTACCAGACCCGTAAACACTTGATTAATTGATTAAAAATAGTTTTTTTTTAGAACCAGCTTTTAAATTCTCATTATCTAATTCGGCAAAGAACATTTTACGATCTATTTATGGTTAACATCAATTGTATTGAAAATTCCTGAGCACACCACTGCTGGCAGTGTTACAGTGGCGTACCAACAAGGAGGACGGTGTGATTAATATATCACCTCCCAAAATGAAGTCTAGAACTTAGACCTTATTTTCTTTTTTACTATAACTCGTTAAGTACAGTACAAAATGAAAAACATCAAGTGGAACATCATTAATATTTTTTGGTTTTATCTAGAAAAATATCAGCATCATTTAAAATTTGATAATTGACACGAAAAAGTCCGAGTGTTTTTACTAGATTAGTAAAAACGCTCTGACAAAGTGGTCAAATATAATATCAAATGGACGGTGCGTCCGTTGAAAGACGCGAAAGAAACATAGAAGTCTTTTCCGAATGTAATGTGAAATATTTGAGAGCCTATAATAGGCAATTATACGTAGGTTCCCTTAGAGAAAATGCTATCGTGTTAATACTATAGTTTCAAATAACGCGTATTATTGTTCTTAGAATATATATATATATATATATATATATATATATATATATATATATATATATAAATAATATGTATAAAAATAATCGAAAATCACGTTCAAATTATACGTCGGTGTAGGTTTAGGCGAAAAAATGACAACGTCGCACTACGTTCACACGCCCGTCAAGCTTGTGCACAAACTGCGCCCAATAATCAGTTATACACGCTAAATAATACTACGACCTTCTAATTTTGTTTTTTTTTTCAATTTGTAATCCGAAACATGTTTAGTGAATACGTCGTACTTAAAATCCGCCTGATGAAATTTTCCATTCAAAATTCTAAGGACTTTTCTAAATAACGTGCATCATGATTGCGTATTAACACGTGTCGCCGGTTGTCTTCGTCTTACAAACGTACGACATAACAAATTGGCGTTTTGCAGGGATAATATTGTTCCGTTAGTTTTAACATTAAAGTGAAATGACCTATATCTTATCAAACTTAAAGATAAAATAACATTATCTGTGCAACATCAGCGGGTTTTTTACGATATTTTAGTTTTTTAAAGAGATAAACGAGTATGTGAAATATCACGATTCAATAACTTTTATATCGAAAAAGTAGCTCCCACGTTACACAGATAATGTTTTTATTTTTATAATTGATAATGGCTTAATTCACTGTAATATTTGCAGTGTAAGACGGAAACTGCACTTTCGGGTATAACATCCGCTCAATAATAATTGGGTACGATCGTATTAAGTCAAACCGGCAAAGAAAACAAAAATAATAAAACGTTAATATAATAATTTATAAAAATATATTTAATATAAACATTAAATTTCGAAAAAAAAAAATCAACACCTACCTCCTAAATATTATAATAAATACAATATTCATTTTTTCTAAAATTATTATAAAATCGTTTTTTTTTTTTTTTATTACCCGTCATGAGTGTCTAGACAAAGAAGAAATACAGTGAAACCTAAAAACTCATCGTCAATCATCATAATAATTAAAAAAATAATCTAACCTTATTGTGACATTTTTGATAGTCAAATGTATCAAAATTTAATTTTTTATATGATAAAACAGTAAAACACTCGCCAGTGATTATCGATTATCATATACCATTTCCGGAAATTTAAATATTAATATTGAGTGGTTTTATAGATTCTTAGCATAGCGAGATTGGTATTACTATGGTGTGTATGTTGTTTTTTTTTTATGTTTGTAAAAACTTTTTCTTCCAGAAATCTCGGTCCAAAATGTATAACAATTTTCTTATAGCATTTTGATATAGTTGGAACATTGAATTCTGTTCATTTTTTGATTTTCTTCGTAGTTTTCTTGATAAATGGGAAAAACTAAAAACTGTTGACATAATTTTCATTGATTAGTGGGTTATCTTGGCAAAAAGGAAAAACTACTAATAGTAATACTCTGTTCAAAATCGTTTGTTGTTGGTTTATCGATGCGTACAGATATAAATTGGTAAAATTCTTCTCTTTTCAACTTCCCTCTTAGGGGCACACTCATCAACAGTATATCGGCTTTTTTTACTGTATAATCGTATGGTATTAAATATAAAAATATATTTAAAAACGTCAAAACTACTCACTACAGTTCAATATAGTAATAGAAGGAACAAAACAATATATGAATATTAACCAGAAAATACGTTTAAACATAATAATCCAAAATAAGTCAAAAGTAATGAACTGATAATAAATTAATAAATGAATAATGAAAACAACGAAAATAAGTCAAACATATTGTACTTTGGTGTTGTGAATTATTTGGTTTTAGACGAGAAAATATTATATAGAATATACGGGCTGAAGTCGTTTTTCGTAGTCCGTCGGCGTAAGAGTTTAAGAGCGAAATTTGCCCACCTCTCCAGTTATCCTCTATAATATATGATATAGTTTCGCGGTTATAATAATAAATCATTATTCGTTCGAAAAATGATTCTTCCGCAAGCGGATCATCGGAATTGATTTTGTTTTGTTTTGTTTTTTTATTTTGAAAAATAATCTCGCCGAATTGAAAATGTCCAAAGAAAGAAAACCGACCTTCCGAGACCGAATCAAATAAAATGACAATAACGTCGTAGTTTTCTATCGCACGCGCGATAGGTCGGCTGGCACAAACGCGCCGAGATTTCTCCGACGGGTCGGACGGTCAAATGAGAGACTAGACACAAGAGTCGCCACCGCTGCGGCCGCGACCCGACACGCAAACGGTTACGATTGCGTACACTACACCGGTGGCAGCGGTCTGCGCGTCAAGGTATTCGGTTGTAATAGGTCGTTGTACCCGGGGACGCTCGCGCGCGGAGCAGCGGCGTATTAGTATTCATGACATAACTACGCGACGACGCCGTCGCCACCGGCTCGCTAATATACTACTACCCGCGGTGCTCTTGTCTACACGCGGATAATGTATAAAATATATCAGTCGTCGTCATCGTCGTTGTTGTTGTTGTTGTTGTTGTTGTTGTTACGATCGACGACGGCGTTGGTGCGGTATAATAATGACCGTAGCCGCGTCGGGGCGGTTCGCGCGACCTGTCGTCGTTATTACGATAATGTGTCGCGGTGTCGGTCGTTAGTTTCTCCCCCGGCACCACTCCGTGTGTCCGCCGATCGTTTCGCGTACTACCTACTAAAACGATATTTTTTACGATTCTGAGAGGAACGAGAAATGTATTGGTTTTACAATGATGTTTATTTTATATTTTTTTTTATGCGAACGCGTTTTCAATCAGAAAGCACACTCTGATTATCGAGTATAGCACCTATTCTAAAAAAAAAAAAAAAAATGTTCTCTAGGTGGTACTTCAAAGAGGTCATTTTTTGAAATTTTCATTAATATTCGAGATAATGAGGAAAACGTGATTCTTCAGGTTAGGAAATATTGCAAAATTAAAAAATACGTCCTAGGATAATAGGGACAGGTGCAGTCACTGTTATAGACAATTTAATGTATACCTGTAAGCATTGATAAACCATTGCTTACGAAAAAACGATTCTGAGAGGAATTCAGTTGATAGTGATGCTCTGTCAACAATATATTTGTCATTTTAAGGTAAAACAACATTAAATAGACTTTATATATTTTCTTTAATAATATTTGTTTAATGTTGTACCAGTTTTTCCAGTTTTCATACAATTTTCCCGGTTTTCCTATATTTTATCCTGGTTTATCACATTTGCTGGGAAAACGTCTCTTGGGCAAATCAAAAAATGACCTCCTTATAGTATCTTCCCAAGAAAATTTCCTTTCAGAAAAAGGTCTACATCGTATACATCGAACAAGATTTCTGGTAGAATTTTTATACGCAGTATAAAAAAAATAAACATCTTTGTAAAACCATATACACTCGCATATACTTCGCTACACTCAGAATCTAAAAAATCTCTAGTTGTTCTTTCATTGGATTAATATATCTGATAAAAAAAAGAAAGCGTCAAAATTTAAAATAATGAAATCGTAACGGCGTAAATTTGTCAGTTTTAATTTTACATTTTTTTTGTCGTTTTTTCCTATTTATTATGAATTGGAGCAAAAAATGTTGTAAATAAACTTAAAAAGTATAATAAGCGTATATCTAAGATGCATTAAAACCAAAACATTCTTCAGAATCAGAAAACAAAAATAAAAAACGATGATTTAGCGTCGTCGGTAATGTTATAAGTATTAAAATAACAATTATTATTTATTTTAGTTTACTTTATAAATTTAAAGTATGTTACAGATATATACAATGTTGTATATTATTATATATTATCGTATACTGGTAAATTTTCATTTATTCTTGCCGGAGATAAGAAAACAGCGTCTAGACAGTTTAACAGGAAGTCGATATAAACTGTGTTTTCAATTAGTCTGTGCATGAGATATAGAAACGTTTTTCTTCTAAGAGCGCCGACCAATTTCCCAAACGAATGACGAAAAAACATGTTATTCTAATCATCCACAATCGTATTAACATAAAATAATAATAATAAAAAAAAAAATAATAACAATAATAAACCTTTTGTTTCTAAGATCTTTTTATTTTTATTTTTTTGAAAACTTTTATTCCCCCTTCGTCAATTTTTCGTACTGCAATTTATAATAATTTACGGAAATGGTATTTTTTTTATTCTTATAATAACAGAAAATTATAAAATATCATCAGACGACATTTATCTCGCAGATAGGTCATATTGTTGTTGTTGTTATTATTATTGTTATTATATATACGTACGTGAAACACAAAACGTACAGAGCACTTTAACAGATATTAAAAACGATTATATTCGTACATTTTTTTTTTTTTAGATTCGAAGTGTAGAGAGGGATCTATTGATTTTACCATGATAATATGTACTTACATTTTTTCTGTCTGTAAACAACTTTTTGAAAAGAACTCTTGCTCTGATGTATAGAGTTTAGTACTTTTTCTGAAATTAAATTTTTTCTAGTTGGTGCATTGAATAGGTCAGTTTTATGATTTCCAAGGAATTTTCGAAAAATTAGGAAAACCCGAAAAAATGTATAGGTAAATGGTAAATATATTTATGTCGTGCCACGGCGTTACTAATTTAATTTTTTTTTTTGCGCAGCTTATGTTTCCTATCCGAAATATTACTCCAATCGAAAAAAAACAAGAGATCGATTTCGTTCTTTATAGTCACTGACAAATCAAGTTTTTTTTTATATCCAATGTAGTTTTCATAATAATTGGGTAAAACCAAACAATTTAAATTGATCAATATTAACGGCAACATGACATCTCGGTTTAACTATTTTAAATTTTGCTAACGATGTTTTCTACCAGAAATCTTGCTTCAATTGGAAAATGACACGAAATTGATTTTGTTTTTTATAATATACAGCTAGGACTCGGAAGTTATGGGAGTTGCATAATTTTCTGTATGCACTGGATTTATAGCAGCCCAAGCTAGAAATTCTTTCTATACAATGGAGATTTTAAAAATCGAACATTTAAAATTTCGTTAATTTTAGAGAAAAAGTGCATATTTATCGATTTTAATTGATTTTCGCATATTTTTACGCATATTATGCATATTTAATAGCTGTTCAAAAAATATTGTTCTTTTTTTTTTCACCAAAGTACTTTAAATAATATTGAATATTAAACTCAACATTATTGAACGTAGTTTTTTATTGTTCTTTCTTATAGTCTCAGTCTACTATTAATTTAATGACAACGGTGTGATTCGAATTTAATCATTATCTTTTGTGTGCATATTAACAATGAAATTATATATTTTTGAATGATAAACTTCCAATACTCTTTTACATATTTAACATTTTTTCATGTATAAATTACAATTTTATCGTGCATATTTTGACTTTTTTACCTCATATAACTTGTGAGCACTATGTATAACCTTTATCGGAGAAAGTCATTTTTAGATTCTGAGTGGAACAAAGAAGCTTCTGGTATTACAAATTGTTATTTATTTTGTTTTTTTCTATGCGCATCTTTTATATTAAAGACTTGCTCGAATTTTTAAGTGTAGCACCATTTCTGTAAGGAAATTGATGACAAAAGGAACATTAAGTAGGTAATTTTTCGATTTTTTTCAGGAATTTTCTCATCAAATTTGAAAAACCGAAAAAAAAAACGGAGGAAAAACGGGAAAAACCGATTAAACAAATATTATTATTATTAGGTATATATATTGTTGGCAAATTGGCAAAGCATCACTATCAAATGAAATCCGCTCAGAAACGTTTTTTCATAAACAATGGTTTAACGATGCGTACAGGTATGTATTAAATTATCTATAACAATGGTTGCACCCGTCCCCGTTATCTTAGAAGGTATTTTTCAAATCTAAAGTATTTATTATAATAAATGGGAATAATCAAAAAAGACGAAAAATACGATTTTATTGAAATTACAGTGATTTTATTATTTAAAATCTTTACGACTAATGTTTTCTACTATAAATATTGCTCCAATATAAAAAAATACTAGATACCTATTTTGTTGAATTTTTATTTAAATGGTGAGTAAGAAAGTCGGATTATGAATTTCTTTGTAGCACTGTAATAGTTGAGCAAAACCGAAAAATACGTAGAAAGAACGGGAAAATTTACGAAAATATTTCTTTTATTATTGAAATTTTGTTTTTTGTAACATTATCCATTTAAAATTATTCGTAGAGACTTGACATTTTGACAGAATACTTATATACTTTTTAGACGTGGTAAAATGCTTAAAAAATGTGTGCCTCTTTTGAGCTCTTTAAAGATATTTTAATGTTACTAGATTTTACCTAATTTTTATTTGGTAGATGTTCTATAAGATAAAAATTTTAGAATAAACAGAAATTTTTGAACGTTTGATAAGAGGTTCATTATAAATCGTGTTTGGTGGTTAAAAAAAAATAATTGAGTTTTTTAAAATTAAATAACTTTATGTATCCGACCTTGTCAATTACTCACCAACAACGGTGGTCGCACCCACCCTCAACTCTTTTTTTTTCCTTTTAAAGAATTTACTGGCTTCGGTTAGCTACGAGGTTAAGTTAGCCGACATTTTTATCAAATAAATGTCCCACGAATTTTAACATAAATACAATTAAATTAATGATAATTTAAGAAATTATGTTATTTGTGTACATACGTAGTCGTACGTAATTGCTGTAACAATATGAGTGAGTCACTGGATGGCGAAAACACTGCCGCTGTTGTGGCGACAACGACCTCGCCGCGCCGCCGAGCACTTAACGACATTATTATCGTTATTATTATTTTACACTTTTGCGGCGCGTCGTATTATTTTTCAGCTGCTATTCGCGTTATAACCCGCGGACAGGCAATAATATCAATGATAATAACAACGACAATAGTTTAATAAAATAATAACATAATACCGCACGAGGTCCGGCAGCCGTATAAATCGCTACCGGGCGCGTATCCGCGCGGTCACCCGCGGGGGTAGACGAGACCGAGCCGCGCGGTATCAGCACGCCGCCGCTCCGCCGCCGCCACTGTCACGCCGCCACTGTCACGCCGCACACGGAGACGCGTGTTGCGTGTGTTTTTAACCGCCCAGACGACGGGAACCCGGAGAGAACAGTAATATTCAGTAGACCGTCACGCCGCGCCGCGTCTATGCACTAGCTGCCGTACCGCGCAATAACCTACATACACGTATTTAGAAACGCGTCTGCCAACAACAGTCAATATTCATGATATTATAATCGTGGTTAGGTTTTTGCGAACCATTATGAATTCAACGTGTCCAAATGTATGCATTTACATGCATATATATATACAGAGTGTCCAACGAAAATATAACCGTTGCGATATTTTGGAGGATATTAGCTTTTTTCTAATTTTTTTCTCGGAAATTCTCGGAAACCAGTGGTAGCTCTAAAATGTCACGTTAATATTGTTTTTAACGTTTTTAATTTCTATCGACCCATTGATGTAACATTCTACTTTTAAATTTGGGTAGTGGGAGAGTACCGCGGAGTATCATTTGTATGGCGGCACAGCGCGTGGCGTTTTAATAGTGCTCCACTACTCCTACAACCAACTTTAAAAATGAAACATCTCGTCAACGGATCTATGCAAATCAAAAATATCAACACACAAAAATGTTATTAAACTAATAACACGTCCATTAATGAAATTTCCAATTAAAGTAGTTATTAGAAAATTAAAAGTAGGTAGTCGGTTCACCGATAAAAACATAAGTGACGAAAGATAATAATAATATAATATTTTAGAGCTAACCTAACCTAACCTAATTTGCTCTCCGGTCTACGATTCAGAAGCAAAATAATAAAAAAAAAAAAAGGATGTTTAGTAATCAATAAAAGGATAATAGAAAAACAGTAATGTATTGTTTTAGAGTTGTGTTTGTTTCGTAAATTATACGAAAAATAAAAATTTTGGAAAAAAAGGTAATTTCTGATATAACGATATTATCTTCTAGGAAATCGATCGCCCTGTATAATCTGAGCAGGAAAAATCCGGGGAGGTGTCGGAGCTACCCTCGATCCGATTGTGCGCGTTAATAATTGTGCGCGATAATAATAATTATAAATATAGTGATGGATATAATCGAGTGAAAATAATTGAGCTACTCGATTATTGAGAATAATCGAGATATCTCGATTATCGAAATAATAACCGATTATGTAATCGAGTAATTTTCCACTTGAATTATATACTATAATAAAAATAAATAACTAAATTACTCGAGTAGGTAATAGCAGCCCGGACACTGATAAGAATAAACATAAGATACGAAACAAACAAAACTTGGTGGCTAAGTGTAATCAAGTCTGTGGTAGCAGCAGCCAGTAGATATCTAATTCAGAAAATTATTTTTATAATCCAAAGTTCAAAACTCCGAACGTTAATTATTATTACTTGTTATGTATAGTATTTTGATTATGGTGCACATTAATATTCAGTACTTCGAGTGATGATCCCAATTGATTATATATCGAGTGATCTTTCGATTATGAGAAAATCGATTACTAATAACCCGATTATGAAAATAATTTGATTATGCCCATCACTATTTATAATGCACCGGGACCGATGCATACACCCCTATTGGTTCCGCAACAGTCATTTCGTCATCATAGTCGTCTGCAAGGCGACCGCGACGGTTCCGTTTTTCCGTCTGGCGCGTGGTTTCCAGTTACAGCGGTACTTTCCCGCACGTCCGGCCACACGGTCGCATGACCAGACACCGGTGTCGAAATTCACACGATTCAACGCTCACGTTCTAAAATCCGATATTTTTATTTCTCTAACAAAATTGTCTTGGTATTACAATATTATTATAGGCACGAACTTATTTATTGTTTTGATACGGCCTTGTTAAACCGTATTTTATAAAAAAAAAAAGCCCTAAAAAGCTGTCCTAGATTAATGGCCAATATTATTGATGAGAAGTTGGGATGGTAGAATACAGAGGGAAAATCAATTTTTTATCTGTAAGCTACGAAAAACGATTCTGAACGGAGTTCAAAAAAATATATACTTATATTACATATATTACCTAATTCTCATAACTCTCAAATTGTATTAGTTTGAATTAGTCAATTAAGAATATTAACATAAATTAGAATTACGACTGTTTTTTTTACATTTTTTAACAATAGCCGGCGGAGTCAATATAAACCTTTTTAAAAAACAGGTAGTCTCGGCGGAATCTATAATTTCCCGTTTGATTGATTATTATAGTAAAAAAAATATTGCTTATCATTGTAATCTTTATAATTCAAAACACACTCTGCTTTGGTTGTCTCCCGTATAGCAAACAAAGATTTTATAATATTTCTGTGCCATATATTATAATACATGATTAATTTACATGTTATAGACATTATTGTTGCTCTTCGAGCAAGTACTTTATAAAAACGATATCACCACTAAGGGAAAACCCAATGGAAAACCGGATGGAAGCCTGGAAGGAGCGGACAAAAGGAAACACAAATGAACTTGCGAAAGGAGCAAGTTCTTAATATATTATATTATTACCTCTGCCCTACACCATGAAAATACCTCTAGACATTTTATACAACGACTTCCTAATCCCAACCTTATCTCGTAAACACTGGTCGTTTTACTTTATTTCCCTGTATCTTAATTTCCCTTGTGTACTACCCGTTATGCTATATCCAGTCTGCCGAGGGCAAACTGTCCACTCGCTAACTATATTCGTTTTCACAGGAATACCCGGGGATTTGGGAGCGGAGCCAGGTAAAAAACTGATTTCTAGACGTTTCTGGAATTCTTTATCTTACCTACTCCCGTATCTCAATTAACTTCTCCTGTATTCTTCTTTCTCTAGTATTCTACCCGTAACACTGCTTCCAGTCCACCAAAGGCGGACTGCCCACTTACCGACTGTGTCCCACTGGATTCCGAAACGCCCCGAGCTTAAAAAACCGACATCTAGACGTTCGATATATCTTCCATTCGTGTCTCACCTTCTTTCCTTGTATCCTCGTTATATTACATCCACTCGCCACTATGTCTGCTTTAAAATGTGTATAGATACATATGTAAAACGTACGTAATCAGCTTTATAGTTAAATTACAGGTTTTCCAATTTTGTTAAGTTTATTTGAAAATTTTGTTTGTTATTTTAAATATTTTAGAAATTAATTTGGCGTATAGCAGCTATACGAATAATCGTTTTTCCCTCGTTGTTCCTGCAGGCCAAATAATATTTATTTATTTATTTATAATTCATACGACAATGTCCAATTTACAATATAGAAATAATGATTACAGTAGTAACATAAAAATGCTTTTAGTGCATTTAATGAACTTCCCTATTAATACGAATTTGAATAAACAATGGTATAAATTATTAATTACATAGGTAAAAACACTAAACATTAGGAGTATAAGGGTAGAAGTTATATAATACAAAATAATAATTAAGAAGGTAAGTAATACATTTGAAGTCTATATTATTACAATGATCACTTGAATAAATTATCAATAATTTGATTATTACCAGAAGACATTAAAATATTAAAAGGGTTATTTAACATATAACTTTGATAGTAATGAGGTATATAAAATAATTGATTATTGCGGAAGTTATGAGTATTTATTTTAAAATTTATCTGGTTAAATAGAAATGAATCATAGATCTCATTAAAAATTAATTTAAGAAGTAAAAAGCTATAGGTATTATTTCTCCGTCTTTTTAGAGATTCTTAATTTAAAATTTTTAAAATATTTTCGTATCTAGAGTGGGGGATTCTTGGGATATAAGATTTAAAACATATATCTCGGAGGATTTTGTTTTGCATCTTTTAAAGTTGGTCGCAATGGCCAACGCTGTTATTATCCCAAATTATAAGAGCATATTCAAAAGTTGAACGGATAAGTGATGTATATAGACATTTGAAGGTTAGTGGACCGTTAATTTCGGAACAGTTTCGTTTTATCATACCAAAGACAGATAATACTTTATTTTTAATGGCTAATATGTGTAAGTAAATAATAGTCTCGTGTCGAATAAAATTCCTAAGTCTTTTACCACATATGCACGTACTAAATTAGTGTCTGAAACACAATAATTAAAGTTCAATGGTTTATGTTTTTTAGAAAATGTTATAATTTAGCATTTACCAATGTTGAGTGAAAGGCCATTTGTAGAGCACAATTTATTAAAATTAATTATCATTAGATTATCATCTAAGAATGAGATTGATTTATACATTTTTGCATCATCAACAAATAAAAGCGCTACATTATGAATAAACAAGTTGAAAAGAAAAGGAGAAGTGTTCCTTGAGGAACACTCGAAGTTACATTTATAGGAACTGATGTAAAGCTTTTGTATTTAACTAATTGTGTTCGTTGATGTAAAAATGAGTTAATCCATAACAAAATTGGATCGGCAAAACCAATTTTGTGAAGTTTGTGAATTAATAATTCATGGTTGACACTGTCAAGAGCCTTTTTAAGGTTGGTGTAGATGACGGTCGGTTTGTTGGCCTTTAGCGAAGGAGTTGAGTATATAATGTTTGATAGTTATTAGGTTTGTTACTGTTAATTTATTATTACGAAACCAACTCGGGTTTCGTAATAATAAGTGGTATTAAAATATTTTTTAAAATAGGAGTAAGTTTATAGTTAACAATTTTTGAAAATATTTTTAGGAGAATAGAGATTAATGATATGGGTTGATAATTAGAAACTACTGATTTATTCCCTTTTTTATGTATTGGATGACTTAGGTGGTTTTCCATAGTAATAGGAAACATTTCTTTTTTAGAGAAGAATTAAAAAGATTTGTAATTGGAAGGGAAAGTATAAATTTGCAATTGAATAAAAAAAAAGGAAATTGGCCATCCAAACCTATAGAATTTTTATAATTAAGTGTATTTAGCTCATTGAATACTTCCATAATGCCTATGAGATTTTTGTTTATTGAGTCATTTTATTTTAATATTTTAGGTGTATGAGTGGCAGTCCTCCTAACATGGCGAAATCGTTCGGGACAAAATATAAGTTATAGTCCTTTAATTTTAAGTAAATTTAAGTTCATTCCCGGAATTTTTAAGTTAGCCCTAAAAAATTGGACGAATTAGGTATTAGGCGGTAGCCCCCAACACGATCAAATCGATCCGTATAAATTATAAATAAGTCATAAAGTTTTATATTTAATTATCTTATTTATACATAATGGGCTCCACTAAGGAAGTTCTTTATTGAGTTTTGTATTAGTTTAAATTAAGTGTATAGAAAATTATTATTTTATTAAAAACTGTAATTAGCTGAAATACCTACTAAATTTGTATTACATGGAAAGTTAATAAATAATAATGATCAAATATTTTCAAGGAATCCCTATCGTTACGCAGGGTTTTTTTTTCAGTTTTTGTTAGTACATGAAAAAAATCTATATGATCTTTACAAAAATAGATTACTTTAGTATTTGGATTTTTAACGACAAACACTTTTTTTATCTAGTATTTTATATACAATGTAATAAATATTAGTTTTATAAAATCCTATAGTCGGGGGCACGAATAATGATCGCTGTCCGTCAAGCATCGGATGACAGTTTTTCTAAAATGGTTTACAAATCATCCGGTCGGCGCTCATTATTCGTGCCAGTGAATACAACAGGTAACAGCAGCTTGACAGTACAATGTTGAAAACCAATGGCTACATTGGTGAGAATGAACAATGGGTCACGGTGCCTAACGCTCATTTTTCGTACCCGCGACTATAACACTGAGAGATTGATTATTATAATGACAATACCTTCTCAATTTTTATAGTAAAAGACCCAGTTTTCGTTTAAAAATCTTTTTAGATTCTGAGTATAGGGAAAAATGTATTGGTGTTTCTAAGATATTTATTTTTTTATCTTTTTCTTTTTTTATACTGTGTACAAAAATTCTACCAGAAATTTTACTAAGATAAAGGTATATGCGCGAAATCATTTCTATAAGTGAATGTTGTCCAGATTTTACTTTTGAGAGGTTATTTTTTGATTTTTCAAGCATTTTTCATAATATCTGAGAAAAACCGGGGTAAAAACATAAGAAAAACGGGAAAATTGCGAAATAATGCTTTTATTATTTTTCAATTTTATTATGTATTGTAATTCAATTAAATATATTCGTAGAGACTTAAAAATTGGACAGAAAACTTATATTTGCTTTTTCTAGATGTGATAAAGTTTTCAAAACATTTAAGCCATTTTTGAACTATTTAGAGACATTTCAATTTTGCGAGCTTTGTACGTAGTTTATATTCGGTAGGTACTTTGTGGTAAAATTGTTAAACTTAACAGAAATTCCTGCAATTTTAATAGGAGGTTTTATTAAAAGTCTTACTTTGTGATAAAAAAAAAAAAAATTAAAGGAATTTTATGTTAAATTTTGACGAAAATCGTTTTGAGTAGAAAATTATGTGTGAGAAATCTAATTTTTCAATTTTTATTTTGAACACATGTATATTACCGATTTAAGAACGGTGGTAAATTAAGCGGACTGACTTAGTTTTGAAATTAAAGCTTTTTGAAGTTCTGATATTATGCGGATATTATATGTTATGTTAAAAAACTGAATATTGTCAACTCTATACAATGTTCGTCTTAACCGAATGGTTATACATACCTAGTTTCATCCTAGGTCATTCGCGAATTCAAACAAACCCCGTGTTTCGAAAAATAATTTTTGTATTTATTTTTCCCTTTTACCTAAACAGGGAAAAAACAAATGCATTTTAGGTGTACCTAGGGACTCATCCATCGCTCGCTCGGACTATTTTAATCGAATAATACCTCTCGATTAGTTGTGCAAACTTTTCTACCAGAAATCTTGATCCGATGTATCAAGAATAGCTTATTTTTTTAAAGAATATTTTATCTCCATGGTAATTTAAGGAGGTCATTTTTCGATTTCCCCAGGTGTTTTCTCAGCAAATATGGAAAACCGAAAAAAAAAACGGGAAAATGTACGAAATGTAGGTATCAGTTGAAAAATATTTCGACCTTCATTTTTCCTATGAACAATTTTTCTAACGGCAATTTTGCTCCGATTTACCATGATAGCACTTTTTCTGAAAGAAAATCTTACTAGAAAGATACTTTAGAAAGTTTTCCATTTTCCCAAGAGTTTTTCCAAAAAATGTGAAAAACCGAGAAAAATTCAGGAAAAACTGGAAAATCGGTAAAATATTAAACAAATATTATTCAAGACAATATTTAATGCCTATTTAATTATTTACAACAATATGACATTAAAATGTTGATGAAACATCTCTATCAACTGAACTGGGCTCAGAATCGTTTTTTCGTTAGCAATGGTTTAACGTTGCTTACAAGTATACTTTAAATTATCTATAACAGTGGCTTCACCCGTTTCCATTATCCTAGGACGTCTTTTTATTTGCATAAGTGATATTTTACAATTAGTTAGATACCTTCAAGTAATCAAGTTTAATACTAGTCAATCGATTCTATGAAATAATATTAAGAAAATAAGAAATATCAGAAATATTATAATAATATGTAGGTACATGTTATGAGATAGTGTAAAAATGTTATCATAATAGTAGTTATATTTCAATATTTCAAAAATCAATGTTAATCAAACTTTCTATATAAGTATTGAGTATCAAAGTATTGAGTACATGAGTTACTCTTTATGTGATACGTGTATATTTTATATATTACTGTACGTAAAATATACAGCGGTAAACCATAGTTCACGAAAAATGGTTCTGAGGAGATTATTATTAGTATTTGTTTCTAGTTACCAATAAAATAATTCAGAAATCAACAAAAATTGTGCAAAAATCTATCAGTTTTTCCCATTTATTAAAAAAAAAAAACTACAAGAAAATGTATAAACTTACTTCGTTTAACACACCAACTAGTTCAAAAATACTACAAGTAAGTTCCTATAGTTTCTATAAAGATTTTGATTGTAGCAAAATATCTGATAGAAAAGTCGTTTACTGTTGTTTACAGACAAAAAAAAACATTCCTAGCTTTGCTTAGAATCTGAAATATATTTTACCATCATAAAAAATCTCATCTAACTTTTCTTTGTAAATGAAACTCTCGATATTTATTTCGTATAGAAATAATTAAAATGTTCGACTATTCATCAGTGTACTACAGTATTTGAATTAAACTTTTTACCCGCTATGCATATTATAATTTTTTTTTTCTTCCGAGCACTTTTCGTGTTTTATTCAGTTAAAATTCCAGTTACCTAAGTAAATAATATTGTTTCTCTTTCAAACTTCCAAACTAAGTACATCTTGCATTTAAAAATTAAATTTTTCATTAAAACATTTTGTTTACCTTTAATTGAAAATACGAAAACGATTTCACACAATTATATTGTATAAATTATAATTATTTTCAGTCAACTTAAGAGGTATATACACTATAATACTGCGTCAGTTCATTATAACCTATCCTGCAAGCACTTAAAAGATGTCATTATGTTCACCTGCAGCATTTCTACATAACACCTATTGTGACATTTTAATGAATAAAAAAAACAAATCAAAAATCACAACTTTGTTTGCCCCACAGAGCTATGAAAAATATCTCATTTATAAAATTATACATGCAGCAAATTCGCATTTAACTTTCAACAGGTAAACCTACCGAAATCAAACCAGTATGATACAATTCGATTTTTCAAAACCTAAAATAATCAAGTTTGAACTGTACCCACGAATAGAGATAGTAATTTAAAAAACTAGGATATGATAGGATAATGGGGACGGGTAGAGACACTGTTATCAGTAATTTAATGTATACCTGTACCAACGACAATCTTTTATTTACGAAAAAACGATTCTGAGCGGAGTTCAGTTGATAGTGATGCTTTATCAATAATATATATGCCTATTATAGTAAAATAATTAAATAGGCTTTATATATTTTCTTTAATAATATTTTTTTAATGTTGTACCGATTTTCCTGGTTTTCCTACGTTTTTCCAGTTTTTTTTTCGGTTTTTTGCATTTAATGAGAACATTTTTGAGAAAATCGAAAAATGACCTCCTTAAGTACTTCCCCAGTGAAATTTTCTTTTAAAAAAATTGCTATCATTATAATAGTTGGAGCGAAATTGCTGGTAGAAAAGTTGTCCACGGAAAAAAAAAATTAATAAACATCTTTGTAAAACCATAAGCTTCTTGGCTCCACACAAAATCGAAAATTCAACCTGAATGGACGACACAATTGAAACATAATATACATGAAAAAAATATTATATTTTATAATACAAAACGGTCACGATTATTGACTTCTGTGTACAAAAAGTAAATGGAACTAAAATAATATAAATCTGGGGTATTTTTCAATTGATTATACAAGACATTAAGCACGAAACGTGTACACATAAATACTATCAAAAATCGATTCTGACTTAATAAATCTTAATCTTGGATAAAATGAAGGTAAGTTTACAGTGTGTTTTCTTCTTATATAGCCAAGATTTCCCAGAAATCAACAAAAATAAAGCCAATAGTTTATCGTCAGGTTTTTTTGGCCTTTTAACTTTTGAAAACTTACACTACAAAATGTGTTCAAGTGAAGTACCGATAGGCGGAAATTCCAAATATTTTAATGTACAACCTGAATAAAAAAATCGGAGTATTTCTATTTCTATCATAAGTGCGATTCCATATTAAAAGAGCAATATTGCTAAAAAATAAAACATAGAATATTATATTACACTGATAAGACATACCTAGTTAAAACAAAAATATTTTTGCAAAGTATAATTATTAGTCATAACTTATAAACTGACACCGTCTGAAGTATCTCTGTTTTATATTAGTCACCCAGTATTAGATAAAATGTATAAAAGTAATTCCAAAATCGCAATATCTTTATCGGATGTTATTTTAATGACTAATACGGTTTTTTCTGTTTGGTATGTATATGTTTTTGTAATCATTATTATTATAGTAAAACTATCGAACGCAATAACTCAAACAAATCGAAGAGCTCAGTGCAACAATAAGATAAGTCGAAAATGACTTTTTGATAGTTTCTAGTAAAGCAATAGTAATGCTAAATAATTTGGCGCAAATTCACTTATACGGATAAATAGAAATAAGGATATATCAGGTTTAACCAAATTCTGGACAAAAAGAAGACAAGTGTTAAAAAACTTAACTTTAAATTAGATAATACAATGGCATCTGAATAACAGACACTCTCGGTTACAGAAATGTTGTCTTCTATTTGAAGATGTACACTATTCATATAGAGTTACGTGTATATAAAACAAAAATAAATTAATCAGGTGTATGTGTAAGTATTCAATTCAATGAAAAAAATCGGTCCCCGTATTTGACACGATATCCACGATCGTAGTTTTTTCAATTCAAAATTTGTCTGCAAGTATCTACACAAACACATACGTTTCTGTTGTTTTGACGGAAGGCAAGACTTTAAATTTGTTCGTAAAGCGACAATCTCGCTTTAACATGGTCATATCATCGAAAAAAACGAAAACTAATCACTAAATAACAAAACAGATGACAGTCAAGTCATTGATATTTGGTTCATAATCGTCGTAGTATGTTCATTTTATCATTCGACGAATTTATTACCGTAATATCTAATGTAAGCGCATTTTGTTGTCACCGTTTTGTCAATATTTTAAAATTAAGATCAATATAGGTACGTGTGGAGGTCTAGAGTAATTCGTTGAGTTATTGAGCAAAACTTTATGGACCACAATAAAATTTATATTTTCGAGCCAATGAAAATGTTTAAGCATACGAGTATGCAAAATGTAACAGGACTATATGTAATCACAACGTGAAAATATCAAATAATCCTGTTACACTCTGTACAGTATACATAGTATATATAGTATATATAGTATATATAGTAGTATATATATATACATAGTATATATATATATATATACTACAAATTACGAAAAACTGTTATCGTGTTCAGTATTATAATAATATGATCCAATGATTGTGTCACTTAGTTATAATTATCAATTTTGAAAATATGTATTTGTAAATTTAGCAAACATATGTATCATTAAAATGCTTTATGGAAAATATTACTCAATTTAAAGTCTGGCCACTTCAAATTATATAAATCGCCAACTCGGGCATAGGTTTTATTTTTCAATCCGACACTGTATAGGTGTCTGATATTAAAGAATTAACTATTTAGAGGTTTCCCCATTGAAAAGTAGTGAAAATGTGCACGTTTAAAAAAAAATTCTACTATTGGTAGGTGTCAATTAGAGAAAGTTTTACTGTATTATAATATTCTGAAACACCGTATAACAATAACGAAACAGTATTTGTAGCTGTGATGCGTTATAGCGTTGTTAACACTTCAGAAAATGATAGGGGAAACATCGAAAAAGTCATTTGAAACATCTATAATATGAGAGTATTATGGGATTAAAACAATAATAATAATAATAGTGTGCCATCGTGTTATTTAATTGCGTATTTACATTGCCACGCGCGTGATAACAATAAAAAAAAAAAAAAATCAACACTCGGAGAATAGCGTATAGTAAGTACACATAGTAAAAAATAATACACATGCGATATTATATATAATACACTCGAATGCATATATATAGAGAGAAAAAAAAAATTACTTTGACCCTTTTGATATTATTATATTTTCGATGGGGTTTTTTTTCCTATACGATGAGCTGGCTAATTATTTTAACTCTTCGCACACGATGACGGGCAGCACATTGCGTGTGCAATTTTTTTCTATAGTTTTTTTTTTTTTTCATTTTTTTTTTGCCCGTATATTATTATTATACATTATGTATGGCACATACTGTACTGCGGTCGCTTGTTGACACGGCAGACGACGAAGAAACGGGTGAAAGAATTCGCACATACATTATATGTATATACCGGGTGATGCATATGTGTGCTTGTGTGTTTGTGACACTATATACAATTATATATAATATAATATGCTGTGTGTGTATGTGTGTGTATGCGAATTCATGCGACAGGAGAACGTTTCTATACGGTCACACGTCGTTTACACGCACGTTACATACGAATGATAATGATACGTGGTGTCCGACGGTTTTTTTGTTATGTAGTTGTTTTTTTTTTAATATTTGAACGGCGACGCGACGGTGTTGAGTGATGGCCGATAAATGCAAATTTCCTTTCCTTTATCAAATCCAGCTATATATTATTGTCGCCGCACGTGTATTATATTATTTAATTACGAAGGCTCAGATTTCAATGGAAAATGCAATTTTTTTAGGGGAAGGGCATAATTTAAGACAATATGTTTTTCAAGTACTACATAATTCGATTCGTGTAACAGACACATCAAAAATAAAAACTTTAATTTACTTTATTTTTTGCATTTTCCGCATTTATGATGTTTTTCCATTTTTAGACAATTTTTGGGTAATTTTGTTAGTTTTAAGAATGTTTTACGAATGAATAGTTTAAGTTTAGGTTATTCTATATAGAACTATCTCAAAATATTTGCATCAGCAGGTTTTAGATATTCTTCATCGAGACAAATTTTAAATCGTTCCATTTATGATTCCGATAACATCTTTATCTTATCTTTATTGATGACTGTTGCACGTCACGCGACTTAAACAAATAACAGCTACAATAGTGACATTTTTTTTCCATTCTCAGATTATTTTTGAACGATATTATTTTAATATTCAATGAAAGGCATTGTTAACTATTTTTTTAAGAATTTTTCGATAGTTTTTAGCTAGTGTATTTAAATCAGGATCAGATTTCTATACATTTATAATATAATATTTTAATATAAACAGTGGTACAAATATTTTTTTTATAAGGATTGAGTTGTGTCAAAATGGAGACTGCAGGACCCTAAAATATCAGCTAAAGACCCTAAAAAAAGCAATTGACCATACTCGCTGAAGTGCAAATAAAAGTATTTTATATTACTAATTTTTATCATATGTTGTAATAGGTATTTAAAATATTCCTTTTTAACATTCATTTTCATTCTTTCGTAGCTTAACAGACCTGAAATAGGATCAATTATTGCTACCTCAAACTCTTTCCATTTTTCACTATCGTATAGGTCCTAAATCCATCTGGGAAAGTGAGATCCTTTATACAGTTTCACCAAATATTTCATCATGGAATCTTATAATTTCGTATAAAATCTCCCTGGAGATCTTCTACTTCTCATTTCTGCCATCACCAGTAGGTACCCGTTTAATGATTTGTCTATTGTGACTCTCTGTATGTGACCTAACCGTTCAAGTCGTCTATTTCTAATACGAGAGAATGCTTGACCTTCCATAGAGTAATTCAATATAAAGTATTTTAGACTCTGAGTGGTGCGAAGAAGCTTATAGAAAATCGGTGTGGAGAGATACTTCAAGGAGGTCATTTTTCGATTTTCCCAAGAGTTTTCCCACCAAACATGAAAAACCTGGATAAAATATGGGAAAACCGGGAAAAACATAAGAAAAATGAAAAAATCGGTACAACATTAAACAAATATTATTAAAGAAAATATATAAAGTCTGTTCAATTATTTTACTAGAAAATGACATATATATTGTTGACAAAGCATCACTATCAACTAAACTCTTCTCAGAATCGTTTTTTCATAAGCAATGGTTAATTGTTTTAAATTATCTATAACAGTGGCTGCGCCCGTCCCCATAATCCTAGGACGTTTTTTTTCATATTACACCGGTTTTGGATTATATACACAAGACCTTAGTGCCTTTATTATCTTCACTTCGTTTTAAGATCAGTATTTGTAGAATTCATTATCAATCGCTATTCATACGTTAGACTATTAAAAGAAGGATTTACGGATGAAGTATAAAGTGGAGTATCTTGGATTATTAGGGATAAATTTTTAATTAAAATTGTTTGTAGAGTTCCGGTTCATGTTTGACTTTAAAAATCCAAGTGTCTACATCTGAATATGTAAACTATACAGCGTAAATAATATATTGTATTATTACAATTATTAAAATAAACGTGCACAGCATGTTAGAAGTGACACGAAACGTAGGTTTATTAAATTATGAAAAAAATAAATGTTAAATAAAATTAATAAATTGTTACATAATACGATAATAAATAAAAAAATATAACACTACCTATTATCAAAATATACATGTACACACGAAACGACAAACGCACGTGATAGCTAATTTCCATTGTCGTCTATGTATTACAAGTGCAGTGTGAATATTACATACGACGTGCACACGACTTTTTTTTATATATAATAAGGAGTCTAATACCGTTAGACTAGATAAAAATATTGTTTGCACACATATACGGGTGAAAAATATAAGAAGGTACGGACAACTCGCCCGCAAGAAAAGAAATTACAGACAACGTTTGAGAACAAAATACATATGATGAAACATTTGGAGTGATTAATATTATTCATATTAACACATTGAATAATTATTGGCGGAGAAGGTATAAGTACGTATATACCATGGCACGATAGACTTGGAGTCAGCTAATGGTTAGTTTTATGGATTAATCGTGATTAAAATGACTATAAGCCATAAGAACAATACACGGAAATTATCATGATAATGCTAGAACCATAGATCGTCTACTAGTAGACGAGCAATATACGATTATGTCGTCGTCAAATAGACGCATTTTAATGACTAAAGTACGACAGTAAAATTACTGTATTCTTATCACGTTTTGTTCAATGGGTAATAACTAATTATCAAATACATTATAAATTATAAATTAATGCCGTTCTTAGTGATTATTAACAATATCTTAAATTATTTTTAAGAATAAAAATGGGGAATAGAATAATGGGACGGTTGCAGCTACTGATATAGGTGGGAAGTTGGAAAAGTAGGATACACAAGGGAATTTAATGTATATTTGTACGCAACGATATACCATTGCTAACGAAAATACGATTATGAGCGGAGCTCAGTTAATAGTGATGTCAACAATATTTATGTCATATTATGGTAAAATAATTAAAAGCATTACATTTTTTCTTTAATAATATTTGTTTAATATTGTACCGATTTTCCCTTTTTTTCTACGTTTTTCCCGATTTTCCCATGTTTTTTCCCTGTTAGGTTCACGTTTGCTGGGAAAACTCTTGGAAAAATTGAAAAATTACCTCCTTTTAGGTACCTTCCTAGTTAGATTTCTTTTCAAAAAATATGCTATTATTGTAAATCTAAGCAAAATTACTGATAGAAAAAGTTGTTCGCAGAAAGAAAAAGGTCGAAATATTTCATATATTTTCCCGTTTTTCCTCTGTTTTTTAGTAAAGTTTTGCTGCATCATCGTCATCACAGCTCGTAATGTTTGCAACATACAGAAGGCTGGTCTAGTAGTATAGTAGTTAGTATACGATACATTGCGAAAATTGAAGCCTCTGGGGAAGAGACGTCGCGGTAGACTTAGGAAAAGAGCGGTTTTCAAAGAGTTATGTGTCTGATGTAAGAGTGAAGAGTTGTGAATAGTTCATCAATGCCAAAAAAGGTAAATACTCTTAAAAATTCGCAAAGCCGTATTATAAGAATAAGAGATATAATATGATGAAGCCGGCCAAACCGCTTTGCACTTTCCCGCGAACGTATCGATATAAAAGCTAACCTAAAGCTCGTTAAAATATATCTCCAGAGAAAATATCTTGACGTAGGTATATTTGCAGTTTTCTGACAGTTCTTTATTCAGTTTTAAATTTTCTGTTTTGTTTTTTTATAAACTTGTTGATATAATAACTGACTAGACAACATTTCCTATCACTATAACCACTAAAAATGAACGAAGAAGCAATATAGTCTTTTATTCAAAAATTCAGTTACAGATGGAAAAATAACCTAACAAAATAAATATTTGTTTGGATGAACATCAAATAGCAACAAATAATAAATTCTCGCTCTTATAACCTACTGGATACTGCGTTATCTTTAAATTCATTAATAATTTCTTTTAAAATGTTATATTTCTATATTTTTCTATTATGCATAAAAATTCTGGATTTTACGTCATTTCTGTTTTAACCGAACCACGATTTTGAAAAACACCGCTGCTGTTATAGAAAAGGAATAGAAAGAAAATTACTATAAATATAAAGCCATATATAATTATTGGATAACGGATTTATATTTAACTAAAATCCAAAAAAGCCTTACATTTTTAAACCCTTCTACCATTTTTGCTTTTTGAAATAAATTGAATGTGATTTTTTCAGGATTTTTGAGAAGATTTTAAGTGCATATATATTCTGGATCACCTTACATGTTATAACGTTCATAAATATGCATGTGCGTGTAATATATCTTCTACGATTTTGTCTTCTTTTTAACGGTGTCTGTTTTCATTATAATAATAAATACAAATAAATACTACTACACGTTCCCGCGGGTATGTCCGATGCACTGAATATACATAATATTATAGTAATCCGAGTATATGCATTTATCCATTTGTTGAATTAATATTATTATTGAAACTTTATATTATTTTATATTATTTTTTTAATATTTATTAGAAATCATACAATCTGTACAATTTTTTACAATGAGCATGTTTGATATTTTTAAAGATGACATGAGTGACTTGACTTAAAGAAGCTACCCAGCTTTTATATTATTATTTGTTATTTTGTCTATACGGACATACGGTATAATTATTTTACACAGAAAGTCCATACGAAGGTCGCTCAATCACAATAATAACAATAATAATAATATAAAAAAATCAAGTGTGGTGGGGAATTCGGCGGAAAATTCAGATGTTAACCGCACGTATATGTTTTTTTTTATAATATAAATATTGACATAACCCTTTACTGTAGTCGTTATATTACCGCTCCCTGCGTGCGGTGCAATCTGCACCTCTCCATCCTCCTCCTCCTCCTCTGCCGCTGCCGACGAGACAGATTGCATAAAACTATGTAGACGACGGCGGATCTGTGTGTACTTAAACGTGCACGTATAGTCGTTTTATGCATTATATATAATAATCATACTATCTATTTTATTACTGGTATCAGACACAGAAAAAAAAACTTAATCTTAAAGCCAGACGACACATAGGTTTTAGGTTTCTATTACGTAGGTACAATATATATTTATACATATATGATAGTATACACGTATGTACATAGAATATTAAGTTTCTAATAAAATATACTGCACGTCGTCTGTATACAGAACATAATGCAGCTATGACGTACGTCCAACGTGCAATTTATTTTCTTGTCATAGTGCTAAATTTTTTACAAGAAAGAAAAAAATAATTTTAATGATTCAATAAGGCCGCAATTGGCATATTATTCGACATCGCTCTATACGGCAAACATTACGGATTCGGAAAAAAGTACGGAAAGGTCTTTAAAATCCGTTTGTGTGAAGTTATTTAAAACAAAGTTTTTGATATTTAGTTTTAATTTAACGGTTTTAATCGAGAATGGGATTTTAAAACGTTACTTTTTGAAATTTGTCGATACGTTTTACAATAGGTATATTAGGTTATGATACCTTAACCTAACCTTATAATTTTTATGTAATGTAATGACCTGACCTAATCTAACCTTATGTAATTATAATTATAATATAATTAGGTAATAGATTATTTATAGATTTTATTATTTCTAAAACCGATTTTAAATGCGTAAATGGGGTTTTATCGATTCCGCCGGCTATCGACACCGATTCCGACTCCGATCATACAATTAATACAAATAGAATAAACTGAGTAGAACCTTGAACACTGAATTTTTTTCAATAAATTAAAGAAAAAACGTACACACTTACTAATCTGTTCAGACATATCAAAATAGACATGGCGATAATACAGATAGTGTATAACATATTCGTCATTTTCATGTTGTAATCTGTATAACAAATAAAAATTAAGTCGAAAACCGAAAATTAAAATAAAATTACAAGTCTATACTTCTAAATATGGTTTGGTTTTCGAATAATAGACATTTAGTAACGGCTATAATCATATGCGCATTTTATGTTACACCGTATAAAAATAAATTTTAAAATAATTATTGGTGAATGGAAAAATCAATTAGTTTTATACAAACATTTTAAATTTTATAATAACGAGTATGTAAAATACTTAGATTCGTATAAATAGCAAAGTGTCAATAAAAAATGTGCTGTAAAAATTTGTATTGATCGTAATAATATGAAAACAATTGTAAATACTACATTTTGCACTATTACGAAGAAGAACCCAAATTTGTAAGAAATAAAAAATTATTATCAAATCAATTAAATTCAAAAATCTGAAGATTAGAATTATTAGAAAGACCATCAACAATTATAAACAGAGACATTTTAAATATTCTTTTCCAATCTAAATTATTGATAAGCATTGAGGTAAATAATATACAGGGTGATTCACTAAGCGTGCTTACTCCATTTTTTTTTTTTTTTGGTTAAATTTCTATACTATATTTAAATTATGATTTTTAAAACTTTTAAGTGTAGTTAAATTTGATATTTTCGAGTATTTAGATTTTTAGAAAATTTAAGGAGTATCCTGTAGTGATAATAATTTTGGTTTTTCATACGAGAACATATATTTAAAATTCCTTAAATATACGGAATATTACTTTCAATAAATATTGATGTTAACATTTTTGATTTCCGTCAACCCATTAACGAGACATTCCACTTTTAGACTTAGATAGGGTAGAACACTAATACAACGCCATACGCTGTTATGTCTCACAAATGATACTCCACTACACTCCTCCTACCTAAACTTAAAAGTGGAATGTCTCGTTAACAGGTTGACGGAAATTAAAAATGTTTACACCAACATTTATTTAAAGTAATATTCCGTCTATTTATGGAATTTTTAATATAGGTTTCATTTGAAAAACCAAAGTTGTTATCACCACGGGATACTTCTTAAATGTTGTCAAAATCTAAGTATTCAAAAATATCGGATTTACTTATACTTAAAAGTTCCTGAAATCAGAATTTAAGTACACGCAAAATTTAACAAAAAAAAAGTGGAATGAGCACACTTAGTGAATCATTTTGTATATCAATATTAGTAAGGGTCTTGTCGATCTGTATATCCAACTTTACTAAAAAATGTTTTCGATGTTATCAAAATAATATTATACAAAATTATACAGCTTCAAATTCAAAATTATTGTACTAAAGTGATAAAATATTTGTAAATGGTACATTTTGTAGTAGCCCAAAATATTTTTATCAATTATTTACTGTTCACATTTTAGATTTTGAGTGGGGCGAAGAAGCTTAAAGTTTTACAAATATGTATAATTTTTTTTTTATCTTAGCTTATCTTTTTATCTTATATTTCTACGTGTATCATTTTTTTTTGAAAGAAAGAGGGCGTGATGAGGTCGTTTTTCGATTTTCTCAAGAGTTTTCTCATCAAATTTGAAAAACTTAAAAAAAAAAAATGGGAAAATGTACGAAATGTAGGTATTAATTAAAAATATATTACCGTCTTCTTTTTTTCTATACACAAATTTCTACCAGTAATTTTGTTCTGACTTTTACTGATAGTAATGTTTCTAAAAGGAAATTTCACTAAGTACTTTAGAAAGGTCATTTTTCGATATTCCCAAGAGTTTTTCCAGCAAATGTAAAAAACCTTAAATTATCTATAATAGGGGCTGCACCTGTCCCCATTATCCTAGGATATCTACTTTAAAATGAACATTACGTTCTATTAACTGACTTTTCATTGCTGGACAAATATACAACTACATACACTAACACATTTAGATGTTTTGTAGAAATATACTCATCCGAAAATTTACATTTAAATCCAATTACACTTATTGCTGATTTTGAAGAAGGTATACATGTTGGAGTGAAATGTGTATAACTACAAATTAAGACTATTGGATGTAGAAAATTTAGCCAACATTTTGAAGGCCTATACATTAAGTGACTCCAGAAACATTACATTGGATTAGTAACCTCGACTTAGGGCTATGAAGAAATTATTTGAATGATTATAATTCTATCTACTTTTAATTATTTATAAATATATATTTATGCAACACGTTATGTATTTTCAGTTATTTTGATTTGTGTAAGCCATACGAAATAAATAAATAAATTGGATATAGATTTCATTTGACTCAAGATTGGTGGCGATTGGTAAGCTATGGTAATTACTAATTACGAAATTAATTTTATTATTATACAATGTATATGTATATGTTTCATCTACTTGATTAAATCGTGAATTTTATGAAAAGTTGTTAAGTTCATGAAATGTATACCATTTTTTTACCACTGAGTGAAATACAAATTTTATTCAGTTATTAACTTTGCACGAAATCAATCTTAAAATATCATATCATGTATTTTTATTCATCAAATGGCCCTCTACTTGATGAAATAAAATATTTAGAAAATTGTACAGAAATAAAATTAGAAACATTACAAATGAAACGAAAATTCCTTATTACATATATAGGTACATAGAATATTAGAATGTTAGAATGCTAGAATGTTTTGAAAATTTTACCACGTCTACAAAAAGGCCAATATATATATTTAATGAAAATGACAGGTCTATACAATAATTTTTAACCAAAAACCCATATGTCATACACTTTGCTGTATTTGCTACGTTTTTCCTTAGATTTTTGTAATCATTAGGAAAAATCTACGACGAGTCAAACAACTAATTTCTTAATCGCAAATAAAAAAACATTTATTTCAGAAAATCTGCTATTCTTGAAATTTGGACAAAAATATCTGGTAGAAAATATCCCCTTAACAATTTTAAATAATGAAATCGTTGTGTAATTTAAAAAGATGACATTTTTCGTTTTTTCCAATTATTATGAAAACTACTTTAAATATCAATAAATGATTTTTAAAAATAACTACAAGAAATTCCTCTTCGAAGTATTAAGTGTGGCATCTTTTTTGAAAGATAATTTTCTTTAGTTTACTGATTTTCTAAGGCATTTTCAAAATAATTGGAAAAGACCCAAAAGAAAATAATTATAGGTAAATGGAAAATATTTTTAGCATGACGCGGCGTAACCGTTTTCGTTGTTTTTAGTTTTCTACGAAAAATATTGCTCCGATCAAAAAACAATAAGAGAATATTTTTGTTGAATTTTTAATATATCGGGAACAAGGGAATAGTTTTTGATTTTCTTTGAAGTTTTTTCGATAATTGAAGAAAGCCAAAAAATACGTAGAAAGTACGGGAAAATTTTTAAAAATAATTTCTGATAGAAAAGTTACTCACAGCCATAAAAAAAACCAATATCATAGTAAAACCAATAGATAGTTCACTAAAAAGTTAAAAATCTAAAACATTTTTTTATTTTGCCATTTTTCATGTTTTATGGTATAAGTTATTATAGCTAATTTTAAGATTTTTTAGGTCATATTATAAAATGTATTTTTTATTTTTATTTATTTTCAGTGCTATAAAATCTTAGCCCTGCTCATAACCCTGTACTATCCCAACTGCCCATCTACAACAGTGGATACATCCATCTCTAGTATCCTCTTTTTTTATTTGTCTAGTCAAATTTTTATTGTCCCCCCTCTCATAATTCAACATTATATCCTCCACTGGTTGGACACTGTCGTTATATAATAATAAATAGATTAATGCGTAGTAGAAATGAACACAAACGTAAAATCACTGCGGTGTTTGTACAGTTTACACGCTATTTTAATTTATATAGTGATTTATTTTTATAATTGTATCTTATGTATTTATATATGCGTGTAAACGTAAATATCAATTATTACTATTATTATTACGAGTATAATATAATATTGTAGAGTGTGTGTTTGGTATCTTAAGTAATGACTAATGGATGTAAATTATTATACTATTGTAATAAATCGATATCAATATTATATATACCGACATTGTTTTTTTTCCGTCTGGGAATTCGTACTCTGTACACGGTTATTAGAGATTTTTACGCCGAAGCACGTTCGCAGTAAGTAAACACGCGGTAACTATAGGGGGTTATAATTCATATATTTTTTTTATTAAACAGTTGTACAGTTGTAATCATAAATATTATAGACAATAATTATAGTTATAGTAGGTAATAGTCCTATATTCCACAGGGTTCCAAAGTAATAACACTGAAAAAGTTAATTTATAAAGCTTAAAATCTGCACTTAATATGTACCTAAAATCACCATAACAAGCAATTGGCACTTACGACTTTCCGAAATTAAATCCGATAATCCTTTAGTGTGATGCAACTAAAACGATTTTGAAAATAATCAAATCATTGGAAACGAACGGAATTGTCTGTCAAGATCGGTGGAAATAAAACCGAATATAACTGTTTTTCAGATACATTTGATTACATGTACTATTCGAAAATCAAAACCAAATAGCTATATTAGTAAAATATCTCTACAAGTCCTACAAATGCGAAAAATGTTCATATATATTAGTAAAGTATCAAAATCAGTAATATTTTAAACAAATATTATTAAAGAAAATATATAATGCCTATTTAATTATTTTACCAATATAATATGACATACATATTGTTGACAAACATCACTATTGAATGAACTTCGTTCAGAATTTTTTTTTTCGTTAGCAATGGTTTATCGTTACTTACAGATATAAATAATTTTTCCGCTATATCCTATATTTCCAATTTCTCACCAACAACCAGTGGCTGCACCAATTGTGCGAAGTATGTTCGTCTTTTTATTGTTAGAGTTTCTAAATATTGAAGTTTCGATTCCAGTTTTCGATTCATATAATGTCCGAATAATATCTATCCACTAAGATTATACAATAATAAAATTTAATAATAGGTCTTACCACAAATTAAGGTATATACCGTACGGAAAGGTCTTATCAATGTTTTTTTGAGTCCGCCCAATTCTCACTGTTTGGAATTACAGCTATAAGACAAAATTGGTATGAAAATCAACTAAAACCCGTTTAAATTTTATACTGAAGGAGTAGGGTATGTAATAAATTGCACATCTATTCTATAATAGATATTGACATAGTTTGTAAAGAGTACACTAGATAGTGTAAATGGCCTTGTCAAAAGTAAGAAGGTTCGACCTTCACTTATCACACATTCGTTCGATATTCTGTATATCTTAATTTGTGGGTAATAATCATTCAATAATATTAACATTAAACCAATATTTTGTTGTGTTATATCATAGTATTGATATAGAATGCAGTTTTTCAGATATTCAGAATTTATATTTAATATATAATATATATATTTGTATTATAATTATTATCTTTTTTTTTTTTTGGCATCCAAAAGGCCGCGCCTATTTGTCCTAGACCCGGTGATAACATTGAAAGAAAAACACACACATTTGATCAAAATTACTATCAAATTATTGTATAATTAAACGAGATTTGTATTTAGTTTAGGCGTCTATAACTTAAAGTACGGTAGTTGGTTAGATAAATGTAATAAAATCTAAACACTATAGACACCTTAGATCATATACTACGGTGTGGCTATGCGTACACCGAAATTGTGTCCGTCATCCTCGTTATTTTTATAATTGCATGGTACACGATACAAATGCACATGTCCAGAAATCAACTGGCGGCTTATGACGAATGATACTGTAATAATAATACATGATACAGTTGAAAATAAAACCAAATTGTTTGATACTGATTTCCGGGCATGCGCAGTTGTGTCGTGTACCATGCAATTTTAAAGATAGTGGAAATGATGTTGGACACAATGTGGTAGAGCAATTCTACGTATAGCTACGTCCGTAATATATAATCTAAGATGGACACTCTCTGAAAAAATTGCATATTATAATATGGTGATAAAATTATTATAATTTTATAATGCATCTCTATACTCACGGGACTGAGATTGACGATGGACTCTGTCATTGTCGGTGGAGGGGTCTGTCCGGTTAGGCGGTTGATGTTGGTATTGATGTGGTGGCAGTGGCGACGGCGGCGAAGTGGGTTGACGGAATAATGTGTCAGCAGCGGCGGCGGTCGTCGCGTTATCCGCGGTCGCTATCACGACAGTCGCAGTGGCGGCTGCGGCGGTGGTTGCGACGGTGGCAGCGGCAGCTTCGACCACTTGGCCGCGAACGACATCACGGCCGGCGGCGGTGACGACAGTATGCAGGACGAGGTCGGTTGTTGCGTTTACGTCGATCGTCGCGTTTACGTCGGTGAACGCGGCCGCGCGGGAGCGCATGAGCGACAGCGACGTGATCACGGCGGCCAGACAACAGATCGCCGGAAGGTAACAGCAACCGCAGCCGGTCAGTTTGCAGCCGGCCGTGGTTGTCGCGCCAACGCACTACCACCAACAACACCACGATGATGACCACGACGACGACGCGAAGACGATCGCAATCACCACCACAACCGCGGTGGATGCCGTTTTCAAGATGATGATATCCGACGGCTACGGTCACGCCGTCCGCCGTTTCCCGTCGTCGTCGTCGTCGTAGTGCGCCACCGGTCACCGATCGTTGTTTTTGCTGTCACCGCGTTATTATTATTATTATTATTATTGTTTTTGTTATTGTCCTTGTCGTCGTCGCTGTTGTTTTTGGTTTTATCGTTGTAATTTTTGATTTTGCTGTTGTTTTTGTCGACGACACACATTGATTAGCCGCATCCAGCGGCACGACCGCACTTTTTTCGCACTCTTATCATTGCAGAGTATACGAGATAATACGACGACTTTGATTATACGATAACACGTTTAATACTAAAAAACAAATAAAAAAACACATTATTATTAAATCGAATACTCAATGGTTTCAATGTTTTATTTTTAAGAAATTTTAAAACACAATTCAAATTTATACACAAATATGAATTATATTATATTGTAGTGATATATGATGAAAACAAGTCGACATGGACGAGAATTATGGAGTAAACAAACGAATGGATATAGAAGACAAGTCGAGCCATGCACGGGTAACTCTAAGACCAAGTCTTACATATGAAGCAGATTATGTTAGATTTAGGAACTGTATCACGTATAAAGAATTGAAGGAATTTGCTATAAATAGAGAAGCGTGGAGGAACATATTTACATTTTTGAACTAGTCTACAGATGGTTAAACATTTTTTTTTAAAAATCATATTATTATTATTTCAGGGTTATGAGCAGGGCTCGGATTTTATAGCACTGAAAATAACTGAATTGTGCGCTATAATATAACCCAGTGGTGATTAACTACGGCCCATGGGCCAAATTTGGCCAGCGATTATTTATTTATCAGTTAAACATAGTATATCAAAATTGAAAAAAAAAATAACTTCAAATTTCAAAAATTAACACTCACATTAAAAAAAAGATAGGTTTATAAACTTAAAATTTTTTTCTTATTTATAACAATCAATAAATAATAAATAATTAAATATACCACTATATACTGTACTTATATATTAAGATATACCTACAATAAAATATAATCAACTTTTATTTTTGTTTTATCAACTTAAAAGTGAATGTTTAAATTCTTGGTCCACAAGAATTATTTTTTTTTTTATGGCCCTCTGTAGTAAAGGTGAGTCACCACTGATATAACAAATCTTAAAACAAACTATAGATGCCATAAAATGAAAAAATGAAAAAAAAGAAAATTAATTAAATTTTTTAAGTTTTTAAGTTTTTTTACTACGGTGTGTGTTTTTTATGACTGTGAGTAATTTTTTTATCAGAAATCTTGTAGCGAAATAGAGGAGATTATTTTTCGATTTTCTAAGGAGTTTTTAAAATAATTTTATTATTTTAAATTTATATACAGGATGTTTTCTACCAGAAATATTGATCTAATAAAAAAATGACAACAGACTTTTTTTGTTGCATTTTTAATCTTTTAACTTTTAATCATTAATAATAATTTAGGAAAACTAAAAAATTTAGAAAGAACCAGAAAATTTACGAAAATAATTCTTTTATTATTTTCAATTTTGTTTTTTAATTTAATTCAGTTAAAAATATTCATTGAAACTAGAAATTTTAACAAAAAATTATATTTGCCTTTTCTAAACATGGTAAAAATGTTCAAAACATTTGAGCCATTTTAGAGCTATTTATAGACATTTTAATTTTGCGAGTTTTTTACGTAATTTTTATTTGATAGTTTTTCTATAGATAAAATTGTTAACTTAAACAGATATTCTTGAAAATTTGACCCGTGATTCATTATAAATCGTTCTCACAAACATACATAGGGAAAGCTTAAGAGGTCTCCCTAAGATATTTTAATATATAGGTACCTAATCTTTAGTTTAATATAATTTATAATCAATATTTATAATATGTATAACCAATGGTATTAGCTATAAATATAATAACAGAAATAACATATTATTATTATTTTTATTTATTTATTTACGGGTAAGAACCCACAACCCAATTACAAAAAATAAATAAATTAGTGCATGGATATATAGTATAAATAACTCTTGAAAAAAAAAATTTTTAAAGAATATTACATACTTAAAACTAAAAATCACAAAAAATAAGTCTAATAAAAATGTTTTCTAACATAAATTTTGAAAGAATTAACAGAATTATAATTAAAAACATCAATCTGTTCATCATTAGCGATAGACATCACTCTATTTAGTGGAGCGGATAAAGCATAATTGGTTTTGTGTTTGTTTAGACAGAATATAGTGTTGATTGAAGACCTAGTTCTAAAATAAGGAATAGAAAAATTTAAAAAACTTAATAGCTCCGGACAATAAAAAAAAATGAATTTAGCAGTTTGAACAAAAATATTAGATCATTAATTTTTTTCTGTTAGATAAGCTCAAGATATTAAATGTATTTAATAATGGTTTATAAGGTTGAGGTACACGTATTACATTTATAAGACATGAATCGAAGAAAACGATTTTGGACATTCGCAATACATTGAATTTATGAATTTAAGTAAGGAGATCAAACTACTGAATTATATTAAAGCTTAGATCTCACTTAAGACGTAAATAGAGTTTTTAATGTACTATGATTTTTGAAGTCTTTACAATCTCTCGTAATGAAGCCTAATATCGAAGAAGATTTATTGATAATATGTTGGATGTGTTGATTAAAAGATAGATTTGATTCAAATATGACACCATGATCACAAAATTAATTTATGCAAATTAATAGGTGATTAAGTACATTGTAGGTGTGACGAATTGAGTTACGAGACCGTGTGGAATTTCATAATTTTGCATTTATCTAAATTTAATGGTAATTTATTAATAGCACACCAATTAGCTAAAGAATTTAATTCATCCTTAATAAACATATATCATTCGTATTTTTTATAAGACTAAACAATTTCATATCATCGACGAATAGAAATTCTCTAGAATTTAACAATTTTAAATCATTTATAAATAGCAGAAATATAATCGGAGTAAAGTGTAGACCTTGGGGTGCACCAGATAATACTGTGAAAGGAAACAATTTAAAATGTTTACACTTGACTATTTGTTTCCTATCTGAAATGTAAGAAGAAATCCAAGAAAGGAGGGGGTCACAAATTCCAATGACACATAGTTTTGATATTAGAATTGAATGGTCGACTTTATCAAAAGCTTTTGAGAAATCTGAAAAAATTACTTCAACCTAATAACCGTGTGAGAAAGCGCCTAATATAATTTTTTGAAAAATTAACTGTTTTCTAGCCGTTGATCTGTCTTTAATAAAACCATGTTGATCCAGACTTATTAAAGGTACAAGAAGTGGTATTTTTTTTTAATATGATTGACTCAAAAATCTTATATATTATTGATATTAATGTAACAGGTCTGTAATTTATTATATTAGTAACATCATTTTCTTTAGAAATAAGGATAATAAAACTTAGTTTCCACGTGCATGAAAAACAACCAGTTTTTAAGGATAAGTTATGTAAGTATAATAAAGGGACAACTAAAACAAATTTACAATTTAGAATGAAATTACTAGGTAGCATGTCCGCGCCTGGACTAGTTTTTGAAGTCGACGTATCCAACTCGTCAAGAACATCAGTAGCATTTAAAACACGCGAAGATAAATTTAAATTTGAATAGTTAGTAATAAATTCCGATAATGCGGGGTTGTTTAACGATGTTATATTTATTGAGTTGACATAAACGCTGGAAAAGTCCTTAGAAAAACTGGCAACTGTTTATCACCTCCACTAATACACTGATTCATATAATACATTAATGCTGGAAAAGACTGAGAAGAGCATGTTGATTTAATAGTGTCAAAAGTTTTTAGGGCATGATATTAAACATTTTCTGTTTCTGAAATGTATTTATTATGATTGATTTTTGATTGAGCCCTACATTTAGATCGAAGGTAAGAGAATATTTTATAATTTAATTAAGTGAGAGTAGTTTTATACAATTTATGAGCTATTTCTTTCCTAAAATCAGATCCCTCAACATAGAATTGAACCAAGAAGGATATTTTGAACTGCAAAAGTTGTTTTTTGAAACATTTTCATCAATTATCAAAAACATAATTTTATAAAAAATATCAACGCATTGTTAGTTAACAATTTATCGAAAACTGAAAACCAATCTATAATCGCTAATGATAAACGTATAGCATTAAAATTATAATTAGACAAATCGTAAAAAATTTCATTATAACTCAGTGTTTCTAAATTTTACAATGGTTGGAAATTCGATAGTTAAAGCAAGGTGATACATATAATCAATGGGTAACAATGATAATGATTCATTAAGAACAACTATATTATAAGCATTAGACAAAATTAAGTCAAGTATAGAACTAGCTTGATTTTTTACCAAATTTAACTGTTTTAGATTAAGATGAGAGAAATTAGCCAGGTCATTAGCTAATAAATTATTAAACTGAGAAACGTTAGGGAAAATTGTATTGTTTACTAACGACCATTGTATACCCAGTAGATTATAATCTTCTAATAAAATAACATTAGAATATAATGATAAATTTAACCATTTACTTACAGTATCTAAATGGTCATTATAAATATCTACACTGGAATTTGGAGGAATGTATACCGATCCAATTAATAAAGTGAATGAACCCATAGAAAGTTTTATAAATAATTGCTCGATGTTGTTGTTTTGAAGTAGAGTATGATTACATTGTAGGTGATTTCTGACCGCAATTAACACTCTACCTCCTCTGATATTGCAATTCATGACGCTATCACGATCACAACTAAAATCAGTGTATTTTGAGATAAGACCAAGTTCATTGTCATTGACTTCATTATGTATCAAAGTTTCTGTTAGTATAATGGTATCATAGTCCATCAGTGCAATATTTCTAAAAAAACATTTAATTTTTTGAAATGTTTACGCTCACCTAAATATCAATCAATAAATATAATGATATATTTTAAGTTTTCACGTAACTTAAATTTGTTTTTTAACATGTTAAAAATATCATGTTTATTCGGTAGTGTAACCCCGTTAGACCGACAATTATTTGAAATCCTACCTAGTCGAAGTACATTTAACGGAACTGCAGTGGCATCGATTTGACGGAATACCTCATAAACTACATAAATTTTATTTTGAGAACCAGAGTAGTTTTCCTGAACATTAAATAAAATAAAGTTTTGATATCTAGCTTGACGGTCAATAATTTCAGATACAATTTCTTCATGATTAGCTAATGAAGAATTAGAATTACATGATTCAAATATCGCCAGCTTAAGATCTAAGTATTTCAATTTTATTTTGTAGAACTTTATTTTCAATCTACAAGTCTTCAAAATACTTGGTTACAACATCCAGTTTACCTTCAATATCAGTGAACTTTTTGTCTTGATTTTTCTTTTCCTAACGGTGAGAGTTGAACGAAGAAATTAATCTGTTTTTCGTAGATTGCATATCATTCATAACTTTAATTAATTTGTCCAATTTATCATTGGTATTAGTAGAACTGTCCACAATATTTGAAGCATTATCATTTATAGTATTCATATTTAATTATCTAATATTTATATAAGCAGGCAAATAGAAAGATATAACGTATATCAAAAATAATAAAGAAAAATAACGATTACATAACAAAAACGAACAGACGAAATGTATGATTAAAACACGACCGACAGCAATGAAGGTTGAACTGTAACTGAATAATAGGTAGGTTTTTATTGGATTTTTATTTTAATGTTCCAATGTTCCATGAACTATGGATCAGTTAGGTTAGAATGGCCTATTATAACGGCCTATCACCCTAACGCATCATTGTGCAGCCATACAGGCACCAGCCGCAATTTTGCCAAATTGATAAGAGATTTCACTGCATAGAGGGCTCTACGGCAGTGCCCAAACCACAACTACAAAAAAAAAAAAGTTATTACCAGAATAATTTACTGAACTTTTATATGTAAAACCGGATTATCCAGGTAAAACCCGATAAAGTGACAACCTTATTCATCGCCCAATTTACGGCATACCTCAAGTTAAAAAATTGTTCAGCCATTATTTAACTGTCTGAGAATACACAATTGACTGGAAACCACCAAATCTGGCAACTTAATGGTTAATTGATGGTTATAGTTTTAAAGATATAAATTAAATAAATTTATATATCCCACCTTCCTAACTACCCACCTACAACAGTGACTACACCCGTCCTTAGTACCAGCACGTTTTAAATATATAAATATACCCGATAAAAATTCCTATAAGTAGACTGTTTGATGGGTTAATACGCCGTACTACTTAAAGTAGATTATAATACAAAACGAAAATGTAGATATTTTTTTCTAATGGGTACACATAAATGACAGATTTTTTAGATTTTAAGCAGAGCGATTAATGTATTGCTTTTGAAATGGTGTTTATTTTTATTTTTATTATATAAACACTTTTTTTTACCAGAAAGCTTACTCCAGTTATCAAATATATCACCTTTACTGAAAGGAAATGTTCTCCGGGTGGTACTTTAAAAAGGTCATTTTTTGAAATAGTCATTAATATTCGAGATAAAGAGGAAAACTGGTTCTTTAGGTTAAAAAAGATTGAAAGATTACAAATAAGGTAGTCATTGGCAACTGTTTTTATTACTATTTTTTTTTTATTAAGTTTTTATTATTTTAATCTTTTTTAAACAATCATTGTTGTCACGGAAACGTACATTGTTAAAAAAAACAATACCAGACCCAGCTATATTAAAAAAAAATAAATTTCGATTTCAATACATTCTTTTAACTTCTTTTAATCTTTATATTATATGTCTTTATTCTAAATTTAAGCATTACTATTAAACTTCAGAATCGTTTTTTCGTAAACAATGGTTTATCATTGCGTACAGATATATATTAAATTCCCTTCTGTATCCTATATTTTCAACTTCCCACTTACAACAGTGGCTGCGCCCCACGTGCGAAGTATGTTTAATCATTATTCAGAGATTAAAAATGCATAAAAAAAAAACCCTATACTAGGTACTTCTAGATTAAGTTTTTACTTATATATGTACTGTGTGATAGATTTACTATATACAATTTTTTTTTCTGTCTATAAACAAATATTCTTCCAGAAATCATGCCCCCAATGATGGCCCAATCATCAACTTTACGGTTATTTTCTGGTAAAAAATATGTATATTAAGAGTTAGTGTAATAAAAAAAATCATTTGTTTTATTTTCCTTGTATTTTTAAAACTGGGATAAACTCGAAAAAAGGACAAATGTATAATGTACATTCTCAACTCCCATAGGAAATCTGTAGAAAGCATATTTTTTCCAGAGAATACAACATAATTTTAAATATCATTATTATTGTTCTGCATATATGACTTGTCTCATTTTATTTGTATATTTTTATTTTTAATTGTTATCTTTTATATTAAATTTGTACTGTACTTTGGGCTACAGCCGTATTAATAATAAAATAAAAAATAATTAAATAATTTATTAGGTAGGTTAGCCTTTAACGATGATTTAATTTGGATAAATGAAAGAATACAGACAATGAGATTTAAATAAACTATTTAAAATAAAATATAAGTTGTAGGGGTACGCTACAATTTTTGAAAAATGTATTGGGGTATTTAACCCTCCGTCTTACGATTTATATATATTTAATCTCCAAATAAACTTATAAAAATTAAAGACTAAAATATTCGAGAAAGTTGTTTGATCGATCTCGCATATGCATTTCTATTTTCAGAAGTCTTATCGATCGGACCAATTGGTCCAAGTTACCATGATTACCACTGAGTATGTGTTGGACAATTAGACAGAAAATATCGATAATGATGATGGAAAAACCTGAAAAATGAATTAATAAATTTGGACAAAGAGTTGTAATTTAATTTATAAAATGCTCATTATAAATATTATAATAATTATAATAAATAATATAATAACTGACTCTGAGCGGAGTTAGATTAGGTCAAGTCATTACATTACATAATAATTATAAGGTTAGGTTAAAGTATCATAACCTAATATACCTATTGTAAAACGTATCGACAAGTTTCAAAAAGTAACGTTTTAAAATCCCATTCTCGATTAAAACCGTTCAACTAAATATCAAAAACTTTGTTTTAAATAACTTCACATATTTTTGTTTAATGGGCTTAAAACGGGATTTATTAAATATATATGTATATTTTAATCAATGGTATTGGTATTATTAGTCTGGATTTTTTGCTTCGTAATTGAGGTAACCCAGAAATTGATAAAAACAAAACCGATGTATCGAAATTTGTTGTTAATTTTTATAAATTGAATGTAGAAAAACTGTTGAAAATATAGATATTTTTCAAACAAAATACTATTGGATAAAGAAGTCGCGATAATAATATGGATAATTAAGAAATTTCAGTAAGTATGCTAACCGAAAAAATGTATTTCCGAGAAAAACAACCTAACAAAGGACCGTTGACAATTTTGAAAGAAGCGAAAAACCACATCTTTTAACGTAAAACATTAAAAGAGCTGTCTAAGGATAATAGGGACGAGTGCAGCCATTTTTGTAGATGAGAAGTTAGAAAGGTATGAGAGGAGAAATTTAAAGTATATCTGTACGCGATTAACAAAAAAACGATTCTGAGCGGAATTCAGTTAATAGTGTTGCTTTGTCAACAATGTATACAGTGTTCCACGAGGAATCGTCAAATGCAATCACTTTTGTTCTATTCAATAATTTTGATATACATTTTTTTTAAATAATTAGTATACCTCAGTGCTACAAAATTGTAGCATTTTTTTTTAGAGGAGGAGTAATTAAGATAAATAATTTAAAATTGTACTGTAATTTTTTTAAAAAAATTCAAAATAGACATTTTGTAAAATAAATGTTACGAATATTTTTTGTAATTGAAACTTTTGTTTCAGTACGGTCTTTTATTTTCTACGATTTTTTGAAGTATTTGCAAATGTAAATATTACCTTATTATAGTTATTAGGTAGTTTCATTCAATTAATAATGGTAATTTATGTTGTTATGATTGAAAATAAAATTATTCAAATTTTCAAAAAATCTATAACAAAAGTTTTAACCACGACAATTTTCTAAAAATCTATTAAAATGGATATTTTAAATATTTAAAAAAAAATTTTATTAAGTCTCCCTCCCCTTAAAAAAAATGTACATATATAAACTGTAGCGCTGAGGCATACAACAAAAGTTATTGCATTTTTCGAATCCTTGTGGGACACAGGTTGTCCCGCGAAGGTTATCTACGGAGATATTTAAGGGGTATATCTTTGTGGATCAACCTGTACATCATATTATGGTAAAATAATTAAATAGGCACTATATAATATAGTTATATAGTAATATATATCCTATAATTATATTTATAGATCCGATTTTCCTGTTTTTCCTACGTATTTCCCGGTTTTTCATATTTGCTGGGAAAACAAAAAAATGACCTTTATAAAGTACCTACCCAGTCAGATTTCCTTTCAGAAAATATACAACTGTTGTAAATCGGAGAAAAATTGGCGGTAGAAGATTTGTCCACAAAAGAAAAAAATAATAAACATCTTTGTAATACCATGAGCTTCTTCGCTTCACTCAGAATCTAAAATTGGAATATTTTTAATAACCGTAAAAGTGTTTTCCTAACGAAAAATAACACATATCATAGTAAAAAATAAATACTTTTTCGCTTCTCTCGGAATCTAATATATGAACAAAACAACAATTTTCGTGACTTATACACAAACGTATGCACACATGTATATTATAATATTGTGCTTGCTCAAACTACACACAGTGGCATAGGTATAATAGGGCAAAGTGTAGAAGCTCCAAAGCGGGACCTCGGGGTATTTAGACAAAATTCTAAAATTACATCCATAAAATAATTGCAAATTTAAAATTTTTAAGAGTGTTTAAGAAATAATAATAATAATTGTTACGGCTTATCCTTGTATATGGATCTGAAATATGGACTCTAAGAAAGACGGACGAACTGAGACTGGCAGTTTTTGAAAGGAAAATGCTGAAGCTTATATTTGGTCCGTACCGGGATGCTTTAACAGGAAATTGGAAAAGACGGCATAATGAAGAACTCCAAAATCTATTCCAAAAACCGTGTATTAGGAGAGCCTTGCTTGACGACAAAATGGCACATTGATTAAAGCTGTAATCAATGAACATCCGATGGGGAATATGCCGCTGGGGAGACCACACCTTGGATAGGAGGATTGTGTTAAAAAGGATGCAGAGACAGAGGACCCAGAGATAAATTGGAGAGAAATGGCGGAAGATTGAGAGAGCGGGAAGATAATTTGTCTGATGGAATGGTCTTAAAAGGCCGAAGGAAGAAGATTTAAGAGTGAATGTTTCAAATCTTACGTGGTAATTCCAGTCTCAATCGGTATTAAAACAGAATAATAGTACACACAATAATATACAATAAACAGTGTTCGCCGTCATATAGTAATTTATTGTACCACGACCACCGCGGTCCACAATTAAAGATGGCCGAATAACATGTTTACATACATAAAAAAATAATGGTAACAATAATAAATTGTAAAATAGTCTATTGATATTATAATTATACTGTCAAGTCAAATATTATCAAACACCAATATTTTTATATCAGTACATCAATCAACAGTAACGCATAACAAATAATTTATTATAATAGTATAGTATACTATATAATATGATAAACTGGATTTTCTTTTTACTTTGTATATTTATTAATAAGTTGTTTATTACCTTTATATTTAGTCCCATAGTAAGTATTCATGCTTGAAAAGAACAATGTTAGGTGTAGGTATATTTAAAATTTCCATAAAGATTTTACTAGCTTCAGGGATTAGTTTTTTAACTGCCCTGAGAGCCTTTCCCATCTAACTACGCCACTGACTGCACAGTATACCTAGTTATTTATAATAAAATATGTATATGTAATGAATGTTCATTGTACACGGTGAACACATGCAGAATCTGTTGCCAGTGTTTTGGGAAATCAGTATTTTAATACACTTTTACTATTTCTTCGCATCAAAAATTCTATACTAAACTGAACGGTATTATAATAATATCGATGATTTCGTTAATATAATAATAATATTTTATTTGCATACTCGTTTTGTGAGATGATTTACCAGAGGAAGAAGTGTTCGAGTAATCAATTCATAATTCGAATTTATATTCAAATTTTAGTAGTAATATGGGATAACTGCAGCAGCTGTCTATTTTATTAATTTATTTTACCAATTTGTATTCATGAATATGTATATTAGGTTTTAAAAATTCCCGAACGAAAAAATGTATAATACGTGTAGAGGTAGAGGACGGTAAAAAATCCCGCGAATCATTTTTCCGCGGTTTATTCGTAAATAGTGAAAAATATCAAAATCCCTTATATTTATAAATTAATACTATACGGATAAAAAATAAATTTAAATTTGTACCTATTATATACCCAATATATATACGAATATATATATATAATTGTATATTTACTTTTTACACTGCTAATCGATAAATAAGTTACAAAGGTACTATTTGTGATTTAAACATACTCTCATATAGTTCCAAAATAAAAATTTTTCAAACCGCCGTGAATAATTTATGTACTTAGATTAACTTATAAATACTAGTTTTATATTGTCCTGTGCGCAGGAACATATTAATATAATAATAAAATAGAAAAAATGTTTTACATTTTAAATGGTATTTAATATTTAAATCCCTTGCGTTATTTCAATTATTTCTCTCCGGATAGCTAAACGATTATAGATGATCGATCGGAGTTAGTTAAATGTATAACTAATGCATTGTATAATATAATGCTGCCTTAATTTCGTTTAAAAGTACCCACCCGTTTAATAAATACCAAAAATGAAATATCGTTAAGTAACATCCCCAAAACTCGTATACCTATATAAATACCGTCAAAATTTGATAAATTAAACGAACATTTCCTACAGTAAAATATTTGTAGATACAAACACGATGTAATTCCATTTTGAAAAGTATATTAAATTTCCTATTCTTTTGTTTTTTATTGTTTTATTACCTAGATGGAGATATTGGGGAACTTTATGAGGACGAAAACCATTGCATTAAGTTTAATTAACAATTTATTATAAAATCCTTTTAAAAACGACCATCAGCCCTCCTCATATTATGCAGGGCTTTTGTTGACGAAATTAAACCATACACCACATAACTCCATATTATATACAAGTAAACTACATATACATATATACTATACTAGGTTCGTAGTGTATTACGTTATATTACTATATAATATATTATTAATTAAAAGAAAACGAAATCTACAAGGTATAATGGTACGTGTTATCATTTCACTTAACATAATAAAAACATAAATTATAAATAAAACGTACATTATACTGTTAAGATTCTTGTTTTCTATATATTTTTAGATTTATAACGGAGCAAGAGATCTATTGGTTTTACTATAAAGTGTATATTTTTTTTCGGTTTGTAAACAAATTTTCAAATAGGAAACTTGCTCTGAGTGTAGCACGTTTTCTAAAAGAAAATTGTACACCTAGGTGGTGCAATAGTTTTTCATTTGAGTTTTTAAAATAATTGCGGTAAACCGGAAACAAAATTATAGACAAATGCCAAATATTTATAATGCGCGACGGCGTTACCAATTAATTATTTTTTTTTAATTTGTACGTACTATGTTTTCAACCAGAAATATTGAATTAATCAAAACATTTCTAGAGATGCTTTTTGTTGTATTTTCGATTTAATTAGCGATGAAGTTAGTCGTTTTTTAATTTTTCAAGTAGTTTTCATAATAATTATGAAAAACTGGAAAATTACGTAAAAAGAACGATACGATTTACAGAAATTATGGTTTTTATATTTTCAACTTTTTTTACTGTAATTCAGTTAAAAATATTCTTAGAGACTTGAAATTTGAAAGAAAATTTATATTTGCCTTTTCTAAATGTGGTACAAGTTTTAAAAACTTGTTAGCGAGTTTTTATTTGGTAGATACTATTATGTCAGTATCTCTGTACCTATATATTATTATCAATTTTCATATATAGTATCTATATGGTACGAATCTCGGTCAAAATTATTTTTCGTTGATATTCCTTAGTAGTAAAATAAATAATAATAATTTTTTTTTATTTTTTTTTTATTTTTATTTACATCAAAACATTTAAATTGATATTACAATTATGTATAACTTAATTAATTAATGTTATTTTAATTGTTGAAATATACTCCCGCTGTAACCATCGCTTGTGATGGGAGTAGAGAATTTATATTCATAAAACTATGAGATTATTTAAAGTACTTAGTCAATTCCATACACATTTGAGTGTTAAATTTCGCTTAGGGCCTAAGGAATGTTGACTTGACTACGCTATGTAGTTAACAGTAATCTTTTGTTGTAACCCATCTGGGATAGTAAAAGTAACTAATAATTTTAGTTCAAATTAACTTCATACAATATATATTTACAACTACATCACTATTGTTAACGCAACTTTATTAAGGAGTTAAAATAAATACTCAAGTTAGGTTAGGTTTTAGTTTCTAACTATTTAATATTTAATTAATTCATTATAAATTTATAATTCAAATTTAACTTAACACTATCTATACAGTTTGTTAAGTTATAAATAAGACTACTTGTGAAATAGACATGGTATGCATGTCTTGATTTCTATTTTAAATTGTTGTTTATTGTTAATAAGTTTAATATTCTTCGGTAAATCGTTAAATAGATTTATTCCTCTATGTATATAAAACAATTTGATTAGGTTTGTGTTAGGCCTAAATAATTTTAAGTTACCATTATCAGTATTTCGTGTGATTTTTTTGTTTTGAGGTTTATATTGGTTTTAGATTCTAAGTGGAACGTAGAAGCTTATTACTTTTACAAAGATGTTTATTTGTTTATTTTTTTTTTCAGTGCGCAACTTTTCTACCAGAAGACTTGCTCATATTTTCAAGCATAAAACCTTTTCTGAAAGGAAATCGGTGTGGGAAGGTACTTTAAACAGGCCATTTATCGATTTTCTCAAGAGTTTTCCCATCAAATTTGAAAAACCTGAAAAAAACGGGAAAAAAGTAGAAAAAACGGAAAAATCGGTATTACATTAAACAAATATTATTAAAGAAAATATATAATGCCTTTTTAATTATTTTACCATAATATAATATACATATTGTTGACAAAGCATCACTATCAACTGAACTTTGCTCAGAATTGTTTTTACGTTAGCAATGGTTTATCGTTGCTTATAGATACAAATTAATTTCCTCTCTATGTCCTACATTCTCAACTTTTCAGTCCAAACAAACATCAATGGCACCCATCGTGCGAAGTATGTCCATCCTTTTTATAATAATTATTATTTACTAAATAGGTACTTTTGTTTTTCATTAAATAGGTACAGTTAAATCGATATTTAAATATTATTTCATTATAGTTTTTTTAATAACTGAGAAAAACCGGGAAAACCCAAGAAACTATAACGAAATACTGGTCTCATTTATTTTTATTTTATTTTTTCATTCAATTCCAATAGAAAATAATCATTGATACCCGACTTTATCTTAGGATACATATATTGTCATTTTCTAGACGTGGTAGTTTTCAAAACATTCTGAAAATTGTTAAGCATTTGACAGGCGTTTGGCATTTTCGATTTTTTAAATTCTGAGTGGAGCGAAGAAACTTATGGTTTTACAAAGACGTTTATTTTTAATATTAAATTTTGCTCAGATTTACAATGACAGCACTCTTTCTAAAAGAAAATTTGACTGGAGGGTATGTTAGAGTGGTCATTATCCAATACTCTTAGGAATTTTCTCAACAAATGTAAAAAAAGTGGAAAAACGGTAAAATTGGATCAATAAGTATAATTAAAAGACATACATTTTGCCTATTTAATTATTTTACCATAATATAGCATAATATATATTGTTGATAATGCATCACTATTAACTGAACTCCGTTCAGAATCGTTTTTTCGTTAGCAATGGTTTATCATTGCTTACAGATATACATTAAATTGTCTTCTGTATCCTAACTTCACAACTTCCCACTTACAACAGTGGCTCTACCAGTCCCCATTATCCAGGACATCTTTCAAATCTCGTATTTTTTTATTCCTAAACTCGTCTTCAGTGGCGCGACTAGCACCAAATCCTAGAGGGGGTCTTACGAACTTTGAAAATACTCGTCATGTACTAAACTGTCTGACATTTCTATCTGTACACAACTAAATTAACCTTTAATAACGAAAAATCAAAAAATGAACTTCGCAAAGCACCAACTAGGTTATAAGAAACTTTCTATACATTTTTCAACTGGAATAATGTTAGAGACCTAATCTACAGAAAAAAAAAACACTATAGTAAAAGCAATACATTCCTCGCTTCGCTTAGAATCTATAATGGTTAACTAAGTGGTTATAGGTTTTAAACGTAATCAGTATAATATTTCAGTTTTCAAAATTTTTTTATAAAAATGTTGGAATTTCTTAGCCTATGTTGATAAAAAATACTCCAAGAGCATACAGATAACAATAAAATGTGTACTTTATATTATTATAATGTGATGATAATATTTGGTGTTTAAAAACGATTATCATAAACGACTGTTTTCATTTATAAACATTTTAGTTTATTTTACGACTACATAATATAAACCTATTATAACCATATTATTTGTAATAGTAACACGGGCTAGGACATATTTTTTGGAGGGGACAATAGAGGCAACCGATTAAATTATATTAGTAAATAGTATTATATGAATAACATGAATTTTGTATGTATTAAATGAAAACGTGAAAATAACACTTTTATAGTGGTGTTTCATGATGATGTATTATTAAAAATATTATCGTATAATATGTACAAATATGATTATAAAATATAATAATTGATCAAAAGCAAAGAACACAAATTATATTTTTTCGATTACTTTTTAACTTCAGTAGTCCGTTAGAAATAAACTTATTTTTAATTTGATAAACCTAATAACTGTAAAGATACAAAAAACGACAATGGGGGTTTTAAACTCCAATCCCCCAACCTCTTTCGTATACATGGGCCTGCTGAAAAATCATCAATTGTGATTATCTATTGACAAGTGGTAGAGAAACAAAAATGAGTCACCAATACCTCTCCCCTAAAAGGATAAATATATTCCTGGCACACGGAACTATGTTTACTTGAAAATTTATTTGTAAATTAATTCAAATGGAATATTGATTAATAATAATAAAACTGTCAATGTTTATCAATGTTAAAATTGCTTTCACGCAACCCACGAAGGACGTCTCTATACGTGCCGTTACATATCATATTTCTTCTATTTTTCTTCATATATAGTTCAATTTAGAACGTCTTGAGTGTCATTAAGTAAACTTTAGATTAGTAATATTTTTCTAAATTTTCCGATTTTCAATGCTTCGCTTGAATTCTGCTACCTGACTCGATTCCTGTTAAACCTTTGACTTAGTTTATAAATCGAGTAGAAATATATCTTCTATTCATTTTGAAATTCATTTTTCTTGGAATAATTATTTTTTCTAGACGCTGTATTGAAAGGGAGGAGTTGTCCGTTTACTCGGACATTCAATTGGTCTAACATCAATGCATTTATCCTATAGGTTATCAATGGAATCTATACAATTTTATTTCAAAAATTTCCATTTTTATATTTTTCTATAGCGAGATACATTAAAAGTCCATAATTCTGAGCCATATGTCGCTATGGAGAAGACCAGCGTTTTCATTAGATATGTCTTTGTTTCTCTCCTGATGATATTTTCATATTATCTTAAACAGTTCAATAATTACTATCTTGGCTATTTCTAATCTGCGTTTTATTTCTTTCTCCTACCTACACTCGTACGCAATATTCAAAAGTCTAGAATAAACGAAAGTACCAAAATACCAGTATACTTCTGATATAACATACCAGTATATTACCGTGTAGTTGATGTACCGAAATACCGATGTGATAATAATGAGGCTATTTTTCTTCGGCTATTACAGATTAAAGGTTTTTTAGACCCATTGCCATTTACCACAACAACACATAAAGTTTTCATTCTTCACTATATTTTGCAGTTTTTCCGCATTCAGTAACCTTAAATCTTCCTACATTCTGTCTGTCAATCTTTATTTAGACCGTCTTCCATTTAATCTCCTAGTATTTGATTTCCATTTTATTATTCGTTCAATTAATCCATCTGAAAACATGTCCAGTCTAAACTGATCGCGTAATTTTTAAGATTCCGACAATATTAGTTTCACCATAAAGATTTTTTGATTCATTATTCTATATTCTACTCAGTTGTTTTTCTTTTGACCGAAGATTTTCGTCAATACCTTTCTCCTTTCTATCATCCGATTTTGTCGTGGCCCGTATGTTTCATGCGTAAAGAGCCACCGGCTTTACTAGAGCTGTACAGTAACGCGTTATAAATATAAAATAGTCAAATTATAATCCGCGTGCAGTACGAGTGTATAACAAGACCACTGTCCTTTTGATTTTAAGCGTGTGCGCGGTCACAAATCCCACCCCTCCTCACTTCCAGTCAAGGATCTACTTCTCCTTTCGATTCCTGTCCCGTCGGAACCGCAAAAACTGCACGGATATTCATTGAAAAACGAATTATTATAATATTATGTACACGGAGACTGTTGATTATCTTTAAAAAAAAATTGTGTTTCAACTCAATAAACCAACGAAAGTATACACGAGGACAGATGAGCGGGCGGGCGGGCGCGCGGGTTATTGCACGCGCGCGCGCGCGCGTTTTTTTATACATTTTTTTATTAGCGGTAGTGGAGAGCGAAGATATTTTTACAGCGGGCGTCGTCGTCGGGATGAATGACGCGGCGCGGGGGGTGGGTACATGCCGCCGCCGGGGCTGCGGCCACTGCAGCTACCGCCGCCACCGCCACCGCCGCCGCCGCCGCCGCCGCCGTTGCTGTTGCCGCTGCGGCTGCCTGTTCCGATGGTCGATTATTTTCGGAACAGCTCGGCCTCGTCTTCTTTACTCCGCTGCGTCAGCGACACCATTGATCCCTGACCGCTCCGCGTAATATTACTCTCACTCGCACGCGACACCTAATTCAAATAACAATTATTGTTCTCTCACGCTTACTCGCTCCCGCTCTCCTCTACTACCTCTCACTCTTCTCTACCACCCCTCTTTCACGTTCTCAAACACGCGCACACAAATTCAAACGAAAAAAAAGCCGATGAAAACGTGTTGCGTCGCGTTGCAGTATATTGGCGTGATAATATTTCGACAACAAACAATTAATTCGCCGAATATTTTTTTTTTATTTTTTTGCTATATTATTACAGAGATAACGTACAAATCAGACGGATCTTTAATAACGAAAAAAAACCTACATTGAAAATACGCGCACGTTATATTTAAACTGTATAACGGGTACGGTATTATTGTGTTTAGGTGTGTTCGTTTACGTACCTCTGGCCGACGTCGACGACTTTCGAGTATTATACGGAATGCGGAGTACACGGCGACGACGATAAGAAAACTTTCACTCGACGTTCAAACGGACGAACACGGACGCGCGCGATATATTTTAATATAAGCAGTTGCGCGCAGTGTATTTGTTTTGCGCCGGCCGTGGCTGCGTTGGTTATTGTTGTTGTTGTTGTTGTTGTTGTTGTTGTTTATTGTAATGATTTTGTCGTTTAATCGATCGCGACGAGTGCATTCTCTATGTAGGAAGTTTGTATCGCGAACGCGTGCTTTCATCAAATGTGGGCACGACTACAACTTACTACTACTCCTTGTAAAGCGACGCGATAACGAGTGCCGCACACACGAAAAAAAAACAGGAGAGTTTAGATTACAAGCAGAGGCGACCAGCGCTCGGCGGCGGCGGCGTTACGACGGGAGGAGGGACACGCGCGCATCCGCCTAACCGTTCGCACGACTGCCAACTGTGTATGGTGGCGGCGGTAGCGGCGAGCCGGCGACGTTGACGGCGGCGCGACGACGACGACGACGACGACGGTTATAATAATGTTATTACTTATTATATTATACACTTGGCTCGTATTTATATACGAATAAATGATTATGATATTATTACGACACGGAAACATCAGGAGGAAAAAAATGGTCAAGTTAGGTTGGGTTAGGTTGAACTTGTGGTGAAACTCGAGTAAAATAACGTGCGTTTAGATAAAATAAAAAAAATGCTCACCCACCGGCATAGACATTTTTTTTTCCCCATTAACTATTAACTACAATTGTATTGCGCTCTCGGGTTGCAGAGACCGTGTAGCAGCAGTGGCAGCGCGTTCGTCGACGCAAGACAGACGCCGCGGCCGGTGGCAGGAGTCACCGATATAATCTCAATCAAATAATAAAATGCCGTCCAAAAAAAAAAAAAAAAGGCAACTGTTAAAATGGATACCTTTTATATACGTATGGTTTTTCAGCACCCCTCACGGAAAAAATTACAAAAATTCGCCACTGGCCGCGGCTATAGGCGCAAGTCGTGCTCGCGATCGACACGGGCATAGGACAGGCCAAAGCGTTACGATGGGTAATACCAAGGCACGGATATACAGAAAGCTCGGGCGAGGAACAATTACCGGTGGCCACGGCGGCGGCGGCGGCGGCGGTGATGGCGATAATTATCGCAGGACTCGGGGTGGCCGTCTAGACTGTACGCGCGCCCGGTATTTGTATACGGATGCGTGCGTACGTGCGTGCACGCGCGAGAAAAGCCGCCGCCCGGTCGGGACACAGGTCGAGAGGTCATACACACATCATCAATACACGGCGTGTGTACTGTGCATATATGAATATAATGTGTGTGTGTGTGTGTGTGTGTGCGTATGTACAAGTCGGCGGCCGGGTGTGCACACGCAGTTTACAATCACATCCCCGGGGTCACCCCGGGGGTATTTTATCCCCGGCGCGTTCGTTGCCGTTCCCCTCCAGCACTGCCGCCCGTCTGCACACTACCGCCGCCGCCCGTCTGCACACTGCCGCCGCTATATTATGTACATGTATATACACTTCACCACCACCAGCACCACTACCGTCTATCGTCCCCCATCCACCCGCCACTAACTCCATTATACAGACGGCCGCCGCGCCGCTACTCGTCCTCCGACCGCGACAACATTTACAGATCGTCTAGACGCTACGTCACCAAGCTCGGCGGCAACGGCGGCGGCGGCGGCGGCGGCGGCAGTTGCGTCACACTCTCTCTCCGACACGTGGTGAGCGTGACCAACAAAACTACTACGCGCGCTAGTATACGACGACGACGGTGGTGGTAGCGGCGGCGACTGACGGACGCCGACTCACCCCGCGCTACCGTTCGACGACGATCGATATCCAGTGTACATAATATATATATATATATGTATCAATGTATCAATGCGTATACAAATACATAGATACACAAATACAGATAAATATATCTATATATATATATATATATATATATATATATATATATATAATATGATGGGAAGTTATGCGTACAATATACATTTTGCTGTACACTCGCGAGCACGTGCGCGGGCGCGTTCGCCACCGCGCGATACTGTCACCCGACGACGGTGATGGTGCGTTACGGAACCCCGGTGGGTAGTCTAAAATATAATAATATTTAGCTGCTTATCCGCTGTAGTGTTTTTCCCTGTCCCTATTTCCGTATCCCGATAGCCCCCGAACGGATCGCCAAAACCGCAAAACACTCATTACAATACAACTTTAATAGAAATAAACAATCAAACATTTTCTCTACCGAAAAACGAATGTGCGTGAGGTATCTAGACATCCGCATTTTTAATCAACATATACACACAAAGAAACAAAATAAAAATATGCACTATCGTTAATAATCTGATAGTTTTATCCCGGATATGCTAAATATCCAATACAAATAATACAAAAATAATATTTTGACATACTAATGCACGCGCAAAGTTAATCGTTTTACTATACAATGACATTCAAACAATGCGCATAGCCTGCACATCATTTAATATTTTATTCAAATTAAACGAAATTGGTTCTAATTTAACGTGGTGTGTAACTAAATTGTATTCAAAGCTAATTTGTTATTGATTAATAAGTGAATGTAAAGAAATGTATTTTGGATTTTAAAAAATATGAGAATAAAATACACCTACAATCCCAGACTAGAAAATTTTGGTCCCTAATTTTAATTAATACATTGAACTTTCAATTTATTTTAACAATCACCGTTATCATAAGGTTAGCTTGTGAATAAAACCGCAGTCTGTAAACGTTATCTAATTATATTATATGACAATAGTCGTTTATTTTACTAATAAACAAAACCCACCAGCTAATCCTCATACGGTCAACACAATGTCCGGCTAGAATTTAATATCTATGAATAAAAATGAAACATATAACATAGATAACATCATAATCAGAAAAATCACTATAATATATGGTGTCTCGAATAAATAAATCTTCTTTTTAACAAAATCCAAAATCAAATCAAACAACCAATCAAAATGACCTAAAAGTATTTCATCTCCTCCAACATCATCTATCAAGAAAATAAACTACACTTTTTATCTCAAAAAATCGTTATGCCCTTCGAAATAGACGATCAGGATGAAATAAAACAAGAAATACTCACTCAAAAATCGCCATCCGTAACTTTCACACAACTCCAAGTGGAAGAAGAAAATCAAAACCGAAAAGAACGAATATCATTACTTCCGCCTATAATTTTCAGATTTCGATTTCGTAAGTGAGCATTCCGAACTCAATAATTTCTTTGGCACAGATAATTTCACATTAAAATCTAACACTAAAAACGACGTCCTAGAATAATGGAGACGGATGCAGCCACTGTTAAAGGTAATTTAATGCATATCTGTAAGCAACAATAAACCATTGCTAACCAAAAAACAATTCTAAGCGCAGTTCAGTTGATAGTGATGCTTTATCAACAATATATATGTCATATTATAGTGAAATAATTAAATATGCATTATATGTTTTCTTTAATAATATTTGTTATATATTGTATCGATTTTCCCGTTTTTCCCGGTTTCTCCATGTTTTTTTCACGGATAATCATATTTGCTAAGAAAACTCTTGGCAAAATCGGAAAATGGCTTCCTTAAAATACCATCCCGGTCAGATTTACTTTCAGAAAAAATACTATCATTGTAAATCGGAGCAAAATTTCTGGTAGAAATGTTGTACACTGAAAAAAGATGTCATCATATTTTTTTACTAATACCTATGTTTCGTACATTTTCTTTTTTTCCAATATTTTATCCCGGTTTTACTCAGTTATTATGAAAACTGAATGAAAAATCACAAAAATGACTTTCCTAAACCATGGAGATAAAATTTCCTTTCAGAAAATAAGCTACACTTGATACGTGGAAGTAAGATTTATGGTAGAAAAGTTTTCATAACAAATCGAGGGGTATTTTTCGATTAAATCATCCGAGCGAGCGATAGCTAGGTCTCTAGGTACACTTAAAATGCTTTTGTTTCTTCCCTATTTAGGTAAAAGGTAAAAAAGTGCTAAAAATTTCTTTTCGAAACCCGGGTTTGATCACGGGTTTCGATTGTAATATAAAGTTATTTAACATAAACATGTAATATCTGAAAAATATCTGAAATTCAAAAAGCTATAGTTTCAAAACTTAGTCAGTTCGCTCAATTCTGCCATTACCATCCTTCTTAAATCAGTAATATACATAAACTCCAAAAAAAAAAATTATAAAACTAGATTCGTTCCACATAATTTTTTACTCAAACAATTTTCGTCAAAATGGAGTATCAAAATTCCTTTATAAAAATAAATACTACTTTAAACTCAATTTGTTTTTCTTTTTTATTACAAAGAAGGATATAATGGACCTTCTATTAAATTTTCAATCATTTCTGTTCGAGTCTAACAATTTTACTACAGAGTACCTACCAAATATATAATACGTAAAAAACTCTCAAAATTGAAATATCTATGAATAATTAAAAAATGGCTTAAATGTTTTGAGAATTTTATCTTGTTTAGAAAAGCCAAATATAAGTTTTCTGTCCTAATTTCAAGAATATTTTTAACTGAATAATAACAAATAACAAAATTGATAAAATAATAAAAGGATTAATTTCATACATTTCCCGTTTTTCTTACGTTATATCCTGGTTTTTCCCAGATATTATGAAAACTGTTTGGAAAATCAAAAAATGAGCTCCTAAAAGTACCATCTGGACAACATTTCCTTTCAGAAATGGTGCCGCGTGTATATATCTGAGCGAGGTTTATGGTCGAAATTCTGTATACAGGATAAAAAAAAAAATTAAAATAAAACATCTTAGTAAAACCAATACATTCATCGTTACATTCAGAATCTAAAATCTAATATACCAGCATTAAGGTATTAAGTATTTTAAAGACGTTAAAGTGGAATTTCATACCTTTCAAATGCAAGAAAACAAAAATTGTCCTCAAATAATGGAGATGGGTTGAAAAGTTTGGAAGGTAGGAACAAATGTAAATTTAATATATATTTGTAAGCAACGATTAACCATTGCTAACAAAAAACGATTCCGAGCGGAGTTTGGTTGATAGTGTTATTCTGTTAACACAACAATATGTATCATATAATGGTAAAATAATTACATATGCATTAAACATATGCGTTATCTTTAATATTTGTTTATTACTGTACATATTTTTCGTTCTCCCGATTTTCCCCCGTTTTTTCCCAATTTTTCACATTTATTGGAAAAAAACTCATGGGAAAATCAAAAGTGACCTCCTCAAAAAACCATCCAATTAGAATTACTTTCAGAAAACGTACTATCGTTGTAAATCAGAGTAAAATTGCTTGTATGAAATTTTATTCATAGGAAAAAAAAGACCGTAATATTTTTTAACCAATACCTACATTTCGTATATTTTTCCGTGTCATCCCATTTATTGAGAAAACTCCTGAGCAAGTTGAAAAAAGATCTCTCTATAATAACTACCCAGTTCGATTTCCTTCAGAAAATTTGCTTCACTTACGAATCGGAGCAAGATTTCTGGTAGAAGAGTTTGCAGAACAAATCGAGGGGTATTTTTCAATTAAAAAAGTCTGAGAGAGCAAAAGCTGTATCTCTAGGTACACCATAAGCACAACTAGGGGGGAGTTCAGCTCTCCAATTTACAAATAGTCCCTTCAAAATAAATAATACTCTATATGTTCTTGAATTGAAGAAAAAATAAGTACAACAAGTAAGTTGTGCAAGTGTACTAACCTATGTACAAGTTACCATTACATTGTCAATTTCCTCTATAACATCAAAATGTGTATTTTCTGCCATAAGACGAATAAATAAATACTTAAGGTCAATAATGGACCAAGATCGTTTCAGTAATTTATCCAAACTAAGTATAAAAGATATAGAAATTGATCCTGATCAAATTTTACAACAATTAACATCTATTTAAAAAAAAATGAAACTTGAATAATTTGTTAATAACTATTGTATAATGTATAAAAATCATTAAAAGTCAAATAATTTTGTTATTTTTTATTGTATGAATTTTAAGATGTGTGATGCTTTGACCTACAATGTTATTTATGGTATAATATTAAGGTGGAGCAGTTGTCCCCCCTAAGATTTAATACTAGTTGCACTACTGAAGTACACCTAAAATGCATTGGTTTTTTCTCTATTTAGGTAAATATATATGTTACATACAAAAGTCCGGAATTGTACATTTCGCAATGTGTGTACAACAATAATTGGCGTTCTCAGGAATTTCCAATGGGGGGTGGTAATTTTTAGAAAAACATGCAAGATATCAGCATACGCCTCTCTAGTTGTGACATTTAATATTATTTTAGATTTTGAGTTGAACTAGGAATGTATTGGTTTTACAATGAAATTTATTTTTTTTTTTTTATATGAACACTTTTTCTACCAAAAAGCATAATCAAAAACATATTCTCTGGGTGGTACTTTAGAGAAGATATTTTTTGAAATTCTCATTAATATTCGAGGTTAAAATCTTTAGGTTAAAAAAGTTGAAAAATTAAAAATAAGATTGTTGTTTATTATTTTAATTTTTTTAAAACAATCATTGTTGTCATAGAAACGCGCATTGCTGTAATTATTTGACCATAATATGACATATATGGTAATATATATATATATATATATATTGTTGACAAAGCAACACTATCAACTGAACTCAGCTCAAAATCATTTTTTCGTTAGCAATGGTTTATCGTTGCTTACAACTATACATTAAATTGTCGTCTGTATCCTACTTTTCCAACTTACCACCTACAACAATGGCTGCGGCCACGTGCTAAGTAAAGTAAAATAATTATAACAACGCGCGCTTTCATGACAACCATGATTGTTTGAAAAAGATTAAAATAAGAAAAACTTAATAGTAACGGAAAATAAATAAAAACGACTGTCAATAACAACCTTATTTTTAATCTTTTAATCTTTTTTAACCTAAAGAACCGGGGTTTCCTAATTATCTCGCATATCAATGAGAATTTCAAAAAAATTACTTCATTGAAGCACAACCCAGAGAACATTTCCTTTCAGAAAATGTGCTATACTTGGAAATCGGAGTAAGCATTCTGGTAGAAAAAGTGTTCACATAAAAAAAACATCATTGTAAAACCAATACATTTATCTAAACTCAGAATCTAATAAAATAACAATATAAAATTTAATGCACTTTATTTTTACTAATTTATCAATCATTTTTTGGTTCATCAAATATATTTATATTGTAATTGTAAATCAATGTGACAATGAATTTTCACATCCGTTACAAATTTAAAACGAATTTATTGCAAAAAAAAAACAACGGCCAATGGGGAAGGGGGGGTTAAACCCCATTACCCCCCCCCGTGAGTACGCCCATGACAACAATCACTGTACACATTGCAAAATAAAATATAAAATATGTGAAACTATAATAACAGTTATTTTTTCAACTGGAGTCATATATACACATAAATGGTTGAATCCGTCTCTATCATAGCTACCTGAGGTTGTGGATTGAATCATATTCAATATCTATATAAATCCCCCAATGACAATTGGCTAAACTCAGTTCTACCAGCTACAGCACACCCATCGATACTGGGCGGTGATTTCAATAGTCATCACATATAATGGGATTATAATACAAATTACTAAAATCGGGAGAAACTATAAATGAATAGATACTGAAGACTTACGATTGATATTTAATGCCAAGCACAGATGTACCTTTCATTCTGGTGGATGGAACCGTGGGTACAATTCTGATCTATGTATAATCTCAAAAGACAAAATTGGCATAGTATTGCAAGCACATAGAACCGTTTTATCTAACTTTCCCAAGAGCTGACATAGGTCGATTCTCATAAAAACCGGAATTCAGACCTATCAATCGTAAAAACAATCTCAAAACCTAATGGAACTTCAAGAAATCTGATTGGAAGTCCTTTACTAAATCTTTAGATGATAATATCAGATGGATAAAGCCAACAGTAAATAGCTATGATCACTGTTGTTAAATTGTTAAGGAGGTAGCCAAACAATATATCCCCTAAGGCTATATGCATAAATATATTTTGTGCTGAGACAAGGAAAGCGATAAACTATATGGATAATTTCAAACCAACAGTCAAGCGGAAGTTGCAGATAAACTTCTAGAATTATTAGCCAGCTGTCAAGTGAAGAGGTGGACTGAAACAATGGAACAATTAAATTTTAAATACTCCAGTCTGGAAGCGTGGACTCTACTACGAAGATTAGACCCTAATCCATCGCATGATAAGAGAACGCCTGTAATTAAATCAAATGCTTTTGCTAACCATTAAGTAGAAATAACAAATGCCTCGATCGATAGAAACTCATCAATAAAGGTGACCATAGAATTCAGGAAAAAGTAATATTCGGTAACTAGAAAATCTAGCTGAGCCGAAAGATTCAAAACTGTAAAAACAGTATTAAAAAGTGTAGAACTCAATAAAGTGGCTGGTCTTGACGAAATGTACCTAGAGTTCTTAAAGTATAGTGGTCCCAAAACAATAAAATGGCTTTAAAATTTCTTTTCCAATATCCTCCAATCCGTTAAATTTCCGAGGTATTTTAAACATACGAAAGTCCTAGCAGATCTTAAACCAGGAAAACCAGAAAATGATATTAGCAGCTGCAGGTCAATTATTACTTCTGAGCGTATATTATAAGCTACTAGAAAAACTGATATATAACCACATTTCAGACACTCATTACTCATACAGAAAAGGAATTTGATAAGAAAGTTAAAATTGCTGTGGTTTTCGTCGATTTATCGTCCACCTACAACACAGTTTGAAGAAAAGGCTTACTATCAAAATTCCTATGTATTATTTTTTGCCAAACACCCTTTACACTTCTTAACATCATGCTCAACAATAGGTTTTTTACCAAGTTTACAAGAAAAGAAAAAGTAAAACAAAAGTGATTAACAACGGCCACCCCCAAAGCTAAGTATTTGCACCACTCTTATTCAATCTGTATACAAAGGATATTCCAGGAAATATTACAAAAAAATTTATCTACGCAGATAATATCACACTTGCATACCAAAGCAACAATTGTGTAGATTTAAAAAATACCTTGAGTACTGACCTTGAATTACTACACAAGTACTTCAACCATTGAAGGCGTAAAACGAACCCAGCCAAAATGGAAGTCTCGCTTTTCCACTTGAACAATAGGAAAGCAAACCATAAACTGCAAATGTCATTTGGAGGTCAGGAAGTTAAATACAACTGATTCCCGAAATACCTAGGAGTAACTCTGGATAGAACGCTCATGTTAAAGAAGCATCTGACCACCTTATCAGTAAAATTTAACGCACGATATACAGAGCCTTAACATATGCTTATAAGTTCTACAATATTACGAGACAATTACAATAATTGTTAATTATCACCTATCTATATTATCATGTAATTTATTTTATTCGAATTCATTTGTGTTCTATAGAATTTCTATTTAATTTATTTATTGGTTAGTGCTCATAAAGCCATACGAAAAATATATAGTATTATTATAATAATTTGTATGATAACAAATTTAAGGAAAGTGGTTAGTTCCGTTTGAAAAATTTGTTCATCAACTTACAATTGTAAAAAATGTATTATCTTCAACGAAGTGGGTCAAAAGTAAGTGCCACTTGTGTTTCACTAAAACTTATAAATTACATTTCTAATATTAAATCTTTATCTGCTAAAAATAAGCAAATAAAAATCACACTAAAATATAATAACATACATATATTTATGGAAATTATGTGATTTCTGCGCCCTTCCCTCTGACTTCATATATTGTGCATGATGTTTAAAAATAATAGATATAATCTATTGGGTCTGTACACCGAATACCGATCCATTATAAAAATAAAAAAAACACAATACGACTTACGGTTTAAAACGATTATGATAGTACATACAATATTTTACTAAAAAAAATATTAATCATTCTAAAATGCCATGTCATACTTATACTTATTCGAAACTACAAACTAAAGAGTAATAAATTCAACGCTAACGATAAATAAATTATTTAACACTTCGATTTAGGTATCCTAGGTACCTATGATTTATGGGTATAAACTATTTTACTCTAGTCACTATCATAATAGGCTATTGTATAGTGTATAAGACAGTCTAGAATTTGATTCGGGTTTTTTTATATTCATATTGACAAATTTCAACTCGCTTCAAGGTCATCTGTTCGAAATATTTTTAACCTTTATATCGTTTAACACACAAAAACAACAATAATAATATGTATTTGAATTCCTATATTAACTTTTATTTTTCAGCAAAACGACTTAAATAATATAATATGCTGATCAACTTATCACTCGCAGTTATAATTATACACTATTTAGCTATATATTTTCTCAGAAGACATTTTGTAACTGAAGACTAGTGACAATAATAACTTATTATACAAATATTATAGATTATTATAACAGCTTAAAACAGTTAAGCAGTTACATTTCACAAATTATTTTTGTATTATATTGAATACCTACCTACTAGAAACTATCAAAATAAAGATAAGATACGATTATTAGATTTTATGGCTGGCGATATTGTGGTATAATCTTATCTAAACGACTGTCGAATGTGGACTATATAGCTGAAATTAAAAAAATTCCAAAAAATTGTAATAAAAAATTCTAGATTTGAATTCGTTCCTACATGAAACGTATTTAAAACTTACTTATAGATATAAATTGAAAAGATAGAAAAAATTTGCAAATGCAACAATATCCGTGCCATAATAATGAGAGTAAACAATTTAAATCCAACATAATCGGATTTGGAAACATATATTGTCTTGCAAGATTGATGTCTGATAGTTGATACTCTATAGTACTCAATCATTCATCAATGACTAAACCAAATCGCTGGATTTAGAGACTTGAAATTTCGGTAGTAAGTATATAATATTTCTAATGGTGTAGAGGTGAGATAAGGAAGGATATTACCTCAATCCACACCTAAAGTTGTCAAATGAGGTAACAATACCTTTATGGGTAGAAATCTAATTAAAAGTTATCGACAAAAACGATATTGTTCGATAACATCCTTTCGTTTAGTCGTGATAGGCTCTAAAACTATCGAATTAATTGCTATCAAATTTTTCACACGTATTCCTTGAGACTTGAGGGAGGTTTGAAGCTTCATTTTTCAAAGGTTGTATAAGGTGACTCATACACATACATTTTGTTTTTGTTTATGCATAAAATTGTCATTAGTTACGAATAAAAAAATACTTACAATAAGATATAATTATATAAACTATATAAAATCTAATAATCTATATAAATCTTTAGAAAATATGAAATTGATTGCTCTTGTTAACGACAAATCTAAATAAATACTGAACCATTAAATACTGTGCACGAGTAAAGCTCGGGAAAGCAATTCACAGGCAAGGAAATTCATTCTTAAACATTTGCAGGGAAATGCAGTTTAATTGCAGTGATAGAGACTTGAATGGAAACTGGAGAATCACAAGAAAACAGTAGTAGAGTATTATTTGTGTGGCGACATTTTAATAGTGTTCCACTGTTCTCCCCCCCCCCACCTAAACTTAAAAGTCGAATATATCCTCAACGGTTTGAGGGAAATCAATATTTTTAGCACCAATATTTATTCAAACCAATACTCTATCTCCGATTTATAGCATTTTTAATATAGGTTCTCATTTGAAAATCAACATTGGTATTACCATTGGATACTCCTTAAATGTTGTGAAAAACCCAATATATCCAAGTATACGAAAATATCGTCTTTAAATACACTTAAAAATGCCAAAAATCAGAATTGAAATACTTGCAAAATTTAACTAAAATAATGGGGTGAGCACGCTTGATGAATCATTTTATACATAACATTTTATTTTACATACTTGCATACTTTAGAAATTTTAGGACATATACCAGGATTTTGTGCATTTTAAGAGGATATTCAAAAATTTTATAAATGTCTAACAGAAATATGAATAAATAAAAAATAATTGGTCTAGTTTTCAAAATATCAACAGGTGAAATGAGAACTTTAGCACATGTGTTTTCTAGATAAAATATGTTTAATTATAGGTAGCTAGGTAATATTTTTTTTTAGATTCAAAGCGGGACGGTGATTTATTAGTTTTTTATGGTGTGTGTGCTCTTTTTCTGTCTTTAAACAACATTTCGAACGAAAAACTTGCTCTAATTAAAAAATGAAAAAAGCCTTATTTGTTGCATTTTGGTTTTAATTGTTACATTAAGGAAGTCATTTTTTAATTGTCCAAGCATTTTTCATAATAATTGGGAAAACCCGGAAAAGGACTTAAATGAAAATTTCCAGTAACGTCTTGCGATTTCAATATTTTAAACTTGTATGTTTTATATTTTCTAAGAAAATATTACTCCAATAGAAAACAAAATGCAAACTTTTTTGTTGCCTTTTTAATCTAATTGGTTCCATTCGAAAAATCGTTTTTTTTAATTTTCTTTGTAGTTTTCTTAATAATTTAAAAAACAGAAAAATGTACGAAAATAATGCTTTTATTATTTTCAATTTTGTTTTTTGTTGTGATTCAATTAAACATATTCGTAGAAACTTGAAATTTTGACAGGAAACTTATATTTGAATTTTCTAATTGTGGTGAAAATTAAAAAAAAAACATTTTGGCGATTTTTGAACAATTTATAGGCATTTTATTTTTGAGAGTTCTTTTACATAATTTGTATTTAGTAGGTACTCTATGGATAAAATTTTTAAACCAAACAGAATACTTGATGATTTAACAAGAGGATAATTTTAAAAAGTACTTGAAAAAAAATTAAGTTTTTCATAAGAATTTCAATATCAATTTTTGACGAAAACCGTAAATATTACGGCCTTTCAAAACATTTATAACTAAACTCTGCTCAGTATCGTGTTTCATTATTAATGTTTAATTCTTGCTAATAGATACTAATTAAATAACCTTAAGTATCCTACCTTCCCAATTTCCTACAACAGTAGCACATCCATCACCAGTGTCAGTTATTATTATTTTTTTTAGAATATTTAAAATTTTCAAAATTTTAAATTAACATATTCTAAAAAGCATGTAATATTTTTTTTAGGATAAATATTACAATAAAGAAATATTTTCGAATAATTTATTATTATTATTATTTATTAATGGCACATTATATTGATATATTAACGTCCAGTGCATATTTTCTGAAACAGTGCACAAGCAGTGAAACCTGCTTGTGTTGATATGTCTGTCCCATGTGGATTTACCAATTTTAAGTACAGGCGGGATTCAATTTCCT